TTGGCGAGCCCATAGGCTCTGTACAACTCCTCCCATTGGACGTGGGTGTGATGAAGGACAGAGTGGAGCTCCAATGCAGCAGGAATGCCCCACCAATGAGAGGGGGAGGCGATGATCAACGGGCCCGTGGGCCGCGTGCTGCCGGCCGTGAGCCGCTGATGGGCATCCTCTCCTGTCATGGTAAAGCGCCCGGCCCGGTCGATTATGCAGATGTCGACCGCCCCCGTCGAATCTGCACACACCGTAGTGGTGAAAAGGTCAACAAAGGCGCCTAGTTCGTTGTGATGATCGTAGAAGAAGGAGAAGAGGGTTGCGGCCTGCGCCTCGGTGGCGAGTTGTCCCGAGGGAGGGATCTGGCAACCAGTCCGATATGAACTCCGCAAATGATGTGCCCTCAGCTACTACTCAGTGCGCGTCACCAGTGTCGGCGTTGGCAGAGCGCGCGTTGCTGAGGCCTAGACCATGGTTGAGGGAGTCAAAAACCCGAGTGGTAGGTGTGACGACCGTGATTTTCCGTCCCGCCTGGACAGCAAAACGATGCCCGCAGACATTGTAGGCGAGAACCAGAAGGACGCAGAGCAATTCCAAGGCCTTTAGGGTGCATGGCCGAGGATGTATGCCTTGGTAGGCGGACGAAATACACTCCTGGCTGCTGAGTGCCATCCGCCGCAACCCTCTGGAGTCGCCTTGCAGCGGTATCCGCAGCGAGCTCGCCAATGGTAATCGGGCATGGAGAGGCGTCACAGACTCTGTGCATAATGGATTGAGGGTCTCTGACGGCTGTAATAAGCAAGTAGAGGTCGGCCAACAGCCTGGTGGAGGCAACCAGGGCTAAATTTAGGCAAACTCCATTGATGGAGCCAGGCCTTCAGCTTGCGTAGCTGTATTGGCCGGCGCAAGTATTGCACCGACAGCTGACAGACGGTTGAGGTAGCACAGCGTCGTCTCACTATGGGACGTCGACTGGTGGAGAAAATCCACCGCAATAGACACTGTCGTGAGTCGGTCGGGGTGTGGGCAGACTCGATCACCGATTTTGGTGATTCCAGAATAAGGGATGAGTATTTCATCCCTTGTCGGGTGACCCGACACCCACAGAGCTCTTGCTGATCCAAGTTAAGACTGACCTCAACTTCCTTCTCACTTCCAAAGAGGCACTCTGACAACTCTCGACACACAGTGATGCTGGCGCCCGGCGGCGGCTCAGCGTCCTGATGGCCATTGTGGCGGTGCCCCAGGCTAGTCCACCTGACTGTGTGAAGTGGCCCCTGCGGGGTAGACTGCACCATGCCTCGGAGCGCCGCGGCGAGTCGGCCCGGAGAGATAGGCTGTGGGGCCAGCTGGGCGACTCCACGAATGCCGACGGGCTTGGCAATGAGTCGGGCCAAGGTGCACAATTGGACCTCGCCTTTGCCACCGCCAGCAGGTTGCCGTGGGTCCCCCGTGCGGATGACGAGCTGGTGCGGCATTCGCAAGGATGGCAGCTGAAGCAGGCTGTCCCTCCTGCTGCCCCTCGTCAATCACAATGACATGCGCGCTGCTGAGGTAGGTTTTTACCTCGCTGTAGGAGGCATAACGGAGCTGCAGCGCGGCGGACCCCTGCGTGAGCAGCAGCATATGAGCACTGCTTACTGAGGGGGAGGCAAGACGTGCGGTGCGCCCCGTTACTTCTGACTGTGTCGTGGCAATGTCCTCTAAATCTGCCGCCTGGTGTTCGGCAGCTTCAGTGAAAGGCACATGGTCAAAGGACGGGTCAATCATTTCAACATCGCCCGATACCCTCCGCACAACAACGAGCGGGCGCAGCCATTGTAGGGCATCAGCTAGGAGGTTGGAGGCGATGCGCGCAACCGCAATGAGCGCAGAATGCTGCTATGCTGTCCAAAACACAGTTTGCTCCAGCACAGCATCCAGACAGACCAGGGCGCACCACAGAGAAAAAGTTTTGGAAGATTCCGCACAGGCTAAGATGCTGAGCGAGCTGCGACCTTGTGCCCGCGCGGCCAGAATGGCCGTGATGTGCCCACTCAGGAGGCCATCCGGGCTGTTGAGCAGCTTAGCAATGTGGCGGCAAAACGATTGTCCCAACAGGGCGGCCAGCGTGTGAAGCTCGGCTGGGATCAGCGTTGCCGGCAGGCGCCAGTTTTTGCAGAACGGCTCCCGAGGATTGTGGTTTCGAGCCACTGGATAAAAAGCAAGGATGCGCTTTTTTAACTTCACAAAATCGGCCGGCGTGAGGGCAGGGGTAGCTGGGAAGTGAGAAGCGCGGGCGGCCGTCTCCACTGCTTGCAAGAAGGACAGCACCAGATGCACTTCAGAGGCGAAGTGGCGCCGAGGCCTTGGCGCAGGTTGGGTGCAAGGTCGGACAGGCACGCCAATGGCCAGGGGGACACGCGCCTCGGACATTTTGAGCACTTGCAGGAACACATCGAGCTCCGCCTACCTTGATGGACGAAGGGAAAGGTCTTAGCTGCAGACGTGGCCAGCTTGTGGGGCGGCCCCAAGAAAGGAAGGCCACTGTCGGATGAGCAAGAGGGCGGCCGTGGGGTTAAGGCGGTTTTGACGCCGTTCGATCTTGCGTTGTTCGCGGGTTTTTCCTTTGAGCCGGTCAGGAACTATCAAGTCCACAAAGACTGCCAACAGCTGTCCTTGACGAAAGGCAAGCCTCAGAAGGCAACCCTCGGAGGGAGGCCGGTTACCGCTTTGTCGATGCGAGAACCAGCCAGTGTTTTCCGCAGGCGTAAAGCCATGGGGACACGATAAGCCAAGCACGTATGCGCCAAAGCTAAGACAGTCTTCCACCTTCAGCACCACCGGTAGCCCCTGTGCGAAGCGCCTGGTGGTGTCCTGGTGCGACATCCGACGGTTCTCCTGCCCAGTGTCCTCGAATGCCGCGCCCTGGCTGTGGACATGGAAGTGCAGGAAATCCACCACTCTTCCTGAATGATCCAGGTCCGCAGCGCTGTAATGCAGTGCGGCAAGGAGGCTGTGGTGACGGTGCGAACCGCCTCGCAGAGGAGTTGCAGAAGGGAATCCACGGTGCCCAGCCTCTTGAGCGATTCCATGGTGACACGGTGCGGGAAGAGGGCAGCCATAATCTTGCCAACCCCACTATCTGCAAGTCTCCGACTACGGTAGAAGTGAAGAGCATGGAAGGTCCATTCCAGTTCTTTGTCCTGGCTACGCAGAGGGAGGTACGCGCATGCGGCGGTAACATCCACCTAGGCCGGCAGTGCAAGGCAAGTGCGGAGGAGCAGGTGGGAGTGGCAAGTGCGGAGAAGCAGGTGGGAGTAGTTGTGGCACTGGAGCTCGAAGAAATCGGTCGGTACATTGGTCAACCAATGCAAACCTACCTGGGGTGGCTCGTATGGACCCGTGCGAACTCGGTGGGCACCCATGGGCACAAAAAGTCGTCACTAGCATGGACAATCTTTAACCTGCACGAGAGGTTCAGAAGCTCCGCAAAGAGTCAGTCAGGCATGCCGACAGCCCCGATCTCCACGACAGGTCGCACCATCAGCTGCTACGTTGCTAGAGGCAGCGAATCGCCCTGCTGGCGCAAAGAGACTGTCGCCCCACAATTTGCGGAGAAGCACACCCACTAGGCTTGCCGTGTGGCTGCCTGCCGAAAAAGTCTCGAACGGAAGGCTGCGCGGGGCCAATGCTGGAGAAAGCAATGCACAAAGCTGCCAGACACGCTGAGTGGGGATCGTGCAAGTGAGAGCTGCGGCGTGCTCTCTGGAGCTGCGTCTCAACAGCTCGAGCCTCCGGACCTGTCGCAGAGAACCTCACACCTAACATGGCATGCGCTAACTTGATGACCGGCAGGGGAGAGAGCAGGAGGCTGGTTGCCGTCGCCGACAGCTTGTTGTAACTCTCGGCGAGGCAGCCAGTGCGGCCATGACACTGGGTAGAACACATGATTTGCCAAGTATCGTTGCGTGCCGGGACGCAAAACGTGCTGGCTCCAGAGCACTCAATGCGTACCTCAGTCGTCGAAAGGCACCCAGTCCCCTCCGGGCGGTCATCGTCATCATGTCATAGCATTTGACCGCACGGTAAAAAGTAGGATACCAGGTCATGGTCCGAGACGACAAAGGTCATCATTTGCTCACCTGCGGGAGACGGGGCAGAAATGGCTGCCACTTGCTCCAGCTCCGTTGCTGACAGTAGGTCACGAATCCGCCAGCGCGTCTACGTGCGCATGTGAGGCGAAAAGCGAGGCCGCGTAAGTGATCATGACGCCAGTCCTGCAGGATGGTGCGCTCTGCGAGTGCAGAGACTGATGCAGCAGCGGATTTCCAGGCCAAGCCCGGGGCGTAGTGGCTCGGCAGGGCTTTGTGTTGTGACAGTGAAGCAAGGGCAGTACGAAGCAAGGCCTCGGGCAGGTGGTACTGATGGAGCGGGTCCGGGGTCCTGGGATGGCGACTGCGATAGATCTGCTGCCAGTATTCTCGCAGGGTCTGAGTTTCCTGCTCGGGTGTCATAATGCAGCCGCTACCGTCACGGAGCTGTGGTTGTCGGCGAACAACTTTGGGCGCTATCTTGTTAACCTGCAGGTGTATTTCTCTGATGTCGCCACGTTGCGCGGCCTGTGTAGCCCGGCTAATACACTCGTCGATGAATGCTTGCCTCTTGACCTTGCTCGCTGAGCGGATCTGTTTTTGGAGCGCAGTGAACTCCCGCTGGAGGGCCAAACGCTGCGCAGCAGCCTCCGCCGTGGGATCCTGCTTCAGAGTTTTTATTTGCCGGTGACACTGCCATAGGCGCTTGACACATTGGGTCAGGCGCGTCAAGCGTTCAGTACTTTGATCTCCCTTGCGTCTTCGACCGCTACCTTGCTGCAGGGTGTAGAGATGTAGGGGTGTAGAAGTGTTTGGAATCCTTGCCTGGGCTACGCTGATGCAAAGGCGGCCAGAAATAACCTGATGAGATTCCGGACCCACACAGACCACGCACGCCTGCAGACGCACATACACGTCTACACTACCGTGCCAGACATGGTCTCAGAGTGGCGACATGCGTGGCTTTGCCTGATCCTGAAGGCGGGAAAAACGGGACACAAGGCTGAGGAGTACCGCCCGATCGGGCTCACTGATCCGGTTGGCAAGGCTGTTCTTGGCGCCGTGTACCAACAACACCACCACGCAGTCTATAACTCCGTGGCGCAGTATCCGCAATTTGCGTACCTGCCCCGGCGTGGTGTCCCTCAGGCCCTTATGCGTGCTTTTCAGCATCTCGACCAAGCTCGGGAGGTCGTGGCACAACAACGTCTTACCCTGCAGCAGCGACATGCAGGCCAACGCAGGCAGCAGCTGGCAGGAGCCATCACGGTTTCTCTCGACCTCAGCAAAGCTTTTGACTCCCTGGAACCTGAGTTCATGCATCAGGCTCTTGAAATGAGTTGCCTGCCACCGGAGGTGTGTCGACTGATTGAGAACTGGCATCACGGGATTATATACCACATTGAGCACGAACAGTGCCGAGCCCAGATCAACTGCAATAGAGGGATTCGTCAGGGTTGTGCGATCTCTCCCCGAGTGTGGTCACTCTTTACCATACTCATCATGAGTGAGATGGGGCCGGAGTGGAGCCAGCGCCATAGCACATGGTTTGCGGATGACACGCTGTTTCAGGCATTGGTTCACTCCGAGACTGAGCTGCATCAGCAGCTTAAGGCGATCTCCAAGGCCTTGTGGGTGCTGCAAAAACTGGGCCTTTCTATTGCCTCCACCAAGTGTGCGGTTCTGCTACATCTTGGCGGCACAGCCGCCCAACGAGTCCGTGCCAAACTTGTGAGCACCCACAACAAAAAGCCGCACATCACCTTTCAGCACGAGGACCATGTGTGGCGGCTGCCGCTCGTCTCTAAGCACGACTACCTCGGCGCCACTCTCAGCTACAGTCGCATGGAGGATCTCACAGCTACCAGACGTATCCAGGCGGCTCAGACTTCCTTTGATCGTCTCAAGCCAGTGCTCACCCACAAAGGTCTCTCGCTTTTCATGCGTCTTCAGATTTGGCAGGCATGCGTGGTCAGCAGTCTCCTTTATTCGCTACCGCAAGTGGGATTGACACCTAGCGCTGCCCAGCGAGTCTCCGTGATCTTCTACAGGCAACTCAGGCACATCACTCGACAGCCAGTGCATCTCACAGGCAAAAGCAACCAACAGCTGCGCCAGGAACATCGTCTATGTGACCCGATCCACAGTGTCGCCAAGAGAGCACATAAACAAAAAGAGCAAACGGCTACACTACAGGTCACTCTCTCGACTCCTGACGCGCGTCTAAGTGATGACATCTTAGCCTGTGAGGCCCGATTGGTTGTCCAACTACAGCAAATTGTTACTGATAGGACCACCGACCTGCCCCAGCAGGCACCCAGTGAATTCCCGTGTCCACAATGCGACTACAAGGCAAGGAGCAAGACTGCTCTAACCAAACACCGTAACAAAGTGCATCAGGCTGGACTGCAGCCCTCGCATTATCTCTCCTGGAAAGAGGTGGACCGATTTGAGCATGGAACTGAAGGGCTCCCCACCTGCCGGTGGTGTAGCAAACAATTTAGCTCCTGGCAGCAACTGCAGCGGCACATTCACGACAATGTGTGTCAACACAAGTCGCGTCAGGTGCCAGCAGACGTTGATACTGCAGCTGGCCCATGCAACTCGTCCCAAGCCGAAACTGGTAACAATCCTCAGTCGCTGTCTCCGGCGCTTGCTGACCGACCACAGAGAGCCAGCTCTGAGCGTCCTGACCTGCCACACATGTCCAAGGCAAGCGATGATACGCATCGCCTGGCATCTAGCTCAGCGGCGCTCCCTCTGTCAGCACTGCCCGATGCCGGCATCACGGAACCTACTGCGCCATCCCGACAGCCTGCCGCCCGCGAACCGCAGGTCATGCGCACGCTTGAACAGCATGAGCCCTGGGATGCTATGCAACAGTGCCCATATCTGCAGGAAGAGCTTCTGCACCATTGTTGCTTGTGCAGACAGTGGACGCCGGCCCGAGGAGGTACCAAGATCCACCTGCGCGGCTCGCGCGCGCAGGAATGGGGGCAGGCAGGGAAAGCCGCCGAGCACCATTGTCTGAATTACGCCAGTTTTGTTACCAGCGACACTGGATGTCCCTTTTGCCTGGCGCCCAAGTTTGCGGATAAGAGAGCTGCTCGTGCACATGCGCAAAACTGTCAGGTCTTGTTTCCGCTCGTGTTCCTGCGCCCCGGGAGCAGCAACATCTCGTGCTGCAGAATGGCGATAAAGTGCCTGTTGCCATTGCTGTGCCCGTGCAATCGAGACCCACACCTGAACAGAGCGAGTTTCTCCTGAGACACTGCTGTTTTTGTGCTCAGACCCAGCCCGACCTCCGATCCCTCAAAAAGCACCTCTATAAGGCTCACCCCCGGACGTGGCTAGATACGGACTCTGTAAGTCGTGATTGTAAGGCTCTCCTCACCACTGCTGACAAAACTTGTCCGTATTGCAACAAAACCTCCCGTATCGCTAGGGATCACGCCCCGTTCTGCCCGGTACTCTACCAGTTCTGCCTGCTGCAGCGACTTCACTGTGCACCGCCGCCGGAGCCCAACAAGGTGACTGCTTGACCACCTTTGAAGCGCTCGGAACATGGAAGAGATCCTGGGGCCGCTGTTTCCAGCAATTCGAGAGCAACTGTCCGTAGCAGAATTAGGGGGAAGCAACCCGCTAAAGCGGCCCAAGCCGGACCCGGAGATTGAGCCTTGAGGCAAGGGCAAGGGCAAAGGCCTGGGCAAGGGGAAGGGCCAAGGAAAGGGCAAGGGCAAGTGGCCACAGTGGACAGCATCCACTTGGGACACTCCTTCGTGGCCAAATGCGCAGGGCCTGAATGTCGAGGCCGCCATCTATGCCATGGCAAAGCTGTGCCTGAGACAGGAGACGGAACTCAGCGAGCTTCGGCAGGAGAAGTCCTTCATGCTCCGCGTCAGCGCTGGACCCCACGGCATCCTCAAGCCACTGATCCAGGCCTCGCTGAAATGGAACGAGCTCCGAGATCAGATGAAGGTCGACTGCAGCCTGAAGTCCGAGCTCTTCAGCCTGATGATCAAAGAAACCGCGGCACGGATGATGAAGTTCGAGCAGACGCCGGAAAGCATTGCGGGGGCGGAGAAGGCCAAGTGGGTGACCAACCAGCCGCTGACCTGGCTCTACCAGAAATGGGATCCGGAAGCACATCTCCTTGTCCTCGACACGAGCCGAAAGGGTATGCAGCATCAGGATGTCAAGACTCTGCTGGACACAATGATTGTAGCCTTGAAGGAGGACCCCGAGGCTCTGAACCAGTTCACGGCCAAGCGGAGACTGACGGAGAGCATGAGCGGCGCCTCTGTGGCGTTCAAGGTGACGGTGGGCCTTCGGAGTCAACAGTGCCAGATCCTGTACGATGCCTTTGCGAAGCTGGCTGGGCTAGCAGTCTTGCAGCTCATAGCCGCCAACATGCACAAGGAGAGGCAGAAGCACGGCCGCGAAGCAGAGGAGGTCCGCAACCTGACGTGGCGCTACGGCTCAGGCTCAGGAACCCGAGTGCGACCAACTCGTGTTACGTTAACTCCACCTTTCTGATTCTTGTGCACGTGTGGGCGCAGGAGGGCATGCCACATGGAATGCTGGGGGCGCTTGGGACTAGACTGCAGGCCTTGCTTACCACTACTCGGCCTGTCGTGCTTCGAGATCTGCCCATTATTCAGGATATGATGCGATGGTGGGCGCACCCCTTTAGGCAGCATGACATTGCAGAGTTCTTCTCACATTTTGTGTCCTTCTGCTGTATGCCCTTCGGTCAGGCGTGCTGGGAGGCAAGAGATATCAGGGGCCCAGCGCTTCATGTGCTGGATGAAGGCACGCTCCAAACACCGATCCCCCTCCACATTCCTGCATCTCGTGCAGATGAACAGCTGAGCACTCTTCAGGATTGTGTTGAGCAATTCTTTCGGGGACAACGCTGTGGTTGTGCGCTTGCCTCAGCAGCGCCACTTCTCTGTTTTCAGCTGAAAAGGTATGTGTTCAATGAACGCACTGGTGCAGTGCGCAAGCTCGCAACGCCAATCAGATTCGATGAGCCGTCACTGCAGGTGCCCATCTGGGAGGATGAGAGCACGTTGCGGATCAAATATGTGCGATACCAAGTCAATGCAATAGCTTTTCATGAAGGCCGCACACCATATGCCGGCCACTATCGCACATGCCTCCTCCATCAGGGGTGTCACTTTGTCACTGATGACAACACGGAGGCGCGAAGGACAGATCCTCAGATGCTCCAAGTGGTTCAGTCCAACTCGTACCTGTTCTTGTGCACTCTCCAGCCTGCGTCCGCAGTCAGGTGAGCTGAGGTTCTACCCTCGCTTGCACTTGTGAAAATGCTGGTTCGATGAGGGCTCCTCCTCTCTTACCGCCTTCGCGGGGGCCGTTCTTAGTTCGAACAGGTTGAGGGCTCTCCTCCCTGTCTCCTGGTTGAGGGTTCTCCTCCCAGTCACGCTTTTTCTTAGCAAGGGGGCACAGTGCCTCTTCTTGAAGTTTAGCTGCGCCGTGTAGGGGACGGGCGGCTTTTTCTTTCGGCTGATTCTTTCAGTCGGATAGTTGCAGCATAAGCCTGCTTTGCAGCAAGCTGCGGGGCTTCGGCCGACGCCAGGCAAGTCTCACAGACGACGACTGTGTGTGTGCTTCGCCGCGTGGGAGTGGAAACAACATGACAAAATGACTTAGAGAACTAAGTCCAATTTTGATTTGTTGTTTTAGGGCTTTCCTTTTACACTGCCCATTTTATTGAACTCATTTTTACATGCTGTAAACCAGTTGAAGAATACGTTCGTCTGTTGCAGCTTGACCTCTCGAAGGGGCAGGAAGCCCTGAATCGGGCGAGAGTTTTATTTGAAATACCCACCCTCTCCACCCTAATCGATTCGTGGAAAGTGCAGGGATTGCATCAGTGTTGTGCTACCTCAGGAAGCTTTGGACCTCAGTTTGAGGACACTCAGGTATGCTTTGTGCATAAGACCTGGTTCGGATCTTGGCTCTCTGCTTCGCAGTTTGCTCGGTCTTGCTCGTCTTCGACTGGCAGGCCGTTCACTAAGGTTCAGTTTGTGAGCCGTGCACGGCTTGAGAGTGGCTAGTTCTCCTTTCGGAGGGGACGAAAAGAGTCTTGTGTCTCACAGGACTGACAGTTCGAAGATTTCTGCCGTGTGCGGTACTTGCTACCCCACCGTGTGAAAATAGCGTCGAGCTTGAACTCTCTGCATGCGACATGTGCGAGTGAAAGCATTCATACCTGGAGGCTCAAACACAATTGACATACAATTGACATCTCAATACAAAGCACGATCTTTGAACAATAAGGAAGCCAAACCGAAACTGGGGCCAGGAACAACTGGTCAAGAAGTCGAAGCAGCCTGATGACAAGGACAAGAAGAGGGTGATCAAGATCGATGACGAAGGTGAAAAGAAGGCAGATGATAAAGGAAAGGGAGATGAAGGAAAAGGCGAAAGCGGTGCTGGTTCAAGCAAGGACCATGAGAGAAAGGATGAGAAAAAGAGCACCAAGACCAAGGATGAAAGGAAAGGCGATAGGAAGAAAGACGATCGCAAGAAGGAGAAGAAAGAGGACAAAAGGAAGACGGAGAAGAAGAAGCCTGAGAGTCCCGAGAAGAAAGGGACCGATGGCAATGAAAATCTGGAATAAAGGAGAAATGCAGAAACCATGTACTTCTGTGTGAGAAAGGTGAATTTTTCAAGACGCCAGACTGTGAGGGCGCAAGCAAAGGAAGTCTCGCATGTCTTTGTTAAGGGACCGCGAATGCAAAACCACGTCGCAAAGACCTTGAGACGACGACAAAGCACAACGGCAGTCTAAAAGGCTGGGAACAAAGGCAAAGCCAGACTACGGCGTCGACCGCGACGTGAAAAAGTGAGTGAGTGCAGCCTGCTTTTAGGTTGGAGTGTAGTTTGGAAGCCGAGTGTTTCACGACAAGTTTCCGTTACAGGACTTGAAGACAACTACCTCTACGACAAGCGAAGATGAAGAGAAAGATCGCGGTTAAAGTGAAGATCAAGCTCAAAGAGCATGCGATAAATGTCAAGGCTCTGCGCGAGCATGTGACAATGGTGAAGTGGATGGATGGTAGAAATTGTCTGATGATCGAGTCAAGTTTTACAATACAACCTGAATCGATGAGGGCGTAACAGACATTTCAATTTCTTGTGTATGCCCAATTTAGCTAGTTTCACTGCGTGTTTCCGTAGGTCAAACGACGGCTCAAGCACAGCGGGAAAATAGTGTGGGCCGCCCGTGTGTTGACAATGACAATGGATTAGAAGTTGACGTTGGGAAAAAGGTTTTAAACCTTCACTACTGGAGCACGCTCTCTCGAGACAGACAGCTTTCAGTTGTGACTTGCTTCACTGGGCATTGGAGGAGCATGTACATATATACACGTGTGATTTCTATTTCTCACTGAAATTTCTTTTGAAATGATTCCACCCGAAGTCGTGGATCATTTGGCGGGGTGAAAGAAATCTAGCCCCTGGTGAAATCACTTTTGCACTCACGATTTGTTTTGCATGCTTTGTGCATTTGAATCAATTTTACTGCACTTAGTTTCGATTGCTCCTCACTGCTCATGTGCATGTCATGACTTGTGGATCTGAAGGCGCTTTGAATCAAGAGAGAACTTTCAAGAGCAGTGCGAGCCTACCTTAAACGTGCGGCCTTGGTAGATCCACGAAATTATCACGCAAACTTGGGAGAGTGCGGAGCGTGGATACCAACCGTTTTTGGTTTGCTGTCCCCACATCGATTCCGGGACATCAAGCTGCCAACAACTAAGCAGAAAAGGGCTGCTCTGTTGCTGCGATGGAAGAGCGGTGTCCATGGGTGCAGATAAGTCCTCTCAATTTTTCGTCGAAATGTTCGAATGAAACGAAGGTTATGTGGGAGATAACTTTAGGTGACATGTCGCGGACAAGCCGTCTCGAAGGCAAACCAGCAATCTTACAACTCCTTTCGTCCAGGACGCTTGACGTTTGTAGGAATTCTGCTTGAACCGGAGTAGTCACGACCGCAGCACGCAAGTGTCGTCCAGCATCTGCTGACAATGTTTGCTTAGACATTATGAGTCCGATGATATGGTGTGATCACACGTAGCATGGCATTTAAAGCTCAGCCCAGCCATGTATGCACCCCAACACTACTGCCTGGAGTACATGCTTGGGAAATCGGATGACTCCCATGGTGCCACGAGTAGGCGACTTCACCCAGCCGGCAGGTTCGTCTAGCTTCATCCGTGCTTCACTTGTGCCGGAACCATCAATCCTTGTATTGATTCGCAAGACCACAGCAACCAAGAAGGATCACCAGACAGTGACAGATGTTTGCTGCTGTTGCCAGTTTTCTGCTCCCTCTTCAGCATGATTTTGAAGAAAGTAAGGTCAACGATCCAGAACCAATTTTTGCAGGTGACCAAGCACGCGACGAAGGGCACATTCAACTGCCGTACCCACAACCGCATTGCAACAGCCGTTTCAATCTCAAAGCATTATTATAGAACGTCTCTTTGCTGCCTGGCTTGCTGGCAGCACAGTCCCGCACGTATCTCGCTTAGATGGAGATGCAGTTTTGTCACTGCGCAGTTTGGATTCTTAAGGGCCGGGCCTGCCGTTTTTCGACGCGTTCGGATGGTTAGGTGCATCTGGCAATGTTGCATCCCATGCGCATGGAAGATGGTTTTTTGCAAGGTGAACCCGAAGATTCTCAGTGCGGCCCTCAGCTTGCATCATTCAGTCGGCACAGAAAGCATGTGAGTTTCCCAGGTCAGTCAGTTTTCGTCACGGAGGAGTTCGGTTTGGTCTCGATAAAAAACCGCCTATCAGATGTTGAGCATGAGCAGCTAATACTTTGTTGCGGCTATCAGCATGGGGTGTTGCTCAGTAGAATAATGACGCACCGCATCGACTGGGAGCCGAGTCAACTTGCGGCTCTGTGGCACTTGCAGGGTTGCAAAACCCGAACTGCTCCATGGCCTTGCAATCTGCTGGAGCATCGTGCATATGCACACTGAGATTCCTTTCGGCATCCTGAGCAATGCGCCAGCTTGAGCCATTCGATGCCTGTCGAAGGGATGCCCCTTGGGGCGTTTTGTTTCGATGGGTCGCTTTGCCGTCAGTGGAGCTTGAAGATTCCCAAAGCGGTGAAGTGTCGAACGTAGATCGTAGAGCAATCTTGTTTCAAGGTGCTCGCCTACGTGGGTTGAGAACATGTTGCAAGGTCTGCCGTGCTCGTGGATGTGGCAGGTGGTCCCAGTTCTTGCGACCGTCGAATGTTTGCAACTGCAGGACCCGTAGTTCAAAAGTGTAAAATGTTGATTTTTTAACTCTTGCATTATCTCGAAACTTTCAAGTATGCCAAAAAGTACTTTGCTCAGTCACTCCCAAAAAGGCTTCGTCTTTCTAGCCTGTAAATTCTCCTTGCGTTGAGGAGCTGCTCTTCGATTCGCTCCTTTAATCATGTCAGGGGCATCAGCTCGGGGCGACGGCATTTGCATCACCAGTTGTGCTCAGTGTCTCCCATTTCGCATCGCTTGCCATCTCATTGGGTTTTGGGGGACTGCATGCATCGGCATGTGGAGTCGGTTCCAGGGGTAAGAATCGCGAAGGTCACTTGAGCATGAATCTCGAGAGTGCAAAAAGTGCCCCGAAAAGACACGCTGGCCCTGCGGGCTCTGCGGGCTCTGCGGGCTCGGCGCTTGGATGCTTCGGGAAGCCGCCCCAGCGACCGAAGCGACCGCAGTCCGCAGTCGGCTCTGCAGTCGGCTCCCTCGCCTCCCGATTGCTGCTTCTACCACAGGTTTCCAACCTGGATGCTCGGACACGAGGAGTTCGTGTAGAGGCCGTCGGCCTGAACTTTTTTGATCTTGTGCAAGTCCTTGGGGCAATGCCTTCCTTCGTCGCAGGGCAGTTTGCCAGAGGCCACCAGCACTCTGTTGGCATCGGATGCGACTTCGCGGGTGCTTTGCGTGCTGGGGATCAGGTTTTCGGTTTGGCAGGGAGTCCCGGAACTCTGGCGCAGCTTCTGCCAAACATTCCAACATCGGCGCTCCGGCCGAAGGGTGTATCCTCTGAGGAGGCAGCGGCACTGCCAGCAGTTTTCCTCACGGCTAAAGCAGCACTCAACTGGGCGCGTCTTTGTTGTGGCGAGCGCCTGCTCTTGCACGCGGCTTCCGGCGGCGCCGGGCTGGCATTGCTGGCCGCAGCTCGGCGACGTGGCCTTGGAGCGGGTATCCTGGCAACGGCTGGCAGTTCCAAGAAACAGTGCTTGCTTCGTCTACGTGGCATCTGCCATGTCACGTCTTCGCGGGAGTCTAGGGCCAGCTCAGCAGATCTGAGATGGGCCATGGGGGAATTTGATGGAGTCACTCTCGTTGTGAATTGCCTGACCCACGACGACTACGTGCCCAGAGGATTGTCCCTGACCGCGCCGGGTGGGCGCTTCCTGGAGCTAAGCAAAGTGAAGGCGTGGCTGGGGGGCAGGGCCGGGCAGAGGCAGAGTTCCATGCTGGCACTGCACGCTGCGCCAGGCCTGGTCAACGCAGGCAGTTTCTGCCTTCCGGCCCGACTTGCTCTCGGCGGTGCTCCTCATCGACCGGCGGGCTGCGGAGGTGCCCCCCAAGAATGTAAGCATTTAAACTCCCTCGTTCTTTCTAGGCACAGGAGCACAGACTGCCCGTCCGCAAGCTTGGTGATGCTACGAAATCCTGAAGTCAATACTCGAAAAGCACCTGGGATCCGAATGTGCATGCACTAGAAACATGTCCACATAGCATAGCAAGCAGCACCATGTTGACGTTTCCTGTCCTTGAAACCTTGCCAGGCGCCTGTCACTCTTCTTGCAGATCTTCGAGCTGTCGCCCACGGCATTTCCGCAGGCAGCGGTGCAGCCAGTCCAAGTTGCAAACGTCGTCTCGTCGTAGACTGATTTCAACTGCTTGTGCCAGGCGAGCTGCGCATGCCGCCCATCAAGACTTACAGCTTTCCGGACCAGGTGGGTGCCGCTTTCCAGGTCCTCAAGCAAGCCAAGCATGTCGGTACCAGAGATGCAGCTGTTCAAACCATGTTGATTTCCACTCGACCAGAGACTAGAGGGCTGGGATCTCAAGATCTGTGCTGAGGTAAGATTGTGCTGACTCTGCGTGGGCCCTCGTCTCCATGACCGAAGGGAAAGGCTTCAAGGATTTCCTCGAGTCCTTGCAGCGTGTCTCCGAGTGCATCGGAGCTTCTGATTTGGGGCCCTAGGCTGCGCGGCACCTGCTTTGGGGGCAGTCGCTTCCGTTCCTGCGTTGCCTCCCCCGAGCTGTGAAAGCCTGGCGCAGTCAAAGCCAGCTTCCGTCCTGGTTCATGTCACCACACGGCATTTGCTGACCCTTCAAGCCTTCACTTGGGTTTGCAGATCGGATTTGGCTTGGTTCTGGCGGAGTGGCAGTTGAAAGGAAGGTGAAGGACGGGGATGCTTCATAGAGATGCCCGCCACACAAAGTGGCTGACGGATGGCATTGCCGGCATCACTTGAGATCACGCATCATTGTTGGCCGGCTGCCCCTCCCATGCACACGTGCTTCACATGTTGGTTTGCCAGCGTAGGGGAGCAGACGGTCGAACCTGTGATCACCTGACCCGGCGCTTCCGACGCAGGCGCAAGAGGAAGGCTTGGAGAGAAAATTCAAAGGCTGTTGGGGAATAGACTTGGCCACCGCGATCCTGACTCAGAATCCATGCTGCTGTTGTGAGGTTCAGTCAAGGCCGTCGGAAAGCGTTGCAAGAAGCGCCTCCATATCCTTTTCCTTGAAGGTTGCACTCAAAAGCCTCTGCACGTGGAGCTGCTGAGTCTGATATCGGAAAGGGGCCGCAAGGCCCAAGGACCCTGGGCCTGCACTGAGAGAGCACGCCTCATGCAGCGCATGCTGGCCCTGGTGTCGGTTGCGCAAGGCAGGGAAGCCTCGGCTTTAGCCCAGCCCATGAGGACCTGTGTAGGGCCTCCCACGACCCCAAGACCAAGCAGAAGGGAACAGGGAGACGTCCCTCCTCCTAGTCCCAGTCCTCAATTTCTTGCACCGGAGAGGAGGTTGAGAGGTTGAGGCAAGTTGAGGCATTGAAGCGGCAGACTCTCGTGCCCCATCTTTTCCTGTATGACCTGGTCGAAATAGACTCCAAATCAGACTTTGTGACACTTCTTGTGCCGCCAAGGCTTTTGCAAACGGGCCGTTCCTGAGGCCGCCAAGATCTCTGGCCCTGAAGAGAGATGAAATTGGCAGTGAGGGACTGAGGGTAGTCTGATGGAGCATCCCTCTCACTGGCGAGAGCAGAGGGCAGAGAAGAGGCTAAAAAGCGAAGACAGACGTCGAAGTCCTTGGGCTCCTCCTCCTCCTTTTCGCCTAGGAGTTTCCAGGCGATCTGATTTTGGCCAGGAGCCACCTTTAGGTCTCGCTCCAGCAGACTCGTAGACTAGCCTTGCCCAGACTCCCCACACTCCGGGTGCCAACTCTGCTTTTTGCTGTACCTGGAGTTCCGATGGATGGCCGTGATCTTCGTCGCCTGGTTTGGAAGGCCTTGCCCATAAAGTCCTTGCCGGAAGCTGTGCGGACACATCCAAGACGGACCCTTCACGTTAGTGTTTTGCCTGATGTGGCAAGGAGCAGCTGCAAGAAAGGTCCGTGGAAGGAGTTTGTGGCGATGCCAGCTCTTGACGGTCATGTGGGCCTCACTTTCGACGCCTGACGTTGCTGCTGAGAGAAGTTCCCCCATGACGGTGCAGAATCGACCGACTGTTTCCAACGTGCTGCCAGACACGGGTTTGAGAAGAGACTGCGCGGCAAAACACGCTGTACCGCTACAAAGAGCATCAAAGGTCCCGCACGCTGTACGCACCGCTGTGAGGATGTCTAAACGCACATGGGTCGGATTGCGGGATTGCGCTTGCGCGATCTCGCAGCCATGCAGAGGGCTTCGGTTTGAGTGCCGCGTGAGAGTGACAGCGGATGGTGACCTGGCCCTGACCTCCGGCGAGACCCAGACCATCAGCGGCAATGCGGCTCCCAGCGCACTCATTCTGGGCCTGGGCCGCCACTACAGCGCTTGTCATGAGCGACCTTCATTCCAAACCAGCGAGCAGGTTGGTGCCCAGGAATGCCTCTAAGAGTCAGCCTGCGTGGCGAATGCGTCTGGCATGTTTCCATGCACCTCTGCGTCGTGCGCCTGCGTTCCTGAGCTTTTGGCGAGCTTCGCCTGGCGCCCTGGCGGAGTGGTGCTAGGCCGCTAGGCGGCGAGAGCGTGGTTCGCAGAGGTGCCTTGACACTGTGACACTCCTGGAGGTTAAGCAAAGGCCGGTACGGAATCAAGGCGCTCACATGGCATGCATTCGGAGAGTCAGCACCCCGGCAACGGTCGCCCCGCCTGGCCCTCCTGGCGAGGAGTCGCAGGCGCGGCAGCGGCCGTCGCGCACCGGTTTTTCGATCCCCATGCAACGTCGCGACGGACCTGGCCAGAGCTTTCAAAACTGATCTTGGCGCCCGTGGCACCACGTGCAAGATGAGGGCACCTCGCCAGCAAGTGTGCTTTTGGTTGAAGTCGAAGTTCAGTTCAGGTTGTACCAGTCCTGCTGCAGCTCTCCTGTGTTCAGTTAAAGTTCTGGTGATAGAAAACATCACCACTCTGCAGGCCGGCGCGGTGGTAAGGACTGGCGCAATGTGACATTGACGCACGATGCAGTGCGTCGGACATCATGAGAGACGCATGGCGAGAGGCACAAGAACCCTGACAGCAGGACCAGTGCTGTTGGCTTAAACTTCTTCGACATCATACAGGACGGGAGGGATCTCCAGAGGACCAGGTTGCTACCGGATTCATCGCACGGCTCGAGGCACTCGGCGCAATGCCCCGCAGCGTCGCTGGCAGGCGGATCTTTCAGTGCGTTCGGCGCCGAAGCCGCCATTCAGTGAGCGCAGAAGCCGTGAAGGAGTGCCGTGCAAAGCGATTCCTTGGGCAGCGACTTCGTCGGAACCTCAGCCGGGGTCAAGGGCATTGAGGGTTTTGAGGCATGCAGCAGAACTTCTTAAGCACCGGATGCTGCCTGCTGAAGTCATCAAGGTTGAGGTAGGAGTGGTAGTCGCTGTCCCACCGCCCATGTCAAATGGATTGCACAGCCACAGGATCGGAGGGGAAGGGGGGCTGGACTATCTGATCGGGGCCAGTGCCCATCTGTTGGTCTGGGGTGGTCTACAGTTGGGTGCACTGAGCCCCGTCCTGACGCTCTGTCTCTGGAGGCTTGACTGGAGGGCAGGCTTATGCTTTCTGGCCCTGGCGCTCTTCACGGTCCTCTGTCCTGCACGACACTCCAAGCACTTCTGCCGCTTCTACCTTAAGGCAGCATCGACGGTGGGCGGAGCCACAGCCTGGGTTCCGGAGGAGATCATGCAGCTCTTAGAAACCCGTGGCTATTTGCCACTCAGTGTAGAGGGACAGCATGTTCTTCTTCTCTCAGAGACTCTCCATGTCCCATGTCCATCGCCAGCTCAGGGTGTGCTTCCACCCGCACGGCGTGCTACCCCTGGGATTTAGTTTCAACGCGCCCCCTGGCAAACAGTACGATCTGACTTTGCTTCGCTGTGGTTGTTTGTTGTCCTTGGCCGGCTGGCGGCGCCCGAGAGCTCCCGATATCCAAGCACCAAGGGCTCTCCGTGTCAAGGCGCAACAGCCGGAGATTTACCTGCCGGAGTCCTTCCATTTCCCGGAGGATCCCAAAGACCGAGCAGCCCTGATCGTGTGATCGTTCGTGTCTCTGCGTCACTGTGTGAAGGACTGCGATGGGGTGCAAGCGCCTGTGCTTTGGCGCCTTCCTTTCTTCGCACCTATGCTGCGGATGTGGGACTGCTGCACACCAGCGACGAAGGCAGGAAAGAGCGTAGCGGCATAGCATTATCAATCCTTGCAAGTCTCACGTCCAGAAGCTGTCGATTCAGGAGAACATGAAAAAGTTGCTGGCAGCCAGGAAAGCCTTTGGCATCATTCCTGGGGGAAGCGAGGACGTCGCCATCCACGAGCATGGAAAGGAAAATGTTTACATCAACTCTCGGTATGGCTTCATCAAGTATTCCTTGCAACATGGATATTGCCTGGTTATTGCTTATACGTTTGGAGAGACCGACCAGTACCACAGCCTCACCTGGCTGAGGCCCTTGAATTTGTGGCTGGTGAAGGCTCTGCGTAGGTGGGTTCAATCTTTCCTTGCATTTTCTTTTCATTGTTTGCTTGCTTCAGGGTTCGCTTTTTCGGTGAAGTACTCGCTCGCGGAAAACGGCAGTGTTTTGGGTGTCGAAGCATGTTCTAGGCCTACGTTTTGCATCGCCCCTGGCAGACCTTTGGCTTCGTGGTTCCGGTTTTCTGGGGCAAAACCTTCTGTCCACTGCTGCCTCGCGGTGGCGGTTTAAATACCGTCTACGGCAGAGCATTACACTTGCCAACGATCCCAGATCCAACACTTGAAGACCTCGTCCACTGGCATGGGGTGTACGTGGAGGCACTGGTCGCGCTTTTCGATGAATACAAGAGCCGGTTCGGATATGGTGATCGAGAGTTAAGATGTTTCTGACGGCTTCAACCAGAGGATGGCTGAGGGCTCCCATGCCATCACTTCTCTTAGCTCCGGATCTGGAACAGATCCGCGAGAGTCCAGTGCCAGTTGCTTGAACATGGCAATTTGCGGCTCGATGCGAAGAAATTCGACTCGCAGAGCGCATCCGTGTGTTTGGACTCGTGTCAGCCTGCCTGAGGCTGGACTAGTGATTGAGCCCTCGACTGCCTTCAGCTGTGGGGACCGGATCTTTGGCATCGCTCAGGGGAGCCTGCGGTGAGGGCCTAACTTGCTTCCGACTTTGTCTCGCCATGCAGTGGTTGATGGAACACCCAGGCCATGTATTGAGGCATCTGGCTGCCTGGCGGCTCTGATTCCACAAGGTCAGAGGGATGCAAGCATGGCCTCGCTGCCCACCGTCGCCCTGCTTCTTGGCAGCCTGTTGGGCTGAACTTCGCTGCGGAACAGCCTGCTTGATCCAAGGACCGTTTCCGCAGCTGTGGCGGAGCTGGGACATGTTACTCCAGGGGACCTCGTGGCCATCCAGGCGGCTGCAGGCGCGACGGGGAGCATCACGTATGCGGCGGAGCCTTCGGCGGCGCTACCGGGGGTTAAAAAAAAGACAGGGATTGATATTAGAAGCTTGAAGGAGCTGATGCGCAGGTAAATCCTGCCAACCCGGTCAGTCTGTGATAGCCTTTGTCTGGCGCCGCAGGCGGCACCGGCGTGCTGGCGCTGGCTGCGCTGCGCCGTCGTGGCGCAGCGCTGCTCGCAACGGCAGGAAGTGCCTCTCACCTGCAACAGAAACTGTGGAAGAGCAGGGCATTGTGTGGTTTCGGGTCCGAGGCCCGCAAGCAGTGCTTCCTACGCGTGCGGCGCGGCGTCAGTCGGGTCACGAGCTCCCGCTCCGGCGATGCGCGGCTCGGAAGAAATCAGCAGGTGGAAGGGCCGAAGGGCCTTTGTCAGCCTTTGGGGCCTTTGTGCAGTTGTTTCAGTTTTTGCATCTGAGGTTTTTACGAGACGCTCTCGCTGGCCTCCCGGAGCACTGCCTTGGGGCAGACTTTCTGCTCAACTGTTTGACGCACGACGACTTCATCCCACGTGGCGCCTCGACCATGAAAGCAGAGAGAAGAGCACAGTGAGCAGACTTGCGCAGGCTTGTGCCTTGGTCTCCCAGGTTTGTCGGTGCTGGGTCCCGGGGGTCGTTTCCTGGAACTTGGGAAGCTCCGGGTGCCTCGGCTGCCGTGGCGGCCGCGGCCGCTTTTGGGTTTCACTGTGCGGCGTTTCCTCTGCCCGTCTCCACACTGAAATCGAGGTTTGGTCCTCGCGGTCGGTGCGGCGTTTCCGCAGGGACGTGGTCCATGCAACCATGTGCCTCAGACTGACTCATGCAGTACGTGGGGGAACATCCCAACGTGGTACGTGGCGCAGGCTCCTGGATGCACGTGTCGCTTTTGCGGCCGTGAGCCTGGCCAGGGAGCTGAGGGCCATCGCCGCGGCCATTCAGGCAGTGCGGCAAGCAGTGCGGTATCAGCGGCATGCGGCGGCATGCGGCTTTGCTGTCAGAGTACAGGGCACTCCCAGTGCTCTGAGCGCGTTCTGCGCAGGAAGGAGAGCTGCAGCTTCCACCGACCTCCGTCTTTGAGTTTCCGGAGCAAGCCCTCGAAGCCCCTGCCTAATGGGCCTAATGACGCGCGAGCAAGCTCTTGAATTCTAGAAGCGTTGAGTCTTGGAGGCTTTTCGTCTTTTGCACAGTTCGAGGCAGATTGGCAAGGCAGGGGGTGTTAGGAACCAACATGACGTTACTCGCTCGGTCCCGTCTGAAGGTCGTCTTGGTCTTTGACCACCACTTGCCCGGAACAAAGGCGGAGGACAGACGACGGCTCAGTCATAACTGGTCGGCACGCATCCCTGCTGCAAGGACTAGATTAGACCATTGACCACCTGGGCTCAGCGGTTGTCTTCCAAAGCGACGCCTCTTGCAGATGGCTGTGGCTCCAGCACAACCGGCACAGCCAGCATATCGGCACGAAGAATGGTGCCAGACATCACCACGAAGAAATGCCAAGCAACGCCAGACCGACTAAACGGAAATGCAAGCTGCATCACAAGCGCCGAGCCGCCGAGCTCCGGGGCTCTTGCCAGGCTCTGGGCGAAGCCTTGGAGACTGCCCTGCAAGCCACAGCCACCACAGCCACCACAGCTGCAGTTCCCGTGTGTGCGGGCCATTTTCCTCTGGGTCAGAAAGCTCGAGCATGCAGGGCAGTGCCCTTGTGCCCCGACCTAGGGTGCAGGCCTCGGGCGCATCAGCTGCGGGTGATTCGGCCTGGGCCTAAGACATCATTGAATCACGAGATCCTGCACAGGATACAGCGTCCAAGAGAGTCGCGTTTCCCTGTCTGGGAGCTTCGCCGGTGAATTTTCCCACCGTGAGCCGGCTGCGCAGCCGAAGTGCCCGCAGCAATGGTCATGTTCGACGATTCAAGCGTAAGAGCAGACGAAACAAATCCGAGTCGGAGTCTTGAAATTGGAGAAACTGGCAACCTCGCTGCTGGCCACGGCAGACGGGGTGGCATGTAGGGTTTGCCGAAACTTCACAGAGTTGGAGCACCAAGCCTAACACGGCCAATCCCTTGAGCACGCAAAGTCGAACTATGTGCCTCGTAATCGCACGGTCGACACCAGCTACAAACTCAACACACAACACCACTTCCAGACGGCTCCGTTTTTGGTCCCTGCCCTCCTGACAGTCTGCTGCGATGCATTTCAGCTCTGCTTGGCAGCCTCCTTGATAACAATGGCCCTGGTGGTTCTGCCACAGCACCCGACAGAGCCTGTGCCACCAGCTTGTAAGCGTGGGCATTCCATACGTTCCGTGTCCATCAACGGTTCCGCTACAGACCAGCGCCGGGCGAGCTGTTTCAACGTTTCACGGCCGGTTGCTATTTTGAGGCATGCAAGTGACCTTTTTCTGAATTTGAATGCTGCGGTCTGCTTGCCCGGATAGACCGGAGGTGTTGCTGTGGGCGGCTGTGTGTTTTTCGGTGCCTTCGAGGAAATCCTGCTGCACACTGTTGCATGCCGAGACTTGCTGAGAAGCCTCCCGGGCTGCTGTTCTCCGCTCTTCCCATCTTGACGCTTTGAAGGCTTGCAGACGTGGCGCCAGGAGTTTGGTCACGTGTCGGTGCTGGGTCGGAGTGATGTGGAGCCCAGGATGACATCTCTTTCAAGAAGTTTGAAGGCGGTGTCGCTGGCGAAGCTTGACCTTTGAGGTGTCCGACCCGTCGATTCCGAAGCTCAGCTCGACCGCAAATTGGAGGAGTCGACGCGGCTTGGCGAGGGTGCCTCACAGCAAATGCGACAAGACATTTGAGAAGTCCCGCCCGGCTTCTTCGCAGGTCTATCACGACGAGGTTCCCGAGGCATCGAATCATCTCTAAGCATCAGATATTCAACTGAACGGGCATAGCGAGCTCAGTACACCCTCATCGTGCTAGTTGCAACTCCCGTGTAAGCGATGCAAACGAGTGTCGTGCAAGCCCCCCAAAGCACCGCATGTGACCCCCCGGCTTTTTGAGAAGCTCTGCCGCGCCGGTGGGTGTGCATGTGTTACCTACCCCGCTTCGATGCACGGCGGCAAGGATGCATCTGCCATCGGCACTGTCGCACATGCTTCGAGGCTGGTCCAGGTCATGGCCTGTGCCCCTTGCATTGTTTGAGCAGCACGGCCAAGTGCCAAGTTTCCGATCAGGTGTAGGCCGCAGCAATAGCTGGGACTCTGTGGTTTCTCTCTTGCCGGGGCCCTCTGCCTCCCTGCGTGCGGTGAACTTTTTGATTGTGGGCAGCAGCAGCAGCACGATGCCTTGGGAGCCGTGGAAGTGGGCAGTGTGGGGTAGTCTCACAGCTCAGGGTGGCCTTGCGATCCTCGCATGTGTGGCTTCTGCTACGGGAGAACTGCGCAAGCGGTGGCAACAGGGCTGCCAGTTGGCACATCGCTGTCCTGGCACAGCTTGTGCAGCCTCATGTCTGGGCCTGGGCGCCGTTGAGTCACCGGCGTGTTCATCAATCGGCTTCGTTTCCTGGAAATCCTTGAGGCGACCTGACATCGTCGATGTTGCACTCGTTGAGCGGGGACTTGGATAGCCACCTGTAAGAAAAAAGATACCAGATTTAAAAAATCACGATCTCCGTGGCTCGCACCTGGCCCCTCTTTCTAGCAAAAGTCTAACTTCTTCCCCAAAGACCCTTCTTGCAAAGCTGCCCGACAGGGTGCAGAAGGCTCGCGGAACAAGCGACGCTCGGCTCAGTGGCTAAACGGCTAAACCTTCTGGCACTCCTGCCCGCGACATGGTCGCGTTGGCTGCAGAGCTTCCAAAGATGGAGCCTGCCGAGTGAAAGAGCCGGAGGCTCCGAGGATCCCACAGAAATGAAGGCACTGCAAGGCACTCGCAAGCCCTGAGGAACTTGAGTCGGGCTCGGGCTCGGGCTCGCCTTGGAGTGGCGGCGCAGCCTTCACCCACCGTGGCACTTGGACCGCCCCGGCGCTTGTGTTTCAGTTTTTGCTGCTCAGCTCCCTTGCTGAGTGCCTTTGCCCTTTCTGGCGAGCTGCATTGCAGCATGTGCAGCATTTGCCATCATGTGCAGTCTACAAGGCATGCTCTTGCTAAGGCCACATGAAACACACTTTCAAGCCTGAGGTTTTGGGAAGGTTTTTTTCAAAGATGCGCGGGGTGCTTGCAGTCACTGCCTGCGAATTTCATGGCCATGGCTGCAGTCTGCAACGAAGTTCCGCCTCGGCGTCCTCACTGCGACTCGCTAAAGAGAATCTCGCTTGCAAGCACTTTGCGGTGCGTGCTTTGAACTGTAGGCTTGATGCTGTTCGTGCACGTCCAGCATTCCGGCCACAAGCATGTCAGTCACCAGACCCTGGACACACAGAAACTTGTCACAGCCTTGTTCTGGATTGTAGAAAAGTGCAAGTATTCCTTGATTTTGTGTAGAGATTTCTCCCAGGTATCAGCCGTTTGATCAGTATTGAGGCGTAGATGCTGTTTCGATTTGCCAGTAGCAAAGTGTAACCCTTCCACTTCAGCTACCTCGCTTGCATGTAGCACAGTTAAAACGGAGACTGGCAGTATTGGTTTGAATTCCCCTCCCATCGGCCAGCATACAGTCCCGAAATCAAGAGTTTCCTATAAGAAGGCTGTGTTGCCGGAGAGGCCTCTTGGTCGTGGACAGATTCGGTGGCAACTAGATGGGCTCAGAAGTGCAAGCTCCAGCACGCTGACCTGAGCCTTGACAGTGTGACGACGTAACATGCGAGCGGAGCTGAGCCCACGCCAAGAGCTGCGGCAAAGAGGGAACGGCTTTGCTTTGGCCTCGGCCTTGAAATGGACTGAGCCACGCATGGCTGGGACTAGAAGCCCGGTTCCCAGGAGAGTGCCGGGTTTCACTCCCTTGGCTTGGCCAGGGCCCCTGGTGCGATCTTCCCCCGAGCCACGGAGAGTTGAAGTCGTCCTTGCCAAGCACTCTGAGCACCAGCCCCCGCCACTGCCCGAAAGCTTTTTCCCTTTCCGAGGCCGGTCATGAACATCACGGGCTCCGTGGGTTCTGCATCTGCAGGAGGTTGAGATTGTGGGCGCAGCACGCCGTGCCGCCGCACCGTGAGCACGGTCACCAGGCACTGCCCAAGAGCAAGATCTCCAGGCTGCCCGCCCATTCCGCTCCTGGTGCTCCTCCTGCTCCTCTTGCTCCTGCTCCTGCGAGCAGTGTTGCTCGGTTTCGGCGCCCTCTGCAAGTGGTCCTGTTGCCACGATCCAAGAATACAGAAAAGGAGCGGATCGACACACATCCTCTGGAGGCAGGCGTCGCTCCCGTCGGGTAAACACGATAAACCCGGTCCTGGGCTAGCCAGTGCCGGTTAGCTGCTTTGGCCGCTTAGCCTTGCAAGCTAGTGGTCCTCACTTCTGCCCAGGCGGGAACGTCCAGGCGACCTTGCGAGAGGGTGAAAGCGCTTTCACGCTGGCGCCTTTCACTGGATTTGTCGCTGAGCTCAGGCTTCGAGAGGCTGCGGAGAACGGGCTGCTGGTTGCTGCCCTGCATGGCCTGGTGCAAGGTGGAGGTGTTGCCATGTCGCAGGTGGCGGATGTCCGCTTCGCAGATGTCGAAACCACTTATGTGCTCGGTAACCTGTCGAAGGGAGCTGTGCCATGCATTCTGCTTTCAAAAAATGTGGCTCTTCTGGCTTCTTCCCTGGCTGATGCCATGGCCTTCTACTTGGAAGACTCCGTCTTCGACGCGCGCAGTGCCTTGGCCCTCGGCCTGATTCAAGCTTTGTTCTCCTCGCCCTCCAGCACGCGTGCCGCAGCAGTTTCCCTGTCGGCCACAAGCCTCCAATCCCTTCGCTCCGTCCGAGTGCCCGCCGCAGACGCCGCACGCTTCGCCGAGGAGGCACGCGGCCTCCAGCTGTCTCTCAATTGTGGCGAGGCTTTCCGCCAAATGCCAAAGCCAGCGTGCCATCCGCCACAGCTGCCAGAACCAACGCTGCCTGCAGCACGCCGGCATCCAGCACGTCCTCAACGCTTCCGGGGGCCTCGCAAGGAATCTTCAGCCGCTTCGCTGAAGCCGAGGGTGAAACTGTGGCTGCCGGCGCTGCAGCCGACTTTGCACTTGGCAGCGCTGACAGCACCGTGGCCCTTGCAAGCCCGAGAACGGCCAATGCGGTGCGAAGGCGACGGCGACGGCGAAGCGTCCGGGATGGTTCTTCGGGTTGTCGCCCGTCCACCCGGTGCAGCCGGTCCAACCTGGCATGCCTGGCGAGCATGGCCAGTGCGGTGGTTCATCTGACAGCACGGAGCCTGCGGCTCGCAGAGCTCAAAAGGCCATAAAGACGATGCTCCACCACTCCCAGCCTCAGATAGGCTTGGTAGGGTCTTGCAGACTGATGCCTTGATCCTTCACGATAGCCCGTGACAGTTGCCGACAGTCCCGGTTCCGCAACGGCAGCGGCTTCCAGTGTATACAAGCTTCGGTGCCAGCAGGTAACTAGGATTCGGTGTGAGCTTGGGTTTCGGGCTTAGGCGCCTCGGGGCATCGGGCTTAGGGTGTCGGGTCAGGGCCCAGGGCGAGGCCGAAGGAAGTTTGCCAAGAGCTTTGGCGAGGAGACCGGCGTCGCTGTTGTGCCTGGCGCGCTCCGCTTTTCGCACCGAGCGGCCAGGCCGCACCGGCCGCACGCCTGCAGACGTTTCTGTGGGTGCTTTCTAAGGGCTTGAAGGTATCGCACTCCATCCCAAGGGTTCCCGCCCAAGCCAGGCTCGAGTTCGAGCACTAAGAGCACTAGCCATTCGATCCGCTCCTTGTGTCTCCTGGGCATGAGATCTCCCCTTTCTCGGAGAAGTGTTCCTTTCGGCAGGCGTGCTGACGCTCTTCATACAGGGACAATTGAGGAAACGACGGAGGTGCACCAAAGCTTGTCCGGTGCGACACGTGAGCGAGTGCGCAGCGCACAGCTGCTGACAGCCGAGGTGTTTGCAGCACTTCGATCAGGTCGAGATCACCCAGGAGAGTCGGTGCGACAAGTATCCTTCATTCCTGCAAGGCTTGGGCTCGGGCCGATCGCGGCTTCCCGGGCTTGTTAGAGTCCTCCTTGCGAGGCTTTGCTGGCTCTGCTTCCTGCGGACAGTTTCTGCTGTTGCAGGGAGGAGGTCCCCATTTCTGCCCTGGAGGCAACCCGAGTGCAAGTTCTCGCAGAGGGGAGTCCCTCTTCCAGTCTGCGCCTTTCAGCTTGTTCCTGGCCGTAGTCCGTTTAAGAGAGATGGAGGTGGACTTCCTCTGTGCGGCCTTGCAGGGCCTCGTGCTCGGAGGTGGCCTGGCTATGGCTTTGCTTTGCGATTTGCGTGTCTTGGACCACCAAAGCTCCCTGTCGCTGGGGAATCTCTCGCGTGGGATGGTTCCCTGCATGCTGCTGTCCTGCCATCTTCTCCTGAGCCTGTCCAGCGCCATGGACCTCTACCTCACCGACGACGCCTGCACTCCGGCACACTGGCAGGCCCATGTAGGAGATACTGTCATGCCTTCGACGCAGCAAGCCCGGGCGGAGGCCTGGGCGCTCTTGGCCGCAGCCCAGCTAACCCGACTAGCGGGGCTGCGGATGCCCATCGGAGTCACAGCATCGGCACGCTTCGTAGAAGAGGCCGTCGCCCTGCAGCTGAGCCTTCGCTGCGAGCCTGCCCTGACGTCCTTGCCTGTCCTGCCGGCCCCTGGCTCCTGCAAGGTGTTTGGAGAAGGAGAAGAAAGACAAGAAAGAGAAGAAAGAGACAGAGCGGGAGCGGGAAGCCGTTCCCGGCCCAAGGTAGTGGCACCCGTCTCGGCCGCCTGCGCTCTTTGAAGCTCCCGGCATGAAGGTGATCCCGCCGCTCTGGGCGCTGCGTGTGTGACGGAACGGCGCTCCGTCAAGGAAGGGAGGCCAAAGGCAAAGGCTCAGTCACATATGCTGGTTTCCGGGCAGCTCTGGCGGCCTTGGCTCTCGTTTTTGTCAACTTTATGGCCGCTTCTCCGCCTTTTCGGCTTGTGGCAAAATGGACAGCTGTTTACAAGACGCTTTCGCTTTCGCTGCAGCTGCGCCGCTGCAGCCGGACCATAGGAGTAGGCTGTGCAGACCGGCCTCGCTTTGAACCGAGAGATTTCATGTCCATCATGGCGAAGCTCTGAGCCAAGCTAAGATGCCGGTTGACATCGGTTGACATGAAGTTTAACAGTTCTGCTCATGCCAAGAGCTTGGTGGGCTTCTCGAATGTCGCTGGCTTGGGACCAGCGAGATTTGCACCGGTGATGTGGCGGGGTTTAGCGGTTTAGCGGAAGCCGTGTGCCTAGAAGCGAGGGTGCAGAGGTCGCTTTCAGCACGGTGTGCATGCGGTTGCCGGGTGGATTTGAAGGCGCCAGAGCTGCAAGAGCTGCGAGTGCCATTCACCGCACTCTTGTCTTGACTGCCAGTCAGTCTGGACGGAGCATCCCTTGGGCTTTTTTGCCGCTTCTCCCTCTGCCCACATTTTGCTCGGCCACCCGCCGCAGATGCAGTGCATGTGCCTCGACCTGGCAGGTAGCTTCAAAGTTCCATCAGCGCCTCTTCTGCGCTAAGCACTTCAGCGCCCCCCACACTCTGCGACGAGACGAGACTTCTTGAAGTCGGAAGATGAAACGCACGTGAAACGTGTGGAGAGACGTCTCGTCGGTTCCTTGAAGCAAGCCATGGGCCGGGGCCCCATGGGCCGAAGCAGCTCGTAGGATGCGTGCAGATGGTGACCGACAGGCCTGTCTGCATTCAGGTGCCCCAGTCTTCTCAGGACCTTTTCAATCCCTTGGAGTTTTGCTAGCCTTTGAACGCTGTTGAAGGCGGCAATCTCTCTGACTGTTTGCAAAGTGTTACATACGTTTGAATTGAAAAGTGAAAGAAATCTGGCTTGACCTTGCGGACGGCTGTCCTATGAAGTTCAGTTTCTGGTCATGTAGTAATCTGTCGCTTAGCGCAGAGCTCAAAATTTCGAGATTTGACGGTCTAAGTCTATCCAAGACTGTTGAAGGGGCTGCTCCGTAGGCCCGCAGTAGGCTTCCGGATGGCTGGCCTGTACCTGTGCCTCAAACTGCCCCTGCCACTACTTTGAGAAGTCTTGCCTGCCTGCTGAGTACTCTCTGCCCGCTGTGCAAAGCCACCTCTGGTGTTTCGAGAGCGTCAGGCAAGGCGACGCTCCGCATGTCACGACTGCATTGCATGCATTGCAGTGTAATGCCCTTAAGTTGTGCCGACTTGACTTCTGACTGCCATCTGTAGCTCTGCAGCCGTGCTAAGGCGAGGAGCTGCCGAGGGGAGATGCATCCGTTGGGTATGCATGGCATGCTGAAGAAGGGCGTGAAGAAGGGTTGGGGGACCGTGCGCATTCCAGCACAAGTGGCGAGTGTTCCACACACGCCATGCATGAGGCATGCTAGCCGTGTTGGCAGGACCCGCGGACGTGCGAGACTAGTGCAGTGGAGCGTGAGCCAAATCGTAAGACTTCCCTTTCCATGCTGGAAGTGCACTGTCTGGGAATGGCTCAGCTTGGGTTCGGTGTGCCTTGTCGATATTTGTGAGAAGCTCCAGCAGGGAGTTTCTGTCTCCATGCACGGAAGGCTGCCCGAAGTGTTTGGTGGATTGCCCTGCAAACTACGATGTGCCCATTGCCTCCACTGAGCTGGTGGCAGCCGGAGAAGGTGCAAACCGCCTTGCCAGTCCTTTCAACTTGGAACCCGCACGGCAGTGAATCCCGGTGAAGCCCGTAGCCTGCCTTCCGCTCTGTGCGGTGTTGGAGGTGGGCACATTGGAGTGAAAGTCGAAGGCAAAGGAGCAGCAAGCTCAGTAAATGCTTGCTGCTGGAGATGGCCAATAGCTCTTGCTTCTAAATTTCGCAGAGCTCTCAGAAGCTTCGCATGAAGCTTCTCGTCGACACATGGAGCCACGTCGGACTGAGAGGGGCAGAGAGCCGGGGCTTTGAGTTTTTCCTTTTTTCATGCTAATGGCTGGAAGCCGGCGATCCCTAAGACCGGCTACGCCAAGCAGCAGCGCCCGAGCAGTTTTGGCTTCGCTCAGAGACTAACTCCGAAGATTCACTGAAGTGGCACTGAAGGGGTGTGGGAGGGAAGTGGGAGCGAGGATTCAATTTGTAAGAGCATGCTCTGCCTTCAGGTGCGTTGTTCATGCAGCCTGGCACGGCGCTTGCCCACGTCCGTGTCCATGTCTGTGCCCGCGTCCAATGCCCCTGTGAACCGTAGGGCTGTGTGCTCTGCTGCGGCACCCGTGACGGTGCTAGCACCTGCACTGGTGGCGTTCAGTGGCGGGCTGAATTTGGGCGCTGACACCTGGGCCGTGTCGCCCCCAGTGGTGGCCTAGCTCCGTTCTCTCCGAGAGGTCGTCTCGTCAGCATGCGCTGCGCTTCTGAGGCCTTGGCCAGCATTTGGAATGGCGTGGTTTTCGGGATTGAGCTGGTTAGCCAGGCAGACGGCAGACGTTCCAAGTTTATGAACGCGTGCAAGTCCTGCATGTCCCGTCAGGTGCACAGGGCAGGGTTCACTTCTCTGGCGCAACTCGCGCTGGCGGCACCACCTTGTGCAGTGGCCGGTGCCTCAGATTCTCATCGTGAAGCGACACCCAGGATCTCTACAGACGTCTAGGCACTCGTCAGGACTTCGTCGCGAGCCGTCGATCTGTATGTCGTCGGTTTTCTGGACATCCAGCTGTCATGTGTGCTGCAGTGCCGCTCATGTGGCTCTCCTTTCTCCCGCATTCTCTCTTTCTCTCTGGGCTGCCGACAGTCCCGAAAAACAGGTTTCACAGTGTCAGGTTCAGTAGACTGATGCCGTGCGTGGAAGACACAGAACGATCTTGCTGTCATGCTTTTGCTGTTAGATTCTTCCCACGCTTCTTTCTTCCTTTCGCACCTGTGTCTGCAACTTTTAACCGACGGTCCGTCGGGGACACAAAGTGCAAGGGCAAGGGTCCCTGACAAGCCTTGTCGGCTGCTTGGGCTGGGTGCGGGCCGCGAGGTCGTCGGCTGGAGCTTGGGAGCTCGAGCAGCCATGGGCTCAAAGGAGTCCTCGGGCAGACCCCTCCGGAACTGTGCGGCTTTGTGAGGCCACGTCCTTGGGCGCCTTGAGGGAGCGCTTGGGCCTGGAAGTGAAAGCCCTGATTGCTTTGGATGTCCGGTGCTCAGAGAAGAGCCGGACTCAGCCTGACTCAGCCCTGCCTTCACCCAGGATCGCCGGAAGCTGCCCTTTGCTGGGCCGATTGCTCCGATCACGATAGGCCTGGAACAGCAGCATGTGCGTTAGGATGCTTTAGGTGAAGATGCTCCATATATACATCCATGCCGACATCGAACAGTCTATCGTACACCTTCATGTCTTTCATCTATCCCCACTTTTGCCTGTGACGCCAACGAATGCTTGTCGCCATCGCCTGTTGCTGTTGTGTCCAGGCTTCGCGTAAACTCAGAGCGAGTGTTGCGCACTCGCTAATTGCTTCCGCTTCTGTTGCCGTCGGCTTCCTAATACCGACCTTGGGCAGCAATCACCCGGGTCGTATTGCTCTTCCATTAAAACTGGAAGTTGAGATGCTTTGCTGGAGATTTCAATGCGGCAATGCATGGCTGCTTCCAGAAACGTGCACGACAGTATTGAGTTGGCGATTGTCAGATGAGAGCACGGGGTGGTTTGCGTTTTGGCGAGGTTCTTCGTGGGGCCAACTTCATATTCAACTCCTTAAAATTCTGCACTTGCGAAGCTGACAACTGTCTTGGATGAGCTTCAGTTAGCGCAGCTGAATTTCAGGTCGAAGCGCGCGGTACCGCATTATAGTTGCCTGATTGAGGCAAAGCTTTGCCACATGGTGCTTGTAAGCTGAATGGACAGATGAATCGGTATTTCGCTTTCTCTTCTGTGACGACAGTCTTATTGACTGGCGACGGAGAATACGTACAGACGTACAGTGAGTCTCAGAGTCCAGCAGTCCACCAACCCCGAGTCTCGTGCAAGGAGGGCCCATGGCGTGCACGGTGGCGACTGTGAACATGGTCTCAGCCGCCGAAACTGCTATTGCCTCGGGATGATGTGGGGCGCAACCGGTTGCATTGGGTGAACATTGGCAGGTCCCTTGTTTTCGTGGGTCTGCGCTCTGCCTCCTCCCCAGTTGCATCATGAGATGCCCAAGGGCTGTTCCTTGAACGAAGAGCGAGGTTAGACCTGACGTGCCGCCTGCCGTCTACCCAGATGCCGGAGATCTGTCGGAGATCTGCCAGATTCTAAATGCGGCAGGTCTCCCTTGAAGATTGATCGCAAGGATTGGACTCTCTCCTTTCAGGACGGACAGCATCCCTCGAGGAAAAGGGGTCTAGTTTTGCGGCCAGGACGACCGAAGCCTCGGGGCCCGTCGGGCTCTCTACTGCCGCGTCTGCCGGAGATCCCTGGAAGAAGTGGGCCATTTTGACGTAGGTGTGTGGAGTCGGAGTGCGAGGGGGAGAGTGTGCAGAGATGGGCTGAGTGTGCGAGCTCGTCGTTGCTCTTTTCGGATGTAGGCGTGGCATGCGCTTGGGACGTGACGCAGCTACTCCGACGCCTGAGCGAGGGCTTTTGAACACCAGTGCTGTTGAGCCTCAGGCAGAAAATGTGCAACAAGAGACCTTTACGAAGGACACAAGCCCGACATGTTGCAAACTTCATGCTGCAGTGTGCGATGGCTCAGAGAAGGTTTAGAGGCGTGGTCTCGAAGCAGTGCACAAAGAACCACACTGTGCTGCAAAGGCATCTGCAAGCCTCGAGTCATCTTCGTTCTTGCCTTGAGTCCTTGACAGCAAGAAGTGTTCGAGATCTCACGAAAGTCAAAGGTAGACCAATCTGGAGACTTTTGGATTTTAGAGGCCTCCAAATATGACAGTCATGGACGTTGGACGTGCCGCCACCTATGGAGCGATCAATAGCTCCCCCACGATCTCGACGTTGACGCTTCTCTCCGGAAAGCATGAGAGCCTCGGTATGCACTCCGTCACTCCTCAAGAGCGACCTGTAGTACGGAAGCGTGTGTCCAGTGAGGACACTCCAGGCGGACCTGCAGAAGACAGTGGACGCCTTGGTGGAGCTGAACCCTGTTCTGTCTGGACGCGTTTGGCAGAAGGACGGCCGTGTACTGCTGGAACCGAAAGCGCACAAGGAGTTCCTCCGCGTGTACGCCGCACCTTCCTCGGAAGCTGTCCCTACGCTGGAGGGCTTAGACCTGAAGGCCAAGATCCGCCTGCTCCAGTCGCTGGAGGGTTCCCTTTGTTCCCCCATGGATGGGCGCTTCACGCTTGGGCATGGAAGTCAGGTCTTCTTGGTCGAGTTGATGACCGGGCAGGACATGTGTGTAGTGGCTGTCCACCTGTCGCACATCGTCGGTGACATCAAGACCCTGTACGAGTTGGTGGGACAGATGAATGCACTGATGCGTGGCGAGACGCCGGAACCGCTTGTCTGGGACAGCGACTGGAGGCTCAGCTTCGACCTCTTCCCAGACTCGCTTTCGGAGAAAGACCGAAAGAAGCTGCGCTGGGGTGTCTTGGGCTGGCTTTGCCAGAAGCTCTGCGGTCCCAGGCGCCACTGCAGCGTGTCGCTTCTGTCAAAAACGCAGCTGGCGGAGAAGAAGCGCGAGCTCCAGACGGGAGCCGAGAAGCTCTCCAGCAACGACCTGCTCACCGCAGCACTCTCGCGGGCGATAAGAGGCCACTGCGGCTCCCCGTGACCTCTGACTCTAGGCCCAGCAGTCCCAGCATAATTAAGCGTCCTGTTGGCAGAGGCTCACAGATCATGAACCTCGCCGTGAACCTGCGAAAGCAAGCTGAGCAGCGCCGGATGGCCGGCAATTTCTGGCAGACGGTGGCCCTGGACCACGATGCTGCCAAGGACCCCAACATCATCCGGAAGCACCTACCCAAGCTGCAGTTCTTCAAGACTGATGCGATGCCCTTCTGGTGACTTCCTTAAAGTATTGTCACTGCAACGGCGGAGCTTCCGCACAGCTTCCGTGTTCAGTTTTGCGCAGTTCTGAGGCCTTATGTTTTGGGCCGCTACAGCTTTGTCACGAATTGGACGGCTTGCACGTGTCAGCTCGCCATCCCCGGCTTGACCGTGCACTGTCACCTCCCCCACTCCAACTTCCTCAAGGCCCCATGCACTGAGCTGCTTGGGGAGTTGGAGGGGCCAATCGCCAATCGCCGCTCCAGGGAACACCGACGAATGTAGCAGTGGCACCTTGGCCGCAGAAAGAGTGGACTGCCAGACACCATTCACAAGTACAACGTTGCATCCCTCCAACAGACGGGCTGCTCCGGCGGGGGCATGCCCTCAAGCCTGGGGAAAGAAAGAGTTCATTCGGCGGGCCTCAGGCCGCAAGCGGGTCCTGTACACTCTGTCTTCTGTTGGCTGGGGGAGTATGTCTAGTGAGTGGAGTGAAGTGGTTTCCGTGCATCTGTCCGTCTTGTCTGAAGTGTCACTCCAAACCGTCGAAGGTTTTCGGTTCGCGGATGTTCGCGGTCACGTGTGCGGGCCATGCGAACGCACGGTCCCTTGTTCGTGCCGAAGAATCGAGTTCTTTTTGACGTGGCAAAGAAGGGAAGTCTCGCCGTGCCATGACGAGCCTCGGGATGTTGTAAAGGCAGATCCAGGAGCAAATACTTGTCAGACCTTTCAAGCGAATGTGGGGATCCACAGCTAGTTTGGATTATGCAACAGATCCCCACCTTTTCGACGATGCTAACTCTGTTGTGCCGTGCATTAGGCTCATCAGGAAGGGGCGCCCCTTTTAGAGGCCTGTGCCGAAGCCTGTGACCGAGCCACGGAGAGAGCGTGTGCGCTCTTGCAAAAAGGTCGAGCGTGTGCGCTCGTTGCTGAAGGCATTCTGTGATTCCAACCCGTTGAGCCCATTAGTCAGCTACCTTTGCAGCTCCGCTGCATTGGTAGCGGAGCGACTACGCTCCGGGGAACCTACCTTTGGGTGCTACAGTGACTGACCTTGTTTTCTGGTGTGAGGCCCAACTGCACGAGACTTTACATTCTACCTGGCCTCTGCCGACCTGCGTGCAGCAGTTTTTCCTTTTCGTGTTCATTGTGGTGACAACATGGCAGACAACCAGGAGCGATCTACGATCCCCTCTTGGGATGGCCAGGCGAGGACCTGGCGACGTTACACTCGAGAAGTTTCATGGTTCGTCTTGAGTACGCCGGTGCACAAGCGGAGATATTGTGCTTCGCGCGATTGGTGGGACCTGCCCGACTCTTGGCGATGTCGTGGTCCCAGATGGACTTTGACACCAGCGGTGGCACCAAGCTCCTTCTTCGTCGTCTTGCCAGCTCGCCACTGGTAAGGCGCACTTTGCCGAATGCTGCGGCAATCTGCCAGCAGTACTTCAGTTTCCGCCGCCAGCCGGCGGAGACGATCGGAAACTTTCTGGTCAGGGAGACTTTGGTGCACGAGGAGTTTGTGGAGGCCATAATCAGGCTACATGAAGAGAAGCTTGGAGTGGCCCAAGACATGCGAGACTTTGGCCTCCCCGACGACTCCGAGTGGGAGACCAGCTGGTGGGAAGGTGGCAGCTGGGGCGGCGGCGATGACTACGGCGAGGACAATGCTGAGGGAGACCCTCCCGGCGATTCACCGGCAGATGATGGCAGACCTTCTGCTGATGCTGGACCAGGACGAGCTGACCTTCAAGACGATTCCGGACAACCTCGCGGAGCAACCGGCTCATCACCGAGCCACAGAGCAGGGGACTCAGGATCACAAGCCGGATCCAAAAAGGGCGAGACCCCGAGCGTCAAGGCTCCTCTGGACGAGTTGTCCATTGCCGACTCCTTCATTATGGATGTCTTGAGAGGCTGGCGCTTATTGCAAGCAGCGGGTTTGAATGCTGAAGAGAAGAGAGATATCTTGAGTACCACCAAGAACTCTCTTGATTACTCTGTGATATCGTCCGCATTGCAGAGCCTTTGGGATGATCAGTTGCTTGGAAACCATCGCCACACCTCCGGCAGCTACAACATGCACATGGTGGACTCCTTTGACGACCACACGGCGTACCAACAGGAGATGAATGACTGGTGGGATGATGGCGCGTGGGGGCAAGATTGGTGGTACGACGATGCCTACACGGACCACTACGAGGACCCTGGATGGGGAGATGAAGAGTGGCCCCAGGAGGCTCAGTCGATGAACGAGGCCCCCGCGGATCCCGAGTTGGCGGCCAAGTTTCAGGAAGCTCAACAAGCCGAACGGGTCGCCGAATCCTTGGCGGCTGAGGCGACGAGGACTTGGACAGAAGCGCAACGCGCCACCCAGGCGCTCAGGCGCGACCGCGGATTTGGTATGCCCTCGAACTCTGCAGCGACAGGCAAATGCTTCTTGTGCGGTGGCAACCACTTTGCCAGAGAGTGTCCGGACCGCTTTCATCAAGGTCCAAAAGGCGGCAAGGGCTATCACCGGAACTACCTGACCGATATGGACGAGAGCTACGCCTACTACTTCAACAAGGGCAAGAGCAAGGGCAAGTTCAAGGGCAAGGGAAAGAAAGGCATGTTCATTGAAGCCCAAGCCTGGATGAAGGGCAAGGGCAAGAATAAAGGAAAGGGCATCGGCAAGGATGGACCCAGGAGTGTGAACGCCTACTCCTCTGAGCTCTTCTTGGGTGGCTTGGAAGTCTCTGAAGTCTTTGAGGCAGCGGCTTCGCATGATGTTTCGTCGTCACCGGGGACCGGCATGATCGATTGCGGTGCCACAGCATCGGCGGCACCAGAGGCCGTTGTACGTGGCCTCATTTCTGCAGTTCTCACCCAGGACAAGGGAGCCAAGATTGAACTTGAGCAGTCCGCGCGACCGTATTTCAGGTTTGGGAATGGACGTTGGGGCCGGGCCTTATGTCGTGTACATCTTACTAGTGAAGTTTCTGGTGATCGTCAACAGTTTTCCTTGTATGCGCTCCCCAACCCTGACAACTACTACCAGGATGGTCTTGATAAGAGCTCGCTTGTACCCGTACTGATTGGCATGGACTACCTCGGTCAACATGGTGTTGGAATGATGATAGACTTTGCGAGTGGATTAGCTATGAACACCAAGGAATCCAACCCAGAACCCTATCGACTACAATCCAATCGCAAGGGACACTACGTTCTGGACATTGTACAACACCTCACCAAGGGTTTTGTGAACCATGAAGGCCAAGCTCATGTTATTGTACGTTCACCGTCCTCTGTACCCTCGAATCTTGATCATGAACATCATGGGCTCATGCTAGGCACGCTTTGGCTGGACATGACTGTGCGCGATGCTGAGTTTGACAAGCAGGAACTTGAAGCTGCCCGTGATAGGATGTGGAGATTGTATGCAGCATCACGCCCAACCTCTCTTCAAACAGCTCTTTCAGCTCAAATGCCTGGCACTGGAGGTGCCACAATTTCCTCGACAACTTCCTCTTCTCGGAGCAATGGCGTCATCGGCGACGGACCTCCACGATCCGGACCCGGAGACTGCCGCGCTGCTGGCGGCCTCTTACCAGGCCAAGGCAGCCAAAGCCAAGGCCAAAAGCAGACCAAGATCGTTCGATTCGACAAGGAGAATGAAAGCCGATCCTCGAGACCCGAGGACTCAAGCGACTCAGTGGCCGTGCTTCGGCCGACACACCCCGGCAGCTCCAGAGGCCAACCCTCATGGCCAGTGGATCAATTGCAGCGTGTGCAACCTGCGCATGCTGTACACCCCTCGGAAGGGGTCGCCGGCTTCATCGACGCAGACCTTGAATGCACCGATGGTGACGAAGATGTTGGACGAGCTACGCGGGCATCTGGGAACGACCAAACCAACGGCGAAGATATGCCTGCATGCGATGAACAAGATCACCGTGGAGGCCGTGCTGGAGAAGTCGATCAAGGACCTGCTGGAGAAGAAGACCTCGGCGAGTACCACGTCGCCGACCAGTACGGCGTGGGGAATGGTCGACGACGAGGAGCTGGTGGCGGCCTACGAGAACGAGACTCAGTGAGAAAGGATGCGGCGGTGATGTACAGACCACAGGTACCAGTCTATGTGGGAAAGAAGATCATGGCAATGGCCTCAATGTTCACGGCCCTGACTTCGAGTCTTCTACTCGGGTTACATCTACATGAACGCGACGGGTTGTGGGAGGTGGCATGTGCTCCCCATAGCTGGCTCTCGGAGGCCGCTGAAGGGCACAACCTGAAGCCACGGCGCATCAACTTGGCCAGTGGGTACGATCTGTACCAGACTTCGACATGGGACCAGCTACGTGTACTACGACAGCGGCACCGACCTCGACGACTGTGGTTTTCGCTACCATGCACCAAGTGGTGCGCATGGACGTCTGTGAATTTCAACACCCCAGACCGCAAGGACAAGCTTGAAACAGCTCGTCGGCGAGAACGCCGACTGTTGTGGAAGGCCAACCAGTTCATCAAGGAGGCCCTGGACGAGGACCCGGAGACCCAGGTGTACTTTGAGTGGCCACACCCATGCTTTGGTTGGAAGCAAGAACCCATGCAGGACTTGGAGCGACACCTGGAGGTACATTCAGTGCCTTGGTTGTCGTGCCGAATTGATGGTTGCAACTACGGCATGAAGGACCTGAAGGGTGAGTTCTTTCTCCAGAAGAAATGGTTGATCAAGACAACGGATGAGAACTTTCACCGCGTTTTTCGTGCCAAGGTGTGCCCCGGCAATCATGGACAACACGCTTACATTCAGGGCACGGAGACAGCGGCCACCGCGTACTATCCCTGGAAGCTTGTTCAGGCCATCACACGACATTGGCGACAACATGATGCTCCCCAACGTCATCTACGACTTCTTTCCCTACGCGAAGACCAACCGGCCCTATGTGAAGATCGAGGTGATGAACCAATGGATTGCAATGAGGTTTCGTATGAATTCCTTGAGGATCTTCAAGTGACAGAAGGGGAACTGGAAGGATTAACCTCGTCTTCAAGTGAACAGTGTGTCTCAGCAGGGAGACTGGAAGGATTAACGTCGTCTTCAAGTGAACAGTGTGTCTCAGCAGGGGTCCTTGATACCGATTTAGTTCGTCAGTACATCAAGCAGGGTGCCTTTGATCTGGAATCGTTGGAAAACGTTCTGATGGCGTTACCAGATCACATCAACAGGTCGTCGACTGTGCATACCAGACACCGTGACTTCCACAATCTCAAGGGCACCACCAACTATCTTCTGGGCCTTGGAACCTACTCGCGAGGAGGCCTTTGGGTTGAAGGAAGACATCCTGTACTACCAGCTCAACGACGAAAGACGCCCGATGGTCGACTTCGTGAAGGATATGTTCTACCTACGTATCACCGACTCGTTGCCTTTGACCCTGATGGATGGCATGCTTCTGAAAGGTGGCAAGGCTTCCGCATTGCAGTGTCAGCCTACACTACGCGAAAGGTGGTTGATTTGACTGAGGATGAGCGACAGCGTCTACGGCAACTCGGCTTTCCTTTGTCATCCACTTCATCTACTACCACAATGGCCTTGAATGCGGCGGAAGCCCCGGATGTGGTCCTTCCCGATGGAGTGACGGCGGTGGAGTACAAGAACTGGGAAGCTCAGGTGGCAAAGTTTCACAAGGCAGCGGGCCATCCTACCAACCGCAACCTTGGACGAATAGTACAGGAAGCGGGGCATCCTCCATGGAAGGTTTCAGTGGCCCTGAACCACGTTTGCCCGGCATGCCAGAGTTTGAAGCAAGGGGGAACCAGCTCTGGACAGATACCACCGGCATCTACGCACCAACAATATGCTGCTTGGGAGGCCGTTGGGATTGACATCGGTGAATGGGTTGTTCCCTCCTTGCGTGTGAAAGTCAAGTTTGCAGTGTTTGTGGACATGGCAACCAAACTACGAGTTGTGCATCCTCTACAGAAGTACGAGTTGCTGGAGATGAAGGCCGAGAGCACCAAGGACATCATCGCCTCCTTCTCTGAGCGATGGCTGTCGTGCTTTCCAAAGCCGAAGGTGATTCTACTAGACTCTGCGAAGAGTCTATCGTCAGAGGCTATGCATGATTTTGCCTCCAACATCAACGTTCTGGTTCATTTGGTGGCAGAGAAGGAACACTGGGCTCATGGAACCATTGAGGCGGCAGTTCAGGACATCAAACGCACCGCCTCGGCGATCCAGCTGGAGAGTTTGGAACAAGATCCCTTCGTCACCCTCTACTTGGCGACGTCTGCTCTCAACAGCACGGAGTATACGGCGGGCTACTCCTCATTCCAATGGGCGTTCGGGAAGAAATACAGTTTGAGTGATGAAGATGTGCGAACATTCCACAACATTGGTTCTGATGTGGACTACGTCAAGTTTGTTACGGCGAGACAGGAAGCAGAGACTGTGGCACAGAAGACACGAGCAAAAAGAGTGTTGTCCAAGCTGGGCAACACTACTGTGCGACAACCTTTGCGAACCTACAGCCCTCTCGACCTTGTTAAGGTCTGGCGGAAAGTTTGGCCAAAAGAACTACACGCTGGACCGCGCGGAGGCTATCGAAAATCTGGACGGCCACACTGGATAGGTCCTCGGCACACAGCTGTTCAGATGTTCAGCCCACTCCGTAAGACCTGTGACGGAGACCGAAAAGTTCCAGTACGAGAGCGCTGGCGTGGACCAGCCCTTTGAGTGGAAGTCCTTGGATGATTTCCTCCCCAGCAAGGAGTGCCACGACTTGATCAACCACGAGCCAGAGGAAGATGAGGTTGAGATTCCTGACTTACCTCCTGAACCCGATCGAACTACTGTTGTCAATCCGCCAACAAGACGTGTTCGACAAAAGACACGACCTCCTGAACCAACCATCAGCGATGAGGAAACACCAGGTGCTGCATCGACTTCTACATCTACGAAGCATCCCCAAGACGTGAATGACTACAACACCCCGGAACCCAAAAAGCTCAAGACTGGTGTTGCAAACGATGGCGACTTGGACTGGGTTGAGATGCTGCACGCTGAAGCTGAGCAAGAAGCTCAGACCATGGATGTTTTCACGGCCATGGACGACACCGAAGAGTTCCTCAAGATCGAGTTTGACATTGGTGGTGATATGTCGAATAGACAACGGAAACAACTGATCAGAAACCCTGTGGCGTTCTTGGTGAAGAAGATGCGGGACAGTGAGGTGGTTCTTGCAAAGCTACCTGAACATGAACGTCAAATTTTCTCACGTGCGAAAGCCAAGGAGGTTGACAGCTTCATATCCAACGAGGCTGTCAGAAAGTGCAATGACAATGCGGAAATCCGGCATGCCTACACCTCCAACCGCATTGTCAAGGCGCGATGGGTGCTTACGTGGAAACAAGTTCCCCCTGAGGATCGCGACGCTGCCCGGAAGGATCAAAAGGAAAATCCGGCGACTCTTCATGGGCGAGATGGTGCAGTTAAAGCCAAGGCCAGGATTGTACTGCTTGGATTTCAACACCCAAGCTTGCTGGACCCCACCTTCAAGACAGCTAGTCCAGTGCAATCATCCCTCGGGCGACATTTGTTGTACTCTATGGCAGCGCATCATCAGTGGGATCTAGAAGGATTGGACTTGGCGACGGCTTTTCTTCAAACCAAGCCCACTGAAGCAGACCAGGAGTTGTGGACCAGCGGCGTTCAAGAACTACGCGATGCTTTGGACATTGGTTCCGAGGGGATCATGCGGATCTTACGGAACATCTATGGGTCAACTACGGCACCACGTGGACTGTGGCTTTCCTTCATAAGAGACTCACTGAGTTGGGCGCGCAAGCTGTCATTGGTGAAAGGTGTCTTTGGATATGGCTTTCAAAGATACGAATGGATGGCAACAATCCTCAGGTGATTGGTGCCATGGGAGGACATGTTGATGACTTTCACCGTATCGGTGATGGCAGCCCAGAGTGGCTTGACATCAAGAAGGAGATCGATAGCGCCTACAAGTGGGGAATGGCGAAGACAGGATCCTATCGCCATGCGGGCACAGATGTAACAACTGTGGTGGATGAGAACAAGAACAAGAAGATTGTGGTGGACCAGGACTACTACATCGAAACGATCATGGACGTTGAGATCGAAGCCGACCGCATCCGCACGGACGAACCCCTGACCAAGCAGGATGTGGACGCGTGTAGGACCACACTTGGAGTTCTCCAATGGGCAGCCATCCAAACGCAACCCTTGCTGTGCGCTCGTTGCAATTTGCTACTGACTGAGCTGGTGAAGGTTGGAACAATGGCGGTTGCCAGGGAGATTCAGTCCTTGGTTGGCGAGGTTCGTCAATGGTCATCAAAGCTGGAGTTCCGGCGCTTTCCCTCAGCGAAACACTGGTCTGAGGTTGTGATCATCACCATGGGAGATTCGGCCCATGCAAACCGCCCAAAGGGTGAGTCCACCGGCGGCCTCATCACCCTTATTGCCGGACCTGAGTGCCTGACTGGCGAGGTCTGCAAGATGTCACTTTTGGCGTGGCGCACTTGGAAACTCCAGAGAAAGGCGATAAGCTCCAATGACTCTGAAGTTCAATCGATTCTTGAAGGCGAAGATCAGAACTTCAGGGCCAGAATGATCTGGTCCGAACTACATGGAGGCGGCGGACGTCGTGCATCACTACCTCCTCGGCAAGACTTGGTGACGCTCATGGAAGAGCAAGTCTCCCAGGTTCGTGGAGTTGTTTGCGCTGACTCTCGTGGTGGCTTTGATGCAGTAGAGCTTAACGAAAGCCCCTTGCTTGGACTTTCGAACATGAGAGCTGCCCTACAAGCCTACCAGTTGAGGGACAGTTTGAACCGATGCAAGAGTCAACTACGATGGCTACCAAGTGACTACAACCTTGGAGATGCCCTCACGAAGAAACGTCAAGACTGCCGCGTGGGACTTCAGAAGTTTCTTGAAGTGTACAAATGGTCCATACGGTTTGATCCCTCTTTCACAGCTGCCAAGAAAGGCAAAAAGCTGGGACGTTCTGCTGTACAGCATGTAACCCACCACAGCGAGGGCGAAACCCTTGCATCGTCGATCTTCTTTGGGGTTGGTGCAACAGATCCCCACCTTTTCGACGATGCTAACTCTGTTGTGCCGTGCATTAGGCTCATCAGGAAGGGGCGCCCCTTTTAGAGGCCTGTGCCGAAGCCTGTGACCGAGCCACGGAGAGAGCGTGTGCGCTCTTGCAAAAAGGTCGAGCGTGTGCGCTCGTTGCTGAAGGCATTCTGTGATTCCAACCCGTTGAGCCCATTAGTCAGCTACCTTTGCAGCTCCGCTGCAGATTACCAAGTCTGTGCCCTGCACCATGCCTGTTTCGTGGGCTGGGCCACACTGACGACTGATCGCACTCAGATCTTCAACGCCGACGCTGAGACTTTGGGCCTTAGCCACAATGCTACTCGGATGTTCCGAAGCAGACGAAAATGCCATGGAACTTAGCTCCGCCAAGTGACCAAAGGTGCCTCCTTCGAACCTGGACACGACGGGCCTCTTGGGCAGGGCACTGAGTACTCGTCATCATCCGTTTTTATTGTGCGGGCCGCTGTCGGCAGCCTCACTCGAGCTTCTTCGAGGTATGCTGACGCTCTGATCCTTCGTGCCGTCGATTTCGCCTCCGAAGCAAAACAAGGATGGAATCGATTCCTGTTCGTTGGAATGTTCATGCCTGCAAGCCGTGGGGCTCGCCGAACCTAATTCACCAGGTTGCGACGAGCCATGCGACAAGAGCTTAGTCAGCCTTTTTGCATCCTGCTCCCCCAGAATCGGAATCAACACCTGCATGTTGGTGACTCTCTGCGACAAGAGAAGCCTAAGACAGCGCCCACACATTTTGGCAGGCGATTCAGCGAGTTGATTGCACGGTCGGCTCGAGCCAGCCGGGTAGCATCTGCTTGCTCCTCTGGGTCCCGGTTTGCAGGTGGGAAGATTTCGTGTTGAGGCGACGTGTGATCCGATCAAGTCGAGGACCCAGACGATGCATGCATCGCGGTGGCTGGTGACAACGGCAGCTTATGGCTCGGCGTGGAGCGCCCTGACCGCGCTGCCGGCCCGACACTGAGAGCAGCACCGCGCGACCGTGCCGCAGCGCCAGCGCATGGAGAGGCCTCGAGGCCAGAGAGTTCCTGGCCAAGCGGAAAGACCATCAAATGCCACCAGGAGGCAACGTTGCCCTGCGGAACGGCACAGCGGCACCACGAGTTCTCTTCGGATTGCAGGTTTCAAAGCCAGGATTTGAAAGGCTTGATCGCCTCTGGCGCACGATCCAAGAGCGGAAGGCGACGGGCACCGAAAACTGCAGAAGTGCACGCGCCGGTGCGGCGCGCCGCTTGGGCGCCTCTCTCAGAGTCTCAGGTGCAGGCCCAGGATGCCGGCCGCTCCTGGACCGACGAGGGCCGCGACGCTGACGGGCTCTGTTTGCCAGAGCCGCCTTGCCGCAGGACGGCGCGCCTGCTCGCCAAAGGCACCGACAAGTGTGCACAGAAGGCAGCAAAACCCAGCAACATGGAGCCCACGTGGAAGCTGTGATGCTGAGAGTCAGAGAGAGTCTCAGTCTCTCTGTCTCTCTGCTCTTCTCTGCTCTTTGGGAGAGGTTGGCGAGGAGGCCACGGAGGTCTGCATCGAGGCGCTGATGAATTGGCCCTCGTCGGGATGTTGGCCTTCAGGGGCATAAAACAACGTGAAAAGTTGCACCGTCGCGATCCACTTTCAGGGTTCTGAAAACCAAGAAAAAATCAGGGGCGTACCCGCGCAGTAATCGGACAAACAGTTGGAGGGGCTTCGGGACTAGAACCTCCTGTGCATTGGCTGCACGGAGCCGCCTGTAGTTTTCACTTCAGCAGTTGTCTTCTTTGGCTCGTAGTGAGGCCTTTGCAGTGTTCCTGGAAGGCAGCCGCCCGAAGACCAGGAGGGGTGGTGAAGGAGTCGGCCGACCTGGCCCGAAGCCCAGGGTAATGTGCGGCAAAGTAGGCTCAAGGAGTAACTTGGGCGCTGGAGCGCTTGGCCGAGTCTGTATTTGTCCTGCGCTGTGCAGCTCTTCCATCTTCTGGTCCTGTGGGCGTCCATGGGGATCGAGCCCAGAGAAGTGTGGGGAGCCCAGAAAAGGGAGCGGCCATGTGGGGCTCCGGATCAGCCGAGGCTCGAGGAGCTGGCCAGGAGAGAGGCGCGGATATGGGCAGCGGAAAGCGGCTTGAACGGGTTTCTCCCTGCCGGACCTCTGGAGGGGATCAGCGGCGTGGAGGAGAAGGAGTCGCGGAGCGCGCGCTGAGCTTGGGCCAGGGCCAGGCGGCCAGGCGGCCAGGCGGCCTGGCCAGAGCTTCCAGGGCAACAGAAAAGAATTCGTGCTTCGCGCTTGCACACAACGGTCTTCGCAAAATCCGGATGTAAATCGCTGGTCAAATACATCTGGCTGCCAAGTCCTCCAACAGAGGACGGAAGAGTCACTGAAGAGCGATTGCTGTAGTGGAGACAGCTAGTTAGCAACTCGTGTTAGTGTGTCAGAGACTCTGGCAGGCATTTTAGGGACGTTGCCCAGCATTGCGGCCATGCCTCCATGGAGACTTGAAGCCCGGGCTGCGGCACACGAAGCAGGCGAAGCCATGCGAAGCCAACGATTCGGTGTCGTTCTGGGGATTCCAAGACGCACCAACAAAGAACGCTACAACAGCGGCTGGCAGTGCAGTACCGAGAATCGCACGATGTGCAGACCGTGTACAGTATGACGTTTAGGCAAAACTCACGGCCTCTGGGAAGTTCCACGGCCATCACAGCCGATATAAGGCACTATACGCCAACAATCGCCAACATATGGCGGCATGTGCATGGTTTGTGCAGTGTCATGCCAATGCTTTTGGCCACTCAAGCTCGGGGCACTTTCTTCCAGTTTGCGGCAAGCATATCGAGGAAGGGACTCAATCCCAAGCCAGGCCGGGTGTGTGCCGGTTAGCGCCTGTAGAGCGCCCTTCACACAGGAATTGTCGCCGCGTCGCCCCGGCCCTGCAGGAAAAGGATGCTGCCGTCCCAGCCCCGTGGGAGCAGGCCGGGTCGTTGTCTGACAGAAACTCTTTCGGCTTTTTCTCTTTCCGCAACTCTGCTCTGAGGCTGAGAGGACTGGCGGCGGTGGCTTGGAGGAAGATTACGTTTTGGAAGTGACAGCGAGGGCACAGTGCACTAAGCACAGACGGAATGGATCTGTCTTTTTTTGTCTCTCTCTCTCTCTCTCCCCCTCCCCCTCCTGTGAGACGAGAGTGCCCGTGGCGGAGGCACTGGCATCCGCGCTGCATTGCCTGGCTCCTCGCACCTTCGGCCGTTGTATGCGGTCTTCGAGGCCGAAGACGACATTGGTAGGCCGGGATGGCGGCCGACGGGATCCGAAGTGTTTGCTTTGGAGCTCTGACGTGTTTGAGGCCAGAAGCACTCCCAGGACTTCCTCAACGAGGTGCGCGGGCCGCGGGGCGGCGCGTGGGGACGCTGCTGCTGGGCGAGTGCAGGCTGCCTCCTCCAACAACTCGCCCAGCGCCCTGACCCAGCGCCACCCGTCCAAGGAGTTCGGCCAGGGCCCAAGAGACCCGATAAGAGAGGTCAAGAGAGAGCACAACTGAGCTCTGCAGGCCTGGTGCACCTGGATCCCGGTCTCGAGGAACCGCCAGAGCACCGGGACTTCGGCGGCGAGTGCACCGAGGCACAGCGCGAGCGGTGCAGGCCCCACAAAGCGCGGAATGCAGACAGGGCCTGGTCACCGCCTTCGTGGCGGCTAGCTCCACCTGCATTATGTCGCTGCTGCAAGAGGTGCGAAGCCTGGCTGCACGGATCCGACTCGTGTGCAAGTGAGAATCCTGAAGCTTCTCGGCCCATCTGGCGCACCTGTTTCAACACAAGCCCCAGGCCGCAAGCCCCCATCCCTTCCACAACCTCAGCTCAACAGCACCCTCCTGGAAGACCACGAGACCCATGGATGAAATGGGATGATCGGTTGAGCCATGGCCCTCCGAGGCTGGAAGTACCGGGGGGCGGGGGCGGGCTGTCGGGAGACGCCGCTCAGAGCCGAGGTTTCAAAGAGTGTTCCTGCGAGTGTGGAAACGGAGGCCTCCTCGGCCGCATCCTGCCATCGGCACCGGCTTTGTGCAGGACCTGCGAGAAATTCGTTTCCAGAAAGCCTGGGGAGGGCATTGAACAACAATTAATAGAAAGTTTATGAAGGAAAAAGGATGGATGGACGGGATGAGATGGGACCGGATGGATAGGTAGGCGGGTTGCTTGCCTGCTTGCCCGCTTGCCTGCTTGATTTCTTGATTGCTTGATTGCTTGCTTGATTTAATTGGATGATTGGATGATGATGATGATGATGATGATGATGTGTGGGTGGACGGATGGCTGGCTGGCTGGCTGGCTGGCTGGCTGGCTGGCTGGATGGATGGATGGATGGATGGATGGATGGATGGATGGATGGATTTACGGCGCTGCTTTCTACGTATTCGGGACACTCATTGCCGAGTTTTGTTGCTGCCCGTGCCAGGGCTTCGGTAGTGTTTCAGGATTTATCTTAGTGTTGGCACTGTCTTGGTGACACACGGACCGGACACACCTGTCACTTCGAGAGCCGATAGCTCCGATAGCTCAGCCCGGCTCCAAAGGACATTCGCCACAACCGACGGCCCTTTCCTGTACCGCTTCAAGGCGAAACGCCTCAAGTGGAAGTCGGCGCCTGGGAACGGAAAGCGATCAAAGCGATCAACCGAAGAGAAGACGCGAGGGGCAGGAGTCAGCTGTGCTCCTGAGGAAGCGGCATTACAATGTCCGAAGCCTGGTCGTCAACATCTCTTTCTCTTCTGCGTTTTCTGTCTAGTTACTAGTTTGTGGGTCACTGGTGTTGTTTGTGGTGTGAGGAAGTCCTGGTCATGGCTGATCGACGCAAGCTCCTCGAGACCTTGCAGGCAGATCAGATGCTCTTGGAGCTCAGAGGTTGATGCCTTCAGCCGACGTTGCAGGAAGTGATCGACGCACCCAGCAAGGACTTCCCCAAAGCATTCTGGGAGGTGCTCAGCGAGAGAGTCTAACTCACCAGGATCCACCTCTCCTCTCTCCCTTCGTCTCGCGACACGCCACAAACAAATCAAGATATCCATGATTTCTTAGCTCTATTACTCTACGCAGTTTTTTCAAGCCTAGTTCCTGCTCTCCTGTCGGCTCTGCAGCTTGCTCCTCTTCTGGTCTTTAGTGTCTTCAGCTCTCGAGAGGTTCTTTCCAAGAGGCCTCGGACTCGGCTGCCGTGGGCTTCCGACAGCTGCAGCGGTGTGCAGCGGTGTGCAGGTGCCTGAAGTCCCTGCATCTGCTCGAGCCCATGGAGTTGGCCATCGTGGCCCGGGCTTTCGACGTGCACGAGCCGGGCGCCAGACCGTCCGCTGTCCGCTCTCCGCTGCGTTCGCGGTGCGGTGCTTTGGCGACCTGCAGAGGCCGAAGCTGCATCGGAATCTGGACGTCTTCCAGCCCTTGGCGGCTCAGGCGGTTGGCAGGGCACCACTGTGCTGGCATCGCTGCGCGGCATCTGTCGCGTCAGGTGAGGAGCAGCACCGTCGCTGGGGCCACAGACACCTCGCAGCGTCGCAGCGTAGATCCTGATGGCCGAAGCTTTGGCCAAGGTTCCGGGCATGGCGGTGCTCGCCTTGACCGAGATCCTCCCTCGCCGCCTTCAGGGCACAAAGGAAGATGCTGGGCGCTCAGCGTACCCAACAGCTGCAGAGGGAAAGGAAGTGGTGCATGGCGGTAAGACGGGCCCCTGCTCTGCAGCGTTTCTAGCTGAAACATCTTTGGCCTGTTTGTGGATTATTTCTTGTTCTGCGAAACAGTGTCGTTGCTATAAGAGGTGTAAACCACGGTTTGCACATGTTCAAGCCTAAACACACCCTCGTGCCGGTCCATGGCTAATATGTTTAAGCCAGTGTTTAAACATGCTTTTAAGGTTCCTTGAGTGCCACACATCCCGAGTATGTTGAAATTGATCTGTAGACACGTGCTTACACCTTACTCCCTCTTTAAACATGACTTTCATCCGTGCCTGGCTTACATGGCCGAGTACACGTATCCCGCAAAACTTGCAGCATATTGTAATGCCACAACTCCCAGCTTTCCGGAACCTTTCACGAATTGCTCTTCGCCCAGTTGGACTATATTTCTTGATCAATACAAGATGTAGCGTTCAGCCCAGTTGTTGTCACTCAATCACAACAGACCACAAGCTCTTAGTTGCACGTTTGTGTATGAAGCTTGCAAAATCTCGCTTTGCGGAACCGAGGAAATGCCCAACTACAGGTATAGATAGCTACAGCACGCATGTTTCGCCACAGGACAGGAATGAAAAGCAGCTGAAAAACAACATCAGACATAACAAAGGAATGAGTATGCTGCAACAGCTTGACGAGATGGATGCTCAAGGGTATAAGTCGGAAGGGCATAAAACAAATGAGAAAACTCTTCCCCATGCAAATACACAATTCAAAGATAAGAAAGACCTCATGCCTGAAAGCGGCTTCCCTGCAGCGGCAGCAGAATACTTATGTAGTGTGCAATGAAAAACCAGAAGTTGCACATGAGCACAAGAACCCTTCTCTCCCAGATGTTGGCACAGCAGTGAACCAATCTGCTTTTGAACTTGACATGACAGTCTGGGGACGGATGAAGTTGCCACATATTTGGTAAAATGTTTCCAAAATAACAAGAGACAGAGTCAAGTTGACTTCCACGACATGTTGCTTCATTGCCACTACCCTGAATCTCTGAACCTGTAAAGCCTCGCTTCCACTCCTAAACAAGCGCTATTGCACACGTTTCATGAAATTATGGCAAGAACCGTTTAAAACCTGTACTGGAGCCGTGGATTTGAACCACTCAATATGGTTTCCGGAAGGAACGAAGTCAGAATCTTAAGCCTTGTATCTCGGAAGAAGACTTATGGACATGGCAAAAAGGGCAAGAAACCAATCTCACGCTCCTATTCCTGGATTGGGAGAATCCTTCGAAAATGACCAGGCAGTCAAGTCTGCTTCAACACATATCCGAAGCGGCAAAGTTTAGATTTGTGAAACGCAACGTCCGCTGCAAACTTCAGGATACGACAGGGATGTTTACTGTCGCCTTACGTTTTGGGTTTTAAGATAACAGCAATCTTCCACGAGATCAAAGCACGCCGAAGCAGCTTCAACCCATACCAGGCATGAACTATGCAGAGGGTGTTTTTCTGCTGACGACACTTGATTGACTGTTCGCCGCACATACCCATGGGACGATTGTCGCAGCAAACACTAGTAGAAGTTGCTAGATACAACGATGGCACGGCTGTTTCAAGGACACCCAAGCACCACATCTCGGAGAAGCTTGTGCTGACGCAATAGAGCTGAGAACAGTCAGGAAGTTATCTGCACAGCCGGGGAAGCCACAACAGTCGCCAAACAAACAGGCCTGTTCTGGTCAAAAGCTCGCACAACGATTAAATCGGAAATTACGTAAGCAGCTGCTTTTGAAGAGTATATATATGAGTATATAATATGCATTCCAAAATAGCGCGACGTGAGCACGGCACCACAGGCGCAATTCAACTAAAGGCGTTTCGGCATCTGCTAAACATGCCACCTGCGCATGTCGACAGAAGCTGGAGGAACCAAACAGGTGTGGACAGTTTGTAGCAGGGGCAAAATACAAGTACGTCAATTATCAGTAAAGTGGTAGCAGAAAACATGTTATCCTACTAGGCCATATTCTGAGAGAGCCAATGCGTAAAAATGCTCTTTCAACAGGGAAAAACATTCCCCAGAAGCGAGCATATGCGTAGAGTGAATAAAGCAAGGGCAAATTCGCTGTTAGATACTTGTGTAGAAGCGTATGCATCCTTACATCCTCGAGCATATTTCGACGTCTCTGTCGGTCCCTGCGCATCGAAGCGAAGCAGCATGCGGCGCGAACCCCTTTTTAAAGCTAAGGTACCAACTAATGCTGAGTTCTACTGCCTTGTATGACCCTTACCAAACCATCGAAGATTTGATCGAATATATTTCGAATGCGTTGCCGAAAGGTCTAGGGAACAGTTCAGTGAGTTCGTTGTAGGCGTCGCCGAATCTCTCACCGAATATCACGAATGTCTAGCCGAACAGGTCATCGAAGCATATTGTCAAAGATGTTGGTCAAAACATGTGACATCAAACCAGATCACCTGAACTACAATTTATCCTGAAACCCTCAGTATCTTTATCCCATGAGCGCAGGCCTCTTCAAGCTTCCATCCTTTCATCTGCGTTCTTCAGCTTGAGACCAGAGCGAGGGCTGCAATGTCTCACAGGCTCAAACATCAGCATTGAATAATCGATACATTTAAGCATTTTAACGAGACCCCGCCCCAACCTTGATCTCCATACCCTCGTGTTTTGCCGGGATCTCGAAAGGATCCATTCGATTACGAAGGAATTGTTCTGTTGCGTAGGAGCTGGCCGAGATCATGAGGTTCTTTGCAAGGCCACGTCCTCGGCCGACACGGCCGACGGGTGGGAGTCTTGCTGTCAGCGCCGCCCTGATGAGGTGTGCAGCTGACTGCATGTGGGACGCGGCCTGAGCAAGACAGGACAAGAGGCCACGCCCCCTCGTGGCCTGTCTCGAAAGGAGATACCTTTGGAATCGGCGGTGGTCCTCCTGAAGGCCATGCACTGGGCTATGCCAAGACGCCACAAGACGCCCGAAGACGCCAGAAGCTACACTTGGCGCTCCAGGGACTGGCCGCAACAGGGGTGCGTGATGCAGCCCTTTGCCGCCGTGTCTCCCAGAAGCTCCAAGCCCGCTTGCGTCACAGCTCGTGGCACCTGCATGTTGCATAGATTGAGCCCACGGGCCGCGGCCTACATGACATGTCAAGGTGTGCCGTTTCTCTTTCTCTTTGCATCACTTGCGGCTTCGCCAGGAGCCTGGGCCCGGGTTTGCTCGGCCGTGCCGCGACGGCCATGGCGGATCAAGGTGACGAAAAGTGAAGATAGAAGCTGAGTCTGAGTGCTGCAAAGCTTGGGCAGACTTTCGAGACCTCGAGCTCTTTCGCAGCCTCGTGGATGCTGCTGCACGTCAGCTTCAAGGCAAGTCCCCCCCCCCTCCTTATGACGTAACGGTAGTGTACACGGTAGACCTGCCCAAGAGGTCAAGGGACCGAGCTGCGAGCAGAAGTGGAGACCTCGGCTCGTGCCGTGCTCGAAGGCGGATGGCGGATGCTTGGCCAAAAGCCTTTGGCTTTGGCTTTCCTCTGAGCTGAGATTTCGCTTTCGGCTTTCGGAGGTGTGGCTTGGCTGCGCCTAGAGCTGCCCGAGGTGGGCTCCAAGATGCCCTCGTAGCTCTTTCAGCTTTCAGTCGGTTCCAAGCTCCCTTCCAGGCCCAAGCACTGGACAAGGCTCTTCGCGAGGCGGACAGATGCTACAGGGCACAATGAGAATGAGAGTCAGACGGAATGTCGCGTGGCCTCCTGTTTGCTGCAGGCTTGAGGCTGCTGCGCATCGGAGAAAAACAGCAGTCTGCGTGAGAAAAGTTGCCTCCGAAGAATCTGCAGACGTTTTCTCTTTTCAGGTCACGAAGAAGACGCTCTGGGTGCCGCCTTTCGGTGCCGAGCTCGGGCTGCGCCCGCTTCGCGAGCCTGCGCTTGGGGGCGCGCTTGCTGCGCCGAGCCGAGGTGCCGTGGCGCTGATCTTCGCCGCCGAGTCGATTCTGGCGGCCAAGGAAGGCACATCGAGCGATCCCAGCGAAAAAGGGCCGGGCTGTGGCAGTGCCAGCTGTGCGAGGTACGTTGTGGTGCCGCAAGAACATCATAGATAGGTTGCGCGAGGTGGGATGCAGCTGCTCTGAGGAAGCGGACTTGCGATTCTTCCTATCGTGCAAATTGTGCAGGCCTGTGCCGGTGTCATGTCAGCCTGTGTCTGCACAGTCGTCGCTGCCCAACTGCCCAGGGCCTCAGAGAAGCGACTCTTGGAATGCTCGGATCTTCGGTGGACTGTCCTGGAAGGTTCGGCGACAACCCGACGGCGTTGCAGAGACCTGAGCGGAATACTGGGTTCGACGGCTAACCGCTAGCAGCTGCTAGCTCTTGCTCTGGTATGCGCGAAGCGCTGTCGTGAGCTTCTGAGGCGCACCGTCGTCATGTTCTGGGCTGGCTTCTCGATGGTGGGTGTCCTAGCAGTGTAGGCGGTGGAGCATTTGCGCTGCACTCGCTGCGCAGTGCGTGCTCTCACACAAACTTCACAAAATCCATAACACAGAGTCGTAAATAGCGCGATGAACTCCATCACAAGAGTGTAGAGTCCTCGAGACCGTGCCAACTGAAAAGTTGACTCTTGGCTACAACAAAACGCAAGCAGCTGCCTGCATTGCGAAATAGGGAGTATACAGGGTACTGTACGGCTACTACTGTACAATCGATGCGGTGGAAGCGCTTGCAGGCATAACGCTTCTTAGGAGCGTCTTTACTTGCAAGACTGGCATGGCCATTCCGACCGACTGATCCGACTTCGCTTCGCTCTCAGATCTTGAACCCGAAAGCCGGCTTCTTTCCGCCGGCTGGGGCTCTCTGCGCCTTGTACGTGGAGAAGGCACCAGCCTACAGCATTCGACAGCGTAGAACGGCCTTTGCACTGTCTGGGGTGTTGTTGTTGGCTCAGGCCCTCACAAACGGGGCACTGCCTGGTTTTGAATATGCTCTGTTTCCGTGCTCTACCGGTGTCGCACTTCTGTCCCGACCTGAAAGGTTGTAGGCCTCCCAGAGGTTCGTGTCGCCGGGGCTTTCGAGGCTTTTTCTGACACGGACGACCACCTTCCTGATCTCGCGGCCAATCTGGGCACTGCGTTCGTCCAGGTGCCGCGGGCAGGCTGCACGCTCCGTCTCCGCATGAGAGACCTGACGCTGAGGCGCAATCAAGCCCAGGAGCACAAAACTATGCCGGGACCACGGCGGAAAATTGGAAGGTGCCTTTGATGTCTGCAGCTCTGGAGTTTGCGCAGGTTTGCCGAAGCGTGAAGCTCGATGCCCCTTGATGCGCCGAAGGCGTTTCGGAAGGTTTCTAAATGGTGTCCGCAGTGCCCGGGTGCTGCGAACCCCATTAATCTTATGAATCTCATATTGCGTAGACAAGTAAGCCGATAGCAAAGCTATCATTTTCTGTCGATGCTGCAGGCTTTTCTCAGATCACGGCAGCAGTCAGCCGTGCAACACTGCTGCTGCTAGCTGGTTCTGCCGTCCTGCCGCTGCTGTAGTCGTATGAGTCTCTGTCCATTCAGCAAGAGGCACGAGACAACATATTTGCATCATTTGCTGCCACGACTTGTGAGCGACCTCGTGGATGCACGTCTGTGGAGACGAAGAAAACTTCATCGCGCATCTGACTTCGGAAGTCTTTTCAAGACCTGCGGTCGAAGCGGTAGAGTCCAACGAAAGCCATTGCTGATGCTTCCGGATCACAGACTATTCAACACTTCAGCTTCAGCTGCCTTCGCAGAGGCGCTCAAACACTTCCCCGCGCCTTGTGCGATGGCTCGAGTCCCCCGGGGATTTTTGGCCGGGCTTCGGAGATGAAGGCCTGGGCTTTCCGGGGCGGAGCATGACTGCAGACTGCCACTACGTGCTCTGCCCTTGGTAGGATCGGCGGAAGACATGATCCCCGCCCGCAGTGCCGGACCTCAGGGCAAGGCCAAAGATTCAGCTGAGCCAGCTAAGCTTCGGGACAGACAGGACGTCTGCTAGCTCCGTGATTCGTGAAAGCGTGTAACAGGAAGCTGCCTCTGGCCCGGGAATGGAGTCTAAGGCTCACTGCGGCACGGGGACGGTGCAGACTTGAAGAATGGGCTCAGGTCGGTCCGAACCTGCTTCCGATTCAGCAATCTTCCGTGGCTTCTTTGTCTTCCTCCATTTCTTGGGCTAAAGCCTGACTCGTCGATGTCCATGTTCTTTTTGCGGGTGGCAAGAGCGATGCCTGATATGCGACGTCCGACGGATGTAGGGCAAGCTTTAAGCACTTCTCGTGCCGTCAGTCGTCTGCACTGCGTCTCTATGCACGTGTGCGAGCGCATGTTTTAGTCAAACGGCCCGAAAGCAGTTCTAGTACCTGCAGCAGCCTTGAATGGATGGCTGCCACCTTGTACAATCTGCTTCAGAGCACTGCAATCTGACGGGATGTCCGGGAGAGATGATGCCACCCTCGGTTGCTGCAGACATGCTTTCAGCCACGCTGTCACAGGCCAGTGACTGATGTGGGTCCCTGCCAGGAAGACTGCAGTTGGGCTTGACTTGGGGCAGCATCCTAAGAGCCCGCCACCGGCGCTGCGAGAGCTAGGTGCACTAGGTCTAGGTTTGCAGCATTCGAAAAACTGGAGGCGGCGGTTGCTCGTGGTCCTCAAGACCACGCAGCAGCCCCAGCTCTGGATGCAGGCACGGCGGGACATCGTTTATCCCGTCAGGTCCAAGCCCTCAGAGAAGGCCCAGGCAGGCTGAATTGGCTAAATCTTTGAAGCCGCGTCTTAGATTCTTCCTTGCAGAAATTACACCAGGCCATCCGGGTCGTGGACCACGGGGAGCAGCAGAAGGAGGTAAGGACTGGTTGGCCTTGCGGGGCTCGCGGGACTCACATCTGACCTGAGCCTGCGGAGTCTCCGCAGTGCCAGGCGCTTCGACGACTCTACGATGCCCAGGTGCTTTTGCAGTCCTACGAGGCCGTGGGGAGCAACGCTTGCGGACCTTGCGGCTGCTGCTTGGGTACTCGGCCTGCGGCTGCCAGGATCAGTTGCATGCCAAAGATGAGCAGCTCTACAAGATCCAGGTCTGCGTAAAGAAGGCGCGGCGATCCGTCCCGTGTCCGCGGACGAGGGGGAACGAGAATCAGGGGCCCTGCAAGCAGGCAAGAAAGACAGAGTTGCTGCAGCCTTGCCGTTCACGTGGGATGGGGTTTTATACATGGGAGTCGTGATGTTGTGCGTGTGTGTGTGTGTGTGTGTGCGTGTGTGGGAATCCCAAACTACAAAGGGCTACACCTTTCTTCAGAAGTTGCAGTCAGGGGGTGGCAGGGGATTGCAGAAGGCTGGCACCAACGAAGACGTTTCTGCTTTCCTGTGAAATCGACTTGGGACGCCAAGTCGACGTACCTGCAGTTTGTGACATACTCAATCGTGCAAGCTGTACATTGGTTCACATCTACGAACAGTCGCTGTGTATGCTTCGCCGACCAGTTCGTGAGTGCAAGGTTTCAGGTGATGCTTGGCGTTTTTCATAGCACATCGACAGCAAGGGAACCTGAGCCTCTTGATAGACCTCCCGGCATATTTTCTTTTGCATCCTCAGCTGAGTTCCGAACTCACCGCTGAGTTTAAATCATTCTTGAGAACAGCCTACCAGAGATGCATGGGTGTTCGAGTGTGAATGGGCATTCCGTCACGGCGCCATTACGGCTGCTCTCGAGGCAGCACCCCTTGAGTATCGGAGCCCCGAGTGGGACGAAATGACTCTTGGCCAGGCCCCAACAGGCCCAAAACAAAGCGGAAAGTCTCAGCTGAATGGGAAAGTCTTTTCGGCTCAAGACCTTCAGAATTTTTTTGCGTGATTTTTTGTGTTTTGGTACTTTTATCTTGGGTTTGTGCATTATCCGTGGCATGCTTATCAGCCTGGAACCACCAGCGTGCAGCCATGAAAGTTAACATTCAGATCAAGAATGTCATCAAGCCCGAAGATGTGATCACAGCTTTTGCTGGGCTCGGGCAAGGACAAGCATCAAGTGGCCGCAACCGTCCCATCCAGAGAGCGAGACGCAAGGCTATGGCAACCTCAGCAAATACACGGAGATCGCCCAGTCTGCCTTTTTCCTCCAAGAGAACTGGAAGCTTTGCAAAAGGTGCATCCCCGTGGAGGTCAATTTGTACAGTTCTTCAGACACCGATCGTGGCAGAGGGAGACCTCTGGGCAGCTAGTGGAGTCAGACCAAAGATGAAGCGCCAGCCGTGTTTTTCTGGCATGCCAGCGACCACGACGGCAGCAACAAAGAAGAACTTCGTCGCCGATCGGCGCGGAGACCGGGAGGGAGCAGCGGATACAACAACAACACCCAGGCCCACATCTACAAAGCAGCCTGCAGCTCTTCCTGCTCCTCCTACTCCGCAGCACTCCAGAACACCACCGCGGCCGCTACTTATCCGGAAGTGCAGCAAGGCCCGAGCAGAGTCTACAGCTGACAAGGCTACGTTGCGATCCAGACCGCGTGAAACGGCATCTTCTTCTAAGGTGCCGACCAAATTTTCCAGGTCTACCAAGAACCTTCATGACTCCCCTGAGATGCCATCGGTGGTAACGTTCTCGAAGACTGGGGCTCCTTCGAGATTCAACAATTTCCTGTGCAGGACGGCATGAAACAGCATGTGTAGGCGCCATGTGCGTCTGCTCGTTTCCGGGTGGCTGGAGGCATGATGCTAGAACACGACCTCACGTGGGACAGAGGCGGCGGCCCTGTGCCGGAATCCATGCGAAATCTCTACGTTCTACATAGATTCTACAGTCGCAGGATCTGATTGCCCAAGATCCGCCATTGCCTACGAAGTCGGAGAGGATTCAATCTTGAAGCCACGTCACCGACGTAGGCGACCTCTGAAACTCTGGAGCATGCTCAAGGACTGCGATATGTTGCCCATGAATGCCCATGGGGTGGAGAAGTTTGGGTGTATTATCTTTTACGCCCGAGGACATGAAGTCAGCGGCTCTGAGATAGACGAATACAATATCAGCAGAGTCATTTACAACACCACCCGCAGCACCAAAGAAGAATACGATCGACATCCGCAGAAGATGTAGACAAGCTTAGGATGTTGGCTTGCATCATCGTGCATCGTGCTGCATTCTGTCACCTCCCCAAGCATCAGCTTTATTCTTTTGTTTGTCTGGCCCTACAGCGTAAAGTGAAGCATAGCCTCAGCGTGGAACGACTCGTGGTCGCAGGGATCGGAGGGCTCGTCATGGTGGCGGAACCAAGCAGACACAGTGAGCGGATGGAATATACCTTGCCACCGTCACTGCCTGCACTCACATAACCATCATGACCTCTTGCACCTCCCGCTGCTGTATTTCATGGAGTAATTCCTCGCCCAACGATGCAACACCCACAGCAAGGGAAGCTTAGCCTCTTGAAAGACCTCCCGGCATCTTTTCTTTTGCATCCTCAGCTGAGTTCTAAACTCACCGCTGAGTTGAAATCACGCGCGAGAACAGCCTTCCAGGGATGCCTGGGTTTCCCGAATGTCTGTGTGCGTGTGTGTAAACACCCGTGTTTCAAAGGGTTTTCCAATGTGTGGCTGTCTAGGGGGTATGAAGTAAAAGCCGGAACAATGCGACTTGGTGCGAAATTCAGTTCCTATTGGTTTCCCGCACTCTCACATTAGTTGAGTGCAGTGAGACGTGAGCAGATGGCGGTGTACTTGCAGTTACGTACGTTGCTTTGTAAATCCAGGGGCATGGCAGCTTGTATCTGTCGCCATGCCAACGAAGCTGACAGATGCTAGTGAGCAAACGTACCTGCAAACTGGTGCTGCCCATGGGCCTCGGGAGGCAGCTTGAAGGCAAAAATGAAGAAATGGGTTAGCTAAGTTGACATACGCCATGGGAAGCCCGTGATCGGGTTGTCTTTCTGACGAAGCAACAACTCTGATCCCAGTCTATGATCCCTTGGACATATGGCTGGGCGACCCGTCGAAGTCTGAAAGGTCGATTTCTGAAACATCATCAGAATCATTCAATGCCGTGAATGTTGAGTCATGAAAATTGGTCGTGTGAGTTAACCTGACCTGTGACCGGCCCGACTGGCCTTGAAAGGAAAACATGGGGTCGTTCGGTGATCGCAGACCTTAACTTTCAATGTCTCGGATACACTTCGAAAAGTGATACCGAAACGTTCCGGCTTCCGGTCTCACGTCAGCCCTTCCCAGGTGCAGAGGGCAGCTTACCTTCGGGGAGCAGTCGGACATCACATGATGATTTAGCAGACCTTTGTTTCAAGCGTCTTGGCTCGAGGGAACGGGGTGAGGTGTGCTGCAGTGGCTTCCTGTGTGAGAACACCCCTGTTTCAGAGCGGTTTTCAATGTGTGGCATCTGAGGGGGTATGAAGTAAAAGCCGGAACAACCCGATTTGGTGCGAAATTCGGTGCCTTGGCTTCCCGCAGTAAGACGTGAGCAGATGGCGGTGTACTTGCAGTTACGTACGTTGTTTTGTAAATGCAGGAGGCATGGCAGCTTGTATCTGTCGCCATGCCAACGAAGCTGACAGATGCTAGTGAGCAAACGTACCTGCAAACTGGTGCTGCCCATGGGCCTCGGGAGGCAGCTTGAAGGCAAAAATGAAGAAATGGGTTAGCTAAGTTGACATACGCCATGGGAAGCCCGTGATCGGGTTGTCTTTCTGACGAAGCAACAACTCTGATCCCAGTCTATGATCCCTTGGACATATGGCTGGGCGACCCGTCGAAGTCTGAAAGGTCGATTTCTGAAACATCATCAGAATCATTCAATGCCGTGAATGTTGAGTCATGAAAATTGGTCGTGTGAGTTAACCTGACCTGTGACCGGCCCGACTGGCCTTGAAAGGAAAACATGGGGTCGTTCGGTGATCGCAGACCTTAACTTTCAATGTCTCGGATACACTTCGAAAAGTGATACCGAAACGTTCCGGCTTCCGGTCTCACGTCAGCCCTTCCCAGGTGCAGAGGGCAGCTTACCTTCGGGGAGCAGTCGGACATCACATGATGATTTAGCAGACCTTTGTTTCAAGCGTCTTGGCTCGAGGGAACGGGGTGAGGTGTGCTGCAGTGGCTTCCTGTGTGAGAACACCCCTGTTTCAGAGCGGTTTTCAATGTGTGGCATCTGAGGGGGTATGAAGTAAAAAGCCGGAACAACCCGATTTGGTGCGAAATTCGGTGCCTTGGCTTCCCGCAGTAAGACGTGAGCAGATGGCGGTGTACTTGCAGTTACGTACGTTGTTTTGTAAATGCAGGAGGCATGGCAGCTTGTATCTGTCGCCATGCCAACGAAGCTGACAGATGCTAGTGAGCAAACGTACCTGCAAACTGGTGCTGCCCCTGGGCCTCGGGAGGCAGCTTGAAGGCAAAAATGAAGAAATGGGTTAGCTAAGTTGACACACGCCATCGGAAGCTCCTTAATCAAGTGTGTGTGTGTGTGTGTGTGTGTGTGTGTGTGTGTGTGTGTGTCTGAGTTGAGCTTGGAATCTCACTTGCGTTCTGACAAGCCTTAACGCAAGATCCCGCTTCAGTTTCACAGATGCTCACCTGGCAGGGCACTTTGGTGAGTTTGCTAAAATTCATCTGGAGTCCTGCGGGGGGTTCGAGGTGTCCGATATTGCCCTGTGTATGCTCGCTATTGCCCAGCCGAGCCATCCGCGGTAAAATTATCCATGATGGAGTCCAAAACTTGTGGCGGGCGGGCGGGCGGGGGCATCTGCTTTTCCTTGGTTACATGGGGGCGACAGAGAGGGGGTTGACGGGGGTTGGGGATTCAACAGCCCAGTCCGGTGCCTCGTTCCAAATACGGGGTCTCACAAAGCATGCAGATACCAGTGCGTGCACGCGCAAAACATTTTTTTTTTGGCTGCGAGCAAGCCACAGAGACAGAGAGAGAGAGAAGGGTAGGTCGAGCAATTCGCTGATCAACAGACTGATTCTCAGAAGTCTAAACCCGACTCGCTGCCTATGCACCACGTACTGAACACCGCCCCAGGTTCAAGGATTTTTTGCTATGTTGACTGTACACTTAGAAGGGCCCTAGTTGCCACATGTTGCCACAACACCGGGGGAACCGTAGAAGAGCAAGAATTCGAATGTACTGACAAAGATGGGGAACGACCGAAATATTACAGATACATAACTGATGCTGTGTCGGTCGATAAACCATCTTCCTTCACTCCTCTCCAAAAACCTGGAAATAGTTAAGGTGGGGCCTTGGTGCCCGGGGTTTTGACTCGCCACGTGGAGAAGAATAGACACGAGGGGAACCATGCTGGGACATGACGAAGCCACGTCACCTCGAGCCGCGAGGCGATCCGCGAGTCGAGCGCCGACTACCTGCCTGAGCCCCGAGAGAGGAGAGAGGAGAGAGCCAGAGCCAGAGCCAGAACGCGAGCAAGTGCAAGGGAAGAGAAAAAGGGTCTTTAGTAGGGCGTAGAGAGAGAGTTTTTTTGCGTGGAGGGCTCGAGAGAGCCGACCGAGGCGGGAGCCGGAGTTGATCGAGTCGGAAGCCTCAGAGCGCTCGCGTCGCTTCTCTCGGCCTCGCGGCTCTCGGTTTTCGCTTTCTCTTTGCAGGTCCCTGGGTTTCAGCGAGGAGGAGCTCCATGCGGAGGGCATCGCCACAGAGCAGAAGCCCACGGGGAAGATGGCGCGCTTCGAGGCCGCCGACATCACCCAAACTCGGGAACGTCCTCCTCGAAGCTTTGAGAGGCCATGCTCGATCAAAGCTTCGAGAACCAGAAGTGGGAGGAGAAGCAGGACAGGGAGAGGAGGGCCAAGGACCTACAGGCCCGATGGGCCCACAGGTCTTGCCGCCACATCCTGTCCTTGTCGGCGGAAGGCGAATGGCAGCAGCCTCCCTGCGCTCGAGCCGCAAAGCCCGGCACGGGAAGTTCTGTTGACGGAGACTTGTGTGCTGCTCTGTTTGCAGGTGACATGCAGTGGTTCAAGGTGCCCTACTGGATCAAGGCTGATGAGGAGACCAGGTGCGGCTTTGAGCCAGGCGTCCGGCCTGAACATGCCAGCGATATCACAGAAGACAGGGAAATGGTTCAGAAGATCAAGCAGCATTTCATGGACGAGATGAATGCGAAGGCCACTGGCTTAGTTCTGTCGTGCCTTTGAGGCTTTCATGGATTCTCGTGCCGCTCTGAAGGGCCACTTCGACCACAACGCGTTTCTGGAGCACCTTTGGCAGGCTTTGAGCGCTTGGAGTGTTTTGATGTAGTGTCGAATGCAGAAAAGCGATGCTGCTCAAAGCTGCCTGTGCCAGTGTGGCTTCCAAGTTGCCCAGCACTGGGCGGGATCGCCGAACGAGGAGTTGGTGAAACAAGCAGAGGCATCCATTCTTTCTGCTCTTCTGTCTTTGCTTTTTGTCGGTCTGTGTGAGGCCGCCGAGAAAAAAGCCCGGAGCGTACAGCGTGAAGCACTGCAGGCCGTGTGCAGCTTGGCTGGCTCGATCATTTCTAAAGCGGTGCAGGAAACCTCCATGCTTCGCCAGCACATCAAGCGTGTGGAGCGCAAGTACGGGGCCCGCCTTGTCGATGTTCTTGCCTGAGATCGCATATTTTGGAAATGTTTTGAGGTACAAAGAACTCCAGAGCAATGCTGCAAAAATGCAGAAGGCCATGTCCACCATGGCCTCCCAGCTCAAAGAGGCGACCTTCTAGACGGTGGCTCTAACAGTCTTCGGATGTCTGAGAAATCGCCTGGCCAGGCTCGCGACACTGCGGCAATGTTCGGGGTTGAGCTGCCGTCCTCCCCCAGCGATACGTCCAACCGCCGGCCGTCTGTGAGCCTCCCCCGTGCAGCAGGGCTGGACTTTTCCTTGTTCGCACATGGTCTTGGGTGGGGGAAGGACATGAGGGAGGCTGAGGCTGAGGAGACGCTTCAGCCTGGGCTCAAATCGTAGAAATGGCCTTCACCGCCAATGGGCTGCGGCTGCTGCAGGCAACACGTGTCACAGGGCCTAGTGAGCAGAATTGAGGGATACCAAGCGATACTGAGGCAAAGAGACATCCCGGAAGGTTTCGAGTGGTGGTACAGCGACGCAATCTCATATCGAGGTGGGGGACTGTAGAACTGAACCCGGAACCTTCTAGGCTCTAGGTTCTCTGCGTCAGGCCCGGGGCGAGACCTGCCTCCGGTCTATGCAGGCAGGAAGCGGGAAGTTCGGGAAGCGCGCAGCCGTCAGGGTTCAGTGATGCCTTCTCCCCTTCTCGCCCAGGTGTCACAGCGCAAGAATTGACTGCCGCCGATCCCCCGGAGCCTTCGCAGCCCAGGTGCGTTTGGATGTAAGCGTAGGGTAAGCCGATCCGATCCGGTCCTTGGTTTTTTGGAGGCGGTCTCGAGCCGTGAGGGACAAGGACCCGCCATCCGACAGCGATGATGATCCACCCCAGAACATCATCGACCAGCCGCCAGAGTCCTCCGCCACAGCCAGCTCGCGAACACGTGCTGTCTGACTTTGAGATGTGTTGAGGTACCCCCGGGGACGGTCGCCGCAGTCTTCCCCTCAGAGCCAGGCGCATGCAAGGGACACTGTCGATACGCTTCCTCTGCGGTTCTGCTCAGCTTGTGAGGAGTCCTTCCTTCATGGCACCGGCGCCGGTGCCAGCTACGCCCCCCTGCTTCCCGAGGACTTGGGGATGCCGTCGGCTTAGCAGCCCACAGCCCACAGTCGTTGTAAGTGGTGCACGGCGTATCCGGTAAAATCCTTGGCCGAGGCCTCCACGACCCAGAGAGGACTGCAACTAATGGTTTCGCCATGGCACTGGCGGAGAATTGAATGCCGCTGTCAGGAAGCGGCCGACAGGGAGAGAGAGAGGTACAAGCCGGGTCCTGAGCTTCACAAAGCAAACAAAGCATTGTAAGACTTGGAGCCCGGGGACTGCAACGGCAAACAGCGGGAAGGAGGGCTGCAGGAGGAGCCCACAGGGCCAAACACAACAGAGGCGAACCAGGAGATGTATGAGGCTGAAAGGCACCGTAGGGCACTGCAAGGCACTGTAAGGATGGCAGGGTCCAGGCAGGGCCTGCATTCAACCGAAAGCGCGGGCCGGAAAGCATAAAAAAGCCAAGGGACCTTGACATCGACGAGCTGGAATTGCTGCGCGGCAACTTGCAGGCTGAAATCCTATTTTGCCGCTGCGATGCCTGTGGCCGCGAGATACGTATTTACGATCCACGTGTGGCTATGAATCTATGAACCTAGAAGCACAGGCTACCAGAAGCCGCATCATCTGCGACCCAGTTCTCCCTTCAACATGTCAGAGTCAGAGTGTATTTGGCCCTGCACAGCGTGAGGCAAACATCTCCGAGGCAAGCTGAGCTTCTCGCGAAGAGTTGTCTCAAGCCTTCGCAGCCATATAGTGGCTTAGCAAGCTGGGAATTCTGTTGCCCATCTTTTTAATGCCCAAGTGCTTTGTCGGCGCAGGACCTCCTGGTGCGCTTCCTCCGCAGCTATGCCGAGGAGAGCTTGAGCAGCGGTAAGAAGGGGCCGCAGGGGCTACTGTACGGCTGAGGAGCCCGTGGCAGTGCGGGGGCAGCTGGCTCCCGTGCAAGAGGTCGCGCGAGAAGCTCCGGCAGAGGCCGAGGCGCCAAACACGCCAAACACCCCGCCGGGTCTGCCGGGGGCTTGGCTTCGGCTGTGACGAAACCCCCTTTACTGGCGTCACTACGTGTCGTCACGCGTCGTCTTATGCTGACATCGCAGGCCGGCGACGTCGCTGCCGCGTCTGGGGCCAGGCCAGGTTGGCTTTCAACACCGTAAGACGATGTAAGACGCCTGGCATCCTGCTACAAGGCCTTCCGAAATCCGGACTTCTGGAGGAGTCCTCCGAGAGAGGGCAGCTAGCTCGCATTTCACAAGTTTCCTGATGTGCAGGATCCTTACGCGACATGGCAATACCCGCAGTGCTCTTTTGTGCCCTCTGCGCTTTGGGCCGGCACGGTCACGGCTTATTGTCGACCGGAGAAAGCGGCAGAACAGGAATTTCCGCAGGGGGCGTTGCCAAGTCCCGAAGAAGCTGAAGCAAATCAGCTTGAGACGAAACACCCGCCATCTCCACCGGCATCTCCTTCAGCATCACTGGAGCGGGTGCACAGCGACATGACGGCCTTAACAGAGGCGCTGCAAGCCCGGCAGCGCAGGTGGCAGTCCAAATCGTCGTCGGCTGTGTCCCTGAAGTGCACAGCGCCGACGGCGGCAGCGTGGGTGCAAAAGCCGTGGTCGAAGGCACAGTCGCCGTCCGGGCCGAATCGCCTCCAGATCACGGTCTCCCATGCCATCGGCAACACGACAGAGGCAGCGGTCGGAGCGCCGCGGTGTGATTTTCTCAGAGCCAAAGAGACGGTGAAATGCTTCCAGGCCTTTCTGAGCTGCGAGGCGTGGCACGGCGTGGGCTTCCGTCAAAGACTCCCAGTTGATGTGCCGGTGCTTCTCTTCACTCGGAGGTGGCAGGGCAGCGGCGCCAGGTATCGTTGGATCAGCCCGGGTCCTACTATGACGAGCCTCGTTAGTCCAATGTCTGTCTTCGCCTGCATCATGACACGAGTGTCGGGGTACTGCGACCGGCACTAACAAACCCGACACAACCTCTTTCGCTCCCAGACTCGAGCGCTGCAAATGAATGAATGAATGAATGAATGAATGAACGAACTAATGATGAAAGACGGAAAGAATGAATGGTGTTTTTCATCCCTCACAGACCATGCATCTGCGACGCCACTCGGGCATCTTGAGCATCGGCCTAAACCACGGGGACTGCGGCAAGATACATCCACGTCTGAGGCCAATGCTGAAGGTGACCCCACAACCAGTAGTGAAATCTTGCGAGAGGCCCTTAAGCAAAGGCAGCGGCATAAGTATAACCCACCACAACTTCGCGTTCATCGGAGCTTTCACACTTGCCTCCGGATTTCCCGACCAAACGACCAAGCAGAAACAGCCTCAGCTAAAGTGTGGCAGCATGGGGAGCGTGAGCGAAGCGGCTGCTGCAGCTCCAATCGTGAGACCCAGAATTACCTCAAATCGCCAGCCATGAGCCAGACAGTAATCATCTCAATCATCTGTGTGATGTCTGACTTCAGCACTGTGATGGTGACGAGTATTCAACCGCGACCAGCTTTGCACACCACCCGCTGCATGATGGAAAACGGTGAGCATATAAAACGAAACAAGTGATGCTCACGAAGATTACGCAGACACCAGCGGCCACAACAGCTACTGGCTCACAGTTGCGGAACTCGTCCCACAGTCAGAGGCAAGCGGTCTCACTACATGTCTTGGCCACTGTACAGACTGGAGTAGGAGTGCCCGGGCACAGAAGCTTTCAATGCGTGGCCGCTCGCGGGACACAGTTGTTTAAGCCTTGCTACAGGGGCATTCGGCATACAGTTGTTGTTATTGATCAAGAAATTCTGAGCCACCCCAGTGAGCGAGCGATTGGAGTCGAAGTTGTCCGAATAAGGTAATAAAACACCCAGAGAGACACGGCAGCCTTTCGCAAAGCTCAGGTTGTTAGAGGTCGGGTCTCGGGCCCGGCCGGCGGCCCAGGGTCTCCGCTTGCCTGTGACCGACTCCGAGCCGCCGGATGCCCAGCAGCTGCCGCAAAAGCCCAGCGGCTGTGCTCTCTTCGGCTCTGCTCGCGGCGTGTTGTAAGGATGGAGCTGACGCTTCTGTCGCGTCTGGGTCACGCGGCGCTGGTCCTGCCAGTGCCCCAGCAGACTGCGAGCCAATCGCTCGTCGATAGGACCGCAAGGGCTTTGAAGTCGAAGGCATCCAGGTGTCGCGAAGTACTCCCTGGAGCTCGAGACTCCGCTCAGACCCAAGCGGAGCTTCTCAGAGCCTGAGCCTCTCCTCTCTTCTGGCCCTGCGACTTTGACCAGGTCGAGCCCATCGAGGCAGCGCCGAAGCCTCGACTTGCACGTTTCCCCGGCGTCCCGAGCTTAGCCTAGCCAAGCTTAGGGGCGAATTACCGCGCGTCTTATGCTTTTTCGAATCGAGGTCAGGTCTATATGACTCCGCCGGAGTCGTGGAGCAGCACAAGAGGTCGGACGGTCTCACCGGCTAGTTCGCGGAGAGATCCAGAATCCAGCTCCGGGTGGCGAGGTATCTGGAAAAGTTGATTCAGGCGGTGCTGTCGGCAAGGCAGATGCTGATGCAATCTCCCTTCGAAAGCCTGAGACACTTGCCTCTCGTCTACTGCGGAGGCCAGCAGAGCCCTTCGAGTTCATGGCAAGGCAGGTTCGGAACCTACGGCTCCAGGACTCCACAGTGCTCCACATCTGCACGAGAGAGAAGTTCCAGTTTCAATTTTTCCCAGTCTTTGCCAGAGTTTGCAAAGTCCACGCCCCTGCTCTGGAACCGATCACAATATGACAATATGCTCCTGACTCTCACGTGAAGTTTTCTTCCAAAGTTCTGCTTGACAGGAGGGCGGCAACAGTGGCCGTGCCCACGGTCCCTGCGACCTCCGTGTTCTTGGAGCGGAGGGGTGGCGCGCTCTGCAAGCAAGTGCAAGGAAGTGAAATTATGCTTTAGCCGCTTTAGCCTCTCTGCTCCTCTTAGGCCACCTCTACCACTGTGAGTCTCAGGTTGCCTCCGGAGACTCTGCTCACGGTCCGCTGTGGCAGCGGCGAAGGCCGGCAGGCGAGGCTTCCAGCTCCGCGCCTGCTCCGTCTCCGTGCGGTGAGGGGTGTTGTGGCAGGGCCGGTTAGAGTTAGGGTTGTGGCAGAGAGAGAGGAAAAGAGGTGGAGACGAAAGAGGCTCTGAGGTTGAGGGACTCAGGACTCCCTCTGGTCTCTCGGAGAGGCGCAGCTCTCCCATCTCCTGGAAGGGCGGAAGAGGCGAGGAACACACGAGGGCGAATCTTGTTCACGATTGCTCTGGGTGCTGAGATCACTGATCAGCATTATGGCATTATGCCGACTCTTGCGTCCTGCGGGGGGATCAGTCGCGAATCTCCCCCGGACATGCGCGCAACTGCAGGCTGAAGATACCCGACGGCCCGCTTCTTCAGGCCCAGGGCAAACGCCCCTCTCTTGCGTTTGCCTGCGAGTGCTTTTCAAGGTGACTTTTCTCCTTCCCGAGTCAGCCGCCCACCTGCCGGGACCCTAAGGAATTTTCCATGAAGCGATGATGTAAGGTTGTGTAGGTTGCTGATCGAGAGGTTGCAGGGCATTGGTGTGTTCGTGAGGGCGGCCGGTGCAGGAGTCACCGCACATCGTTCAATGGCACGGCACGGCCAGTTTGCTTTCGGATTTGGGCCTCTCGGTGGCCGCGGCGTGTCCGCGTCCTGGGTAAGAGCAACTCGTTGCAGATTCCAACACAGGCTCGGATTGACAGCCTTCTCGGTCCTCGGACTTGCCTCTCTGTGCGCTGCGCGTGTGGTGCCAACTCGATTTTGGCCTCGACATCGTTAAATGCCGCCAGTATGAACGTTGAATCATCTCATGGGGAAGCCACTTGGCTGTGCTCTTGAATCACGCCATGCAGGCAAGCACCTTGGTCGAGGGTTTGTGGAATGATTCATAAGCGAGCTGACAGATCGGTTTATGGTAAGGATGTCGGGATGAGATGGAATGCTGGGAGTTAAATGCACGGCTTAAAACACTTGTGGGACACTCGTTCTCTAGTTAGCAGTTAGTCGCAGTCCGAGAGCGGTGATTCAGCCAAGAGAAGTTTGAAGCGAGGCCCACGAGTCTTGGATTGCAGGAGGTCCACTTCCCCAGGCCAGCATCAGCCCCCTGCAATCAGCCCTGCAGTCTTTGTGTCTTCGACAGGCAGGGAGAGATTCTGGGCCTGCGCGTGAGAGCTTGGGTCCCAGTCTTCGGGTCTCCTCCCCTCCTCCCCTCTCCTCTCTCTGTGAGGTCGCAGCAGCAGAGGGCGCGAGCCCGCAACTGTCGAGCCGAATGCAGCCCGGTCCTCGAAGCTGCGTCGCTGCGTCCACGGAAGCACTGAGAAGAGCGAAAGGGCCCTGCGCCCCCAGCCTCTCCGGCCCTGGCCACAAAGCACGCAGGACGACATGGAGTCGTGCAATGTTACGGAAACGGTACAGGAGTTCGGGACCGGAATTTGTCCTTGTCACAGTGCAGACACCGCTACGGTCGTAGAGTCGTAGAGGGGGGAGCCTCTGCCTCTGCTCTGGACGAGAGAAAAGCGCGCTCTGCTCTCTGCTCTGCTCTCTGCTCTCTGCTCCGCGCTCTCTGAGGTCTTCGGCTGAAGAGCGGGGGTCTCAGAGTGTCTCAGGTTGGGGGAGCCCCCGAAGGGGCCCTGCCTGTCGCTTCCGAGGTATTTATGCCAACACAAGCTCCTGCCTTTCGCCCAGGCCGGCCAAGGTTTAGAATTGTAGAAGTTAACGCTCTACGCATGAGCCATCTGGCAAGTGAAGCACGTAAAGGAAGGCTGCCGGCTCTCGCCGCGAGCCGTTGTCAAATCGTGGTACTTTGGGTTTGGGAAAACAGGTCCTCACCTTGCGAGGCTTCCCTTCTTTGTCCAAGCTTCTTCAGGCTGTTTGCTGTCTCCACTTGATCCTTCGCGGATTCGTTGCCAGCCTGCCCCGTGGGTGCATGGCAGAGTGGCGGAAGCAAGACATGCGCGCAGAACGTCTCAAGTCGCAGTCTGGGAGGGAGCTGGGAAATTGATCTGACCTGATGTGGCTCGCCTCAGCGATGTGACTTGTTGCCTGTCAAGAGGGCCCCGCTTAACAAATCGACTACTTCAACTGTGGGGAGAATGCTGTTTTGGCCGGAAAGCTTATCCGGAGTCTTTGCCTGCTTTCTGTCAGTGCTGGCAGCAAAGCCAGCGGGACAACCCCAGACCAGTCTCTGCTGTTTGCTCTGTTTACCTTGGCGAGCTTCGTTATCAACTCGGGGTGTAGCACCTCTAGCAGACGGCAAGCATCGCAGGGCCTGTTGCAGAACTTGGTGAAGGCGCGGGAAGTGAGTGGTGGACAGTGTCTTTGTGTCTTTCGGTTCTCTTCAGGCGCCTGGCTCCTTCCTCGTCGATCTCGAGGCCCGGCTCCGTGCCAAAGCGCGAGGGAGCCAGGAGGCCTCGGCGGCCTAAAGCTTTGAGCCGGTTTGGGCCGTTTCACGCCGTTTCACAGCACCCTCCGTGAAGAGCGCGAAGGCACAAAAAAGGTAGAAGCCAGGACTATCAGAGGGTCTCTGGCGTGGCGTGTTGAACTCCTGCCCTTCGCAGGTTTTGATGGGCTTTGGGCAGCAAGGCGAAGTGCGGAACTATCTTGCACGGTCTGGTAGCAAAGGAAGAGAACCCACTTTGTCGCACAGGAAGGTCGCAAGCTCCAGCTGGGGGCCCGGAGAGCTTTTGTTGGTGTGTTGGGGGGGAACACGAGCAGAGCCCAGTCCGTAGTCAAAATGTCGTCTTGAAGGCCGGACATCTAGCAGTGCCAGGAGCGGGGGCTCTTCTCCCAGCAAAGATGTGGCAAATTGCGATCGGATTTGTTGGAGCCGGGTTCTTGGAGCAACTGAGGCCAAATCCGAGCGGCGGATGTCGGTAGCCGGTGCCGATGGAGGGTTCCAAGTTGGCGGGTGCGCTGCAAAAGGTTGAGAGCGCGCACCCATGTTTTTGTCCGTGTCTCTGCAGGCTGCCGGAGATGCCGGCGCCCACCCAGCACCACGGCCAAGGCCCAGCAGAGCCGCAAATCGGACGTTCGTTTCAAGCCTGGTGGTGCTCGTCGCTGCGCCGACGGCAGAGAGGCTTGGTGTCTCCGCTTCATGCAGACGACACGCTCGAGATCATGGCAGACCAGATGCAGCTAGACGAGGCTTCTCAGTGTCGCGATGAGCCGGCAATGGTGGCTGAAGCACGGATGGAAGTCTGCTGCAGATGGACAACGAGATCTTCGAGCCGCTGAACCAGTTCGACGATGACCTGAAGGACCTAATGATCGATTGCATCACGGAGAAGGCGCACCTCAAAGCAGCAGAGCCGCACAGCCCTGTGCGGAAAGAGCGCTGTGAGTCCCAGGTCCGGCGGATTCTGTCCTTGGACCCCTCCAAGTACAAGAACGGTCGGCTGCCCTTCGGCCTGAAACCTCACAAGGCCGCCCACAAGCACGCGCGAAGCGCGCAAAGCGCGCGAAGCGCCGAGCGCGGCCCCCGCTGCGATCTCTCTTCCGCGGCACGCTGTCGCCAGGGCATCGCCTTCGCCGACGACGAGACGGATCTGGAGGAGCTCCGCAGGGCTGCGGCAGAAAGTAAAGGTCCAGAGTCTACCAGTGCATCGCAGAGCAGAGCCTCGGGCACTGTCGGGCACCGGGTCGGGCGCAGGCGGAGTTGGAGCGGATGCGTGAGCTCTACGAGCGGCTCAAGGAGGAGAACGAGCAGCTGCTGCGCCAGCTCGAGGCCAGCGGATACAGCCTGGTGCCTCGTCTTTAAGTGCTCTTCCGCTTTCCTCGCAGAGGCGGCTCGGGCAGCGGCCGAGCGCTGGAAGCAGAAATACCTGGAGCTCCAGAACAAGCCCGCAGAGGTTCAGGCAGGTCAACCTCAGACTTCCCTCATGTTTAGCCATGAGCCCTGGCCACGAGGAGGAGAAGGTGGTGATGTCGAGACCGGCATCCGTGAAGACGCCCCACGCTCACACGTTGCGAGTCTCCATTCATCCGCGTAGCTGCAAGGACTCCTGAGACGCCGCCGAAAGAGACAGAGCCAACACCGCCTCCAGTAATCAAGGGGCTCTCCGACGAGGAGGTCAAGAGGCGCGGGTGGTTTGGCCATATAGACATGCAACGCATCAAAACAGCATGCATTTCAGGTTGCTGGAAGAGCAAGAGAAGGCAGGACAGCAAGTTGCTGTCGTGCTTACTGCCCCTCACATGTTCGGCCAAGGCCTACAAAGCCAAGATCGCCGCGCTGGAGAAGCGGATTAAGCAGCTGGAAGACGAACTGGCGAAGCTCAAGGCGGCTTTGAACCGTGAATCAAAGGGATCCCCGCAAATCTTCGGCGGAAGGCGGAGAAGGACAAAGCGGAAGCCAAAGCCAAAGAAGCAGCCGAGACCGCGCAGAAGGTGCGCGGCCAAGGAAGCGGCGTTTCCACATGTGGTAACGCGGTACATGCAGTCTCGCAGGAACGGGAGCGCCGAGAGACGCTGCAGAAGGAGCAGGAGCAGGCCAGGCAGGGGGAGCCGAAGGAGCGAACGGGAGGGCCGGAGCAGCGACAGCAGCGCTTCGCGGCTTCGTGCAGCCTCGCAGCCACAGTTGTGAGAACGTCCATCTTCTGTAACTCAGGGGACGACTCCGCCGGAACCGGCTCCGTCGGATGCCAACAGCTCGGAAGGCCTTTAGGAGGGCAGGCCCAAGAGCCAAGAAAGCTCAGCAGTCTTACCCTGCCTCGCGGATCTCGGCTCGAGTGGAACCTCCTTGAGCCAATGTATTGGTACTTCAGGTACATCGCGAGAGACGAAGACTTGCAGTGTACAAACCAAGCAGTGCCAGCCGATAACGTAGAGCAACAGAGTTTCCCGGTCCCGTGAAGCTGCTCGAAAGCGAGGCAGAGGCAGGGCGTTGGCAAAGCCGCCAGGTCAAAAGCAGCAGTGAAGTGCGGTGAAGGTCCATTCCAGCTCGAGCGATGCTCTTTCTGCCGCTTGAGCTTCCTGCCTATGATGCTGGCAAAGTTCTCAGTCGGAGATGGCCGTGGATTTCTTTCTGCCTCGGGGTAACTTGCAGGCTGTGCACCTATGAAGCGGCCTGCCGCGCTGGACCTCTTCCTCGTCGCTGCCGGCACCCAGAAACCCTGTCGTTCGCTTTATTGCTTGCCTGCTGAGCTTGAGGCCCTCTCTTTCGGCGTGTCTGTGCTGTGCGCAGCCGCAACCGACCTGATCCCGTGGAAGCTGCGGGAGCTACCGACGTCGGTCGGCCGCATCCGCGAAGAGAGGCGGAGAGAGCGAAGATCTGCAGTGAAATAATGCCGTAGAGGGCGCGGAGACGAGGCCGGGACGCGCGATAGTGTAACGGGCTCGGGGGGTGGAATGACGGACGCACTCTACCTACTTAACCGACCTAAGGATGCAAACCCGTCCTTTGACCCCAAAGCCCTACTCCATCGCTGCGGGGGAATGGGCGGGCCTGGGCCCGGGTCCGCTTGCGGACTAACCCCCGAAGGAGAGAAGAGAGAGAGAGAGGTTGGTCCACCCAGCTTCACTAGAGTGTCACAAAAACATGACTGATGAATTGAAATTTCCATAGTCCAATACTGTCCGCTGCCTTTCAGGCGGCACCAGTTATGGTGTCACACTCCCACAAAGCGCCATAACAAATGGGGGCCGGCCATGAGGCCGGGCGGTTTGAACGCCCCGCAAGCCCAATGTAAGAAGGTTGGCACGACTTAGTTGCCTTCGGGTGCTCCTTGCCTCCTGCTTACAGCTGCCGGGACTGTGTCACTCACGCGGAAATATCCGAATACTGTACTGCTGTGTGACTTGCTGAATACGGGCGAGTCAGGGGGAATCCAACACCTCGGTACCCGGCAACATGCATCTTCGTCACCTGTTGGCGAGTCGTTGTTCCTGTGGAAGTGCGGGAGATGTCTCACTCAGAAGCCTTTTAGTTGTGTCTTGAGGAAAGGAACTCCTCTCTAAGTACAGCCGAGCACCCTAGGAACAATTCCAAGGGCGGATGTCTACAGTCTACACCTGCCAAAAGCCGCAGGTGCGCGAACCCGCGCGCAGAGGGGGGGCCGCAGAAAGAAAGACCGAGAAGAAAGAACGACAAAGAAAGACAGAATCAAGGAGTGGCGGGCGGCCAGGGACACTTCATGACACTTCGATGATACTCCTGTGGTTGGATGAGTTCATTGCAAGTGCTTGTGAATTGTGCTCGTGTCTGGGTAACCTATGCCGCATGCCTGGGTGGTCTTGAGACAGATACTGTACTCGGGGGCACAACACAACGAGACGACGACACAGACAAACGCTCTGCCGCTTGCTTCTTGACAACCCTGGCATTTGGTTTTGTCCGAGGGCCATGAGGTGGAGGGCTCGTGCCACCGTGGCCTCACTGCCAGGAGCTCGCAGGTGTCAGGATTCTGCTCTAATGCTGCCGGGTTTTGGTTGTACCCAGGCACCAGCCGGTGGCCGTGCTGTTCCTGCTGCCGCCCAGCGAAGCTTTGGAGATCTTTCTCTTCACCGGTCGCAGCACTCAGCAGCCGCAGCTCTTCTTAGACTTGTTTCTCTCGTCTGCGCGAGGTGGCAACCAGTGGACCATTAGTGCACCACGCAACTTGTGGCTCACACTGTTGGGATCCCAGAGCAAGGACTGCCCGAGGTCGAGAGAAGCATAGCGATTAGGTTCTACCTTCTCGGAGCCTGGTTCTTCGAGCTCTTGGTGCGCTGGCCACACGGGGCACGGGTGAATGTCACTCCGCGGCGAGAGGGGGTTGGGTAAGTCACTGAGATTCTGCTGCACCCCAGCACGGGGGCCATGAAGTCCTACGGCCGGCGTGGTTGGTCCGCCGGTGGCCCGGAAAGGAGACTTCCTCTGAGGAGCGGATGCTGGCGGAACACCCCTGACGCGATCAGGTGCAGGCGGCCCATCATCTGGGCTTCCCTGCCTTTGCGCTGCACAACATCATCAGTGGCTGTGCCGTCCCAGGCAGCCCGGAGCGGAAAGGCCCCTACCCCCACTCTACTTTGGTTTCGCAGGTACCGCCGTGGCCTGCTACACCGAGCTGACCGTCTTCTTTACTAGCTCCTTCTGGATCGCCAAGATGGTCGGTGCTGGCGACCTCGTCCTTGTGCCCATCAAAGTCGGTATGGTCATCTTCACCTTCGCCCCAAGCTTGGCAAGCTGCTTCTTCAGAGTCCACAGAGCCCGGGTGCAGGGTTGCAGCTCCTGGCTCCTGCAGGTCCTCCGCGGCGGCTGTGTGCTGCTGCTGGACCTCCGGGCCATCCTCAACGATCAGTCCTCGCTGCCTGTTGCCAGCTGGCTGACCCAGGCCAGGAGAGGGCAGTGACATTCTCGTACAGAGTTGAGCTTTCGGCATCTCTGTTCCTGTCAGTGCCTGGCGCTGGTGGGCATGAACGTGCGCACCCCAGAATTGATTGTGACACAGGAAGGGGTTGGGAGGTACAGTAAGCCTCCATCAAGTGTGGGACTCAGCCTGCGGCCTCGCAGCCGCTCTTTCTCACATGATGATGTTGAACCGTCTGTGGTTTCAGCGTGGATGCTGTGTGTTGGCGGTCGTTCTGCTTTCACGTTTCAGAACTCGAATAACAGACGCGCCGCCCAGCAAAACGGAGCTGAGCCACGGCACGAAGAGAACCAGCCTTGCTGCCGAGAAGCTTGGGGTAGATGTGGCTAAATGTGCAGAACACAGTCTGTGTAGGGAAGGGCCGGCAGTTCAGATCCCAACAGGGCTGGAAGGTACAGAGACAAGCACAAAAAGGTATCACAGAACAAGAGGCATGGGGCAAGACAAGATGCACCGCTAATGAACGGAACATGCACGAGCGATTGCAGGACAAACTTGGTCATGTGTCTCATTCACGAATGCGACGCATCGAGTAATTCCCAAGAGTTGTCCTTTGGCACATGTTCCGTTGCGAAACATAGCACTTAAGGTCCTAAATCTACTCATCCTCCGCTTGGTCTCTGGCGCAGTAATGCGCGGATCAAAGGCTCTTGGCACGGGGCAGCTTAAGGGTTGCAGGGCAGTGCGGGGGCGTAGAATTCGAGACAGGTGGATTCGGGCTGGACCTCAACTGTGATGGAGCGTGCGCTGAAGCTGGCCAGGGGCCCAGCTCTTCTGCTGGGGTCCCGTCCCGAGCTGCGGCAAATTCCAATTGGTGGAGCTTTCAAAGGCCATGCATCACCTGGGCCCCGCAGTTTCTGAGCGGATCCTGCTCGAGATGCAGAACGCACATGAGGCAGTTGCTGTGAGGTTGTGACACTTCCTTTTCCGATACTGTAGCCACAACAACATCATCATCGTGTAGCTCTGCCAGGATTCCTCCCATCCTTCCAGCTTGGAACGACTTTTCCAGTGCGCCCTCCGCACTGTGTCGGGTTTCCGACACGGCATCGTGCTCCATCGTGCTTCCCCAGGCTCTTTCGGCAGCCGCCCTTCCTGGAGGAGAAGGCGGAGCGCAACGGGCAAGCACGGGAAGAAGCAAAGCCTCTTCAACGAAGGCAGCTGTGTCCACGCCTATCCCCAACGGCCCGGGCTCTGTGCCGGGAGGAGGCTTTTGCACTGGCTGTTGCCAGACGGATGTTGTCGTGTTGTGTTGAGCAGGAGGTCATGTCGAGGCCCAGCCATGTCCGAGCGTCGACGGCGTGGACAGGGAGAAGCTGTGTCGGGCTTGTCGACGGGGCTATGGCTTCTGAGTCCGAGTGTTTAAGCTAAGGCGTGAGATGATGATGAGACTGGCAGCGGAAGCTGCCGGCTTCCCTGTGGAGGCAAGAAGAACCAAAGGTCACTCTCGAGCCAGAAAGCCACCTTGCAAGGAAGCCCCTCTTAGTCTTAGCCGCCTGAGGGCCCCGCCCCATACCCGTAGCATCTCTGTGACTCGGCATGGCTCGTGGCACTGCGAGGCCGAGAAGCCCCTGCTGGATTCTGGGATGGACTCCAAGGCCGCTCTGCAATTCTCCAACAAGCCGCTCGCTCAGTAAGAGTCAAGCCGAGAGAAGCAAAGAAGCAAGATAAACACGAGAAACAAGAGAAAGAGAACCAGGGAGTTTTCTGCTTTTTTTTTGGCCCTGCTTTGGGGCCTTCCCTTCCAAGGCTCTCGAGGGAGCTGCCCGGCCTGCGCCTGCCCAGCACCCTCGTCTTCGACTACCCCACGCTCTCAGCCCCTCGGTCCTACCACTGCTGCCATCGATTTGGGACGCGCTGTCTCCTTCTCCGAGGCTGTGGCAGCTTATGCTGAAGAAGCGCAACGTCCAAGAGCGCGAAAAGAGCACAGGGAGATTAAGAAACCACCGGCGTCCTCTCCCAGCTCGAGCGATCCTCTGTCCGTCATTGGTGCGGCGTGTGCTTTTCCAGGCGCCAGTGTTGACGGGAAGGGAAGACTTAGGGTGGAGTGGTTGGAGCCTGGAGTGGGCGGTAGAAGAGTCGAAAGGTTGTTGGCAGAAGCCGCCTTACTCGACCCGTAACTTGCAGGCGACGCTTCCAGTCCCGGGAAGTTCGGTGCGCTCTTGGCATCCGGCACTGACGGCATTGTTGAGGCAGGGCGGACTTCGGGCTTCCCATTCGGTCCACCCTGTAGACAAAATGCCCTCCGATGAGCCTGACTGCATCATATCGAGTGCAGGCACCATCTAGCTGAGCAATGGGACACACTTTGTAAGCAGGAATTGGATTGATGTAGGATTTCTTTGCACACTCCTCATGGATCTCTGAGACAGGGGTCAAAAAGGGAGCACATGTCGGCACTCTTGCTCGCCAGAACGCGGAGTGACACACGGTGTTGCCAAGATTTGCCAAGGGCAGCAAAGCAAGACTTATGCAACGTTTTGAGACACTCAGAGCTGCGCCAGACAGTTGGCAGTTGTGAGAGGTGCCCTTCACACGCTGGGAGCTGTGCGAGTACTACGATCCCAATCCTGATGCGTCCAGAGCCGAGTCAGTGAGTCTTGTGGCGGTTCCACTTGAGCTCTCGACAGCTACCAGGCCGGGGAAGATGTATCCGTGCCACGCGGCTTTTCGACCGCACCATAATGTCAACCTTGTCGACCCGTTTTCGGGCCGGGTGTTTCGGTCGTGGATTCTGACAAGTGCCGGAGGCTTTCATCGAGGGTGCCGAAGATTTTGCTGCATCCTATTTCAACATCTCTGCACCGGAGGCCGCTGTGACAGCTCACTGAAAGACCACAGCCGTTACATGTCCGTACAAGCCATGCCTGTTCTGTCAGATGCCCCAACCCCCGAATCCACTTACTTTCTTCCGGACCAATTCAAAGTCATCCGATCCATCTGGTTGCTATGCCCGGTTCTCCATTAACTCTTGCATCCTTCGGCCTTGTGTGCTCAGGCTGTAGCTAGTTAGCAGACACGGATAACGATCTGTCCTCATGGAGGAGCGGTTGCGACAATAGCATCATAGCACCGGCGATGACACAGCAGCCTCTTCTGCATCGCTTGTATTCAAAGTCAAGTTTTGCTCGAGCGTCCTGTGCCTATCTTGGCTTAAGTGTTGATGCTCGGGTCAGCCCTTATCTTGACAGCCCTTTGTGGCAGGCACGGGCCATGGATCCGCAGCAGCGCTTGGTGCCTGAACTCTGCCAAGCGTACCGGAGGTCACGGTCTTCTTGTCCAGGTGTTTGTGCTGCTCCAGGTACTGGAGGTGTGCCACGACTCACTCCTGGACAGCACGTTTTCGCGTGAGGCAGCTCGGATGCAAAGCGGAACACGCACCCCAAACACACGCCCGTCAGCGGCAGGCACTGCTCGGTAGCTCGACTGCCGCCATTGTTGGAGTGTCGAACAACGACTGGATTCAAGTCCAGTCCGGCGACATACGCACGAGCCTTATACATTTCCCAGTGCGACACGCGGCTACTGCAAGAGGCTGCCTCTCGCTGAGGAAAGCTTAACCCTTACACGGCGACCGGCACCTCCGCATCCGTCGCTGCTGCTCGCCCGGGGCCCCGAGTCAAAGAGAGACAATGGGCCCCACAGGCTGCACCTGCAAAGTTTTCAAGGTGTGGCTTTCTGCTTGGGCCTGAAGGGCCCAGCCTACGTGGTGGACACGGCCTGCTCCTCTGCGCTGGCCAGGGACCAAGCGGGTCCTCGTGTGCCGGCTCCCATGCTACTGCTCGCTTCTTCTGCAGAAGGGTTCGAGTCTCGAGGTTTGGTCTGTGGTTAGGCACGCGAAATCGAATCCTAGACTTCGCAAGTGGACCCATGTACATAAGCATAAGCGTTCGCGAGTGTCGTGTTTGTCCTGGACCTGCCGTTGAACGGCAGGCAGGCCACTTAAGACGATGCAGCTGTAGATAGCTGAGCTGATAGCTGCGTACAGTGTAGGTAATTGTCTCACAGGTGGCTGTGGACGCCGCGGCCATGAACCTCCGGCGTGGACGCTGCAGTGCGGCTGTCAGTGCAGCAGCGAATGCCGGGGCCCCGCCTTGCCACGCGTGCCGCATCAAGCAAAAGGCAATGCAAAGACTGCCGGCAGTTTGAGAGGTGATCGCCAGCCCGGCGACCTTCATAAGCTTCAGCAAACCTCGGATGTGCAGTCCTCAGCTTGTCAAGTGCCAAGTAGTGTGAGATGCAGCTACATCTCAAGCTGTTGAGCGTGCGAAATACGTTGAAAGCATTTCGACTTTTCACTCCCCTTATATTGCCAGAAAACAGGCGGTCTGAAGCTGCAAGAGTTCGGAGGCTTTCCAGCTTTCTAGCTGCCAGGTTGTCACCACGAGGACGGTCACACGCATTTGATGCCTCCGCTGATGGCTACGGTCGCGGAGAGGGCGCAGGCCACCGTCTTGTTCCGTGGTGCCCTGCGGCCATCTGCGGCCTCCGTGTGCTGCCGAGGCGCGGTGGCGCTGTGTCCGCTCCGCAGGGCGGACGGCAGCGCTCGCGGCAGCGCTCGTGCTGCCGGGCTGCAAACAGACGCAGAAAGCGCTCCGCAGGGCAGAGCGGCAGAGCACGGCATTTGAGGCAGCTCTACGAGGAACAGCGGTGAACCAGGACGGCAGAAGCTCGACCATGACGGCGCCCAATGGTCCCTCACAGACCATGGTTGTGGCCGCGGCCCTGGCGGAGGCGATGCTTTCGCACCACCAGGCAGGAAGAGAAGAGCAGAGCTTCGCGCTGGAGCTGGAACGGGAACTCTTAGCTTTGTCTGTTGGCAGGTGAGACATTTCGAGGCCCATGGCACGGGAACGCCCTTGGGCGATCCGATTGAGGTGGGGGCCCTTCAGGCCGGCAGCCTCGACGAGGGTCCAAGGCAGCAGCCCCTGGGCGTGGCCGCGGTGAAGACCAACGTGGGCCACCTCGAGGCCGTCGCCCCTCGCACCAGCCCGGCTATGCAGACTCACCGGATGTCTATATGAAGAGTTGTGTGAGTTGTGTCCTCTGGCGCAGGGAGCTGCTGCCTCTCCTGGGCTGCTCAAGACCGTGGCCCTCCTGAGCCGGCGCACCGCCGGCGACTTGGTGTCGTCCCCTCGTCTCGGTCTCTTCTGCATCCAAGTGCCCACAGGCATTGTCGCTGGTGCACCTGCATGCGCTGAATCCGCACCTCACCTTGCTAGAGGACGTGCCGCAGGCCCCTTCGCCTAAGAAGCGTCAAGGCTTAGGGCTTAGGTCTAGGAGGGGCCGTCTCCGCCGTGAAACGGCGCTGCGGTGCGGCGCTCCTCAGCCTCAGGTCTTCCCCTCAGAGCACTTCCCGCTCGCTGCTGCGCGGAAGCCGAGAACTGGTGGCCTGTCCTCCTTCGGCTTTGGAGGCGAGAGTCGAAAGCCATCTGCTGCAGTGACAAGTGACGGTGAGCTGCTAGTGATTCCCAAGTGGCTTGACGACACTCGGTTCTCTATCAGACGGGACATCTGACATGTTGTTTTGTGGCGGGGCACATTCTTAACTCTCCTTCGCTCACGCATACGTGCCTGACAGTGCAGAGGTGATGCGAGCTTTCTGAGATTTCAAAACATGCTCTTGTAAGTCTGCATCTGGCGATGAGGTCGACAATTGCAAAGCCAATTCGTTTTCTGGATGTTGGGGTCTGCTGCCGAAGCCGGCTAACAACGTTTGAAACGCCAAGCTTTACTTTAGTGTGTTTTCACCGGCGTCATGTTTGTGGGGTTTTGGAGAGTTGTTTGCAGCGTGCAGTGTGGCAGCCTTAAGCAACCCAGCAGCCATCGCTTGCAGGCACAAACGCGCACGCCATCCTGGGTGAAACTGAGGTTGTCTTCGATATTGTGAGGGCAGAAAGACCTGCAGAGTATGTGAAGAAGTCCTTCCCCTGGAGGGATCCTGGCTACCGGCTCCTGCGTCGTCAGGACGGGGATAGCTTTGAAGTGACGATGTCTTCGGACGTCTACGACACCGTGTCGCATCATGTCGTCTTCGGGTCCATCGTAACACCCGGAGTCGTCTATGTGGAAATGGCATTGGAAGCTACCCGGAAGCTTTTCGGCCACAAGACTCAACTCCGCGATGTGACGATGGTCTTCCCCTTCGTGGTCCCGAAGCGCTTCGAATCCGAGGAAGCGGAGCCAAGCATGAGGTTTGTGTTGAAGAACAACACGCGCTTTGAGATTCAGAGCACGAACGGGAGCGGCAAGACGACGGTCCACGTCGAGGCCTCTTTGGACCACGCAGGCGGCGGCAGCGGCGTGTTCAGAGACTCAGTGGACTTGGCTTCGCTGCGCGCCCGCATCACGGAACCCGTGGAGACGAAGGTCGTCTACGAAGCCATTCACTCCGTGGGCCTCTACCTTGGCCCAATGTTCCAAGTGGCAAAAGAGCTGTGGAGAGACCCAGAGACAGGATCAGAGGTCTTAGGACACCTGCGATTGGACCCGCATGTCAAGAACGTGGGCTACATCATGCACCCTGCCTTGCTTGATGGCACGATCCATATTCTGGCAACTGCATCTATTGGCAAGAATGTAACTGGCTTGAAGATCTTCGGGGGCGTCGGCAAGGTGTCCGTGGTGCGCCAGGAAAACTTCTCCAAACTGTCCAGCTACTGGGTACACCTGCAAGTCACAGAGTCTTTAGAAGCCTCCCAAACCTTCAACGTCTCTGTGCTTGCAGACGACGGTGGACTTCTGATGTCGATGGAGGACGTGGTCTTCCGGGCGGTGAAGCCAGAGCAGATTCAGATGGCCATTGCGGCGCAAGGAGGGAAGGAAGAGCAGACAATCTACGATGTGGAATGGTCCGAGTGGTCCGAGTGGTCAGAATCAGGACAATCCTCCGCACCCAGCTCGCTCTTAGCAGCTGCAGATACTGCAGATCTGCATCATGCCCTCTGCAATTTGAGAACCAAGCCCGAGCAGACCCTGACCTTGGAGGCTCTGCGTCAGAGTGATATGGATTTGGCGCTTCTCTTGCCAAAGTTCTCGCGAATCTTGCTTGCCTTTGGCAGCCAGAGGCAGGGCGCCCAGGGGGCCTCGGCGCTCGAGGCCCTCATGGCAGTCTTGGCAGTGCTGCAGGCCTTGGCCAAGACCAAAGGCAGTCTGCCAGAGCTCTGGATCTCGACTTTCTGCTGCCAGTGGGCTAAGGCCGGAGATTTTCTTGGCCAGCCGTTGCCCTTACACTCAGCGATCTGGGGCTTGGCACGTACAGCCAGGAACGAGCTCCCGAACTTGCGCCTCTTCTCGGCGGACCTTGGCCCGTCCTTGGAGCTCTCTGCCTTGGAAGCGCAGTTCGGAGCGGACTCGGCGGACTCCGATCTGCCGGAGCACGAGAGAGCCCTGAGGAAGAGGGGGGAAGGGGAAGGCAGTTCCCACGTGCTCTACGTGCCGCGCTTGCAGGAGGCAAGCCTCGCAAGCGCCGCCCAGGGCTGGTCTCTGGCATCCTCTCGTGGTGGTCCTATTTTGATCACAGGAGGCTTAGGAGCTCTTGGCCTTTGCTTTGCCCAGTGGCTGCTGGAGCAAAAGGCGGGTGAAGTGGCACTCGTCTCCCGCACCGGTCGTGCGGCTGCCGACTCCCAAGTGGCCTTCCGACGTGTGGCTTCCAAAGTGACCGTGCATCGGGCGGACCTTGCGAAGGCAGAGGACACGAGAAAACTCTTGCAGCAGCCACTCTTCAAGGATCTCCGCGGCATCATCCATGCTGCAGGGCTCCTTGAGGACCACATGATCGTCGACTTGACCCGAGAGCACTTCGAGCGACCCCTCGCCGCCAAGATTCATGGAACCTTGAACCTCCACGAGGGGCTTTCTGGTCAGCAACTTGACCTGGAGTTCTTTGCTCTTTTCTCTTCTGTCGCAGCACTTCTGGGCACACCTGCTCAGGGAAACTATTGCGCGGGGAATGCTTTCTTGGATTCCTTTGCCGCGCATTGCCGGGAGAACGGCCGCTCAAAAGCTGTAAGCATCCAGTGGGGTCCCTGGGCGGAGGTTGGCATGGCGGCGCGCGCCAACACCTCCGAGTCCAGTATCGCTCGTCTGAGCCCTGCGAAGGGCCTTGAGGCCATGCACGCTGTCCTCGCGGCTCAAAGCAGCCTCCGGAGCGGCATCGTGGCCGTGGCCCGCTTTAAGTGGACTGCACTCCTTGGCCAGCTGCCACGTGTGCCGGCCTTTCTAAGCAAGTTCAGCACAACGAGCAAAGGCAGCAAAGGGACGAGCAACTACACCGTGGAGGACGTGCGGTCCTTGGTGGTGGAATCACTGACAGATGCTTTGGGCACTGAAGACTTTGACATCAACACCCCGTTGATGGAGCTGGGGCTTGACTCCTTGGCTGGCGTTGAGTTCAGGAATCGTTTGCAGGCCCTGGTTGTGGTTGTTGCATTCTCTACTAGTACCTTTCAGTTTGACAGGCCTCGGTTGATGGGATCAACCTGACACCGACGCTCATGTTTGACTACCCGACAGTTCCAGACTTGGTGGAGTACATCTGGTCCCAGGCGCCTGCGCTTCTACAATTGAAATCTTCAGAGAAAGCAGAAGCTCCACGGCAGGTGGGGCCAGCAGAGGAAGAGGAGCTGGTAGCAGTGCAGGCAGGCATAGGACGTCGATGCCATCTGCCATCTTCAGCAGTGCTCTCTCTATGGCAGGCCACCGCAGTCAGCAGCCAACTGATCGTGGCTGGGCACAGTGGGCGTTTTCCTGGCAGCCTCTCCAACCATCCAGGCAGTGGGACAGGAGGTTGCGTGAGTAGACAAGCTGTCATGATCACTGCTGGGATGCCGAGGTGACTTCTGGCGAACTCTTGCTTCTGGACTGGATACCACTGCCGACTTGCCGCCTGAACGTTTCGAGCTCAGCACTTCTTCAAATCATGCGCCGTGATTCGTGGCTCTTGACGTGTGCTGACTCCCAAGGCTGGGACATGGACGATTTTTTCGACCCAGACCCGGACACTCCGGGCAAGACCTACGTCAGGCAAGGAGAAGAGCACGGGAACTGGTGTGGCACGCTTCTATGCTTCTCCTGAGGCTCGGGCATTTCATTTTGGGCATCGAGCAGTTCGACGGCGAATTCTTTGGGCTGAGCGAGATGGAGCAGCGTGGCATGGTGGGGCTCCGAGGGACGTGCCACCGCTCGTTCAGTCAGCAATTCTGTGGCACATCAGGACCCGCACCAGTGGCTGACCCTCGAAATAACCTACGACAGCATGTTTGCAGCAGGTCGATTTGCTCAGTCACGCATTCGGCGCATTCGTGCTTTGATCAATGTGGTACTAGAAGACGAGATCGCATGGACTATGCAAGGTTTGACCAAAGAGAAGATGAATGGACTGGACTGCGGCATCTATGTAGGCTGCGCAACGCTCGGCGGAATCGCGCCTGACATCCCGGCTTTTGGACCGTTCACGAACATCGGCGCGACCCCAAGAATGGGAAGTCACGTCAAGCGACGGACATAACTGTGAACTGTGCGGCCAGCTGCCTTAGGCTATGCTTACTCGGGTCTCTCCGGACGCGTGTCCCACACGCTGTCTCTCCGTGGGCCTTGCTTCACCGTCGACACGGCCTGCTCCGCAACGGCCGCTATCTCAAAAGAAGGCGGTACCATTGTCGGACCATTTGCACCAATCCTAGGTGGTGGCCCTGGATTGCGCCAGCCAAGCGCTGCGACTGGGACGTTGCCTGCAACTCGGAACTCGCTCTCAGCGACGCAGTCCTCCAGCCTCCAGTCGAGGCCGCTCTGCAGCCGCCAGCGGCGTGAACCTGCAGCTCTCGGCCGCCATTTGGGCACAGCTCCCAAGTGTAAGTCTAGCCCAGAGAGACAGACCTCAGAGAGATGTCACCTTGTGTCTTCCTTAAAGGTCGGCTTTGCCAAGATGCGGGGACTCGCTGCTGATGGCAATTGCAAGACCTTCGACAGCTCTGCCGATGGCTTCGCACGGGGAGAGGGCATGGGCCGCGTGCTTAGTCGCTTTTGAGAACTGATGTGCTGGCAGAGCGGACCCAACAGCTGAGCTTGGCCCATAGGCTCCGTCTACATTGCCATGGAGGATGCCAACACAACTCCGGCCGCACTGCTGGGTGGCGTCGCGCGGGCCTCAACTCGAATCGCTCCGACCCATTTCGAAACGGCTTTCGTCGGAAAGGCCACGAACCATGATGGTCGTGCAGCCACCATCACGGCGCCCAATGGCACAGCCCAACAGCCGGGCACCAAGGGGGCCCAAACTCCGGACGGCAAAAGCTCCGGCCATTTCTCATTGCCACAGGCGCGTGATCCGGGCGGCCTTGTCAGAGCGAGGCACGCGGCCCGAGGCGATGATCGCTTCTTGCGCTGCGCCGCTGCGCCGCCGTGCATGTGTGCTGCATTGAGCATCTGCAGGCTCTCGGATGCCTGGAATGTCACGGCACGGGCACTGCACTGGGGGATCCCATCGAGGCCTGCTGGAACCAGCATTCGCAACTAGCCTCTTCTTGCTTCTTGTGGGGACAGGTTGGAGCTCAGAAGGCGGTCTACGGCAAAGGCCGTGAAGCTCCAATGATACTGGCCGCTGGAAAGACGAACCTGGGACACCTGGAAGGACACGCGAAGTCGCGCTTAGAGAAGCAAGTCTGCCCTAAGGCCCTAGGATGCCCTAGGCCCAGGCCGGCCGAAGGTGAAGCGCCAAGAAACCAGCAGCCTCCCGCTCGCCTCCTGTGGAGAATCTTTCGTCCGAAGGGTCTTGCGGTCGTGAAAGGTTTTGTGCACTGTGAAGGAGCGGCAGGTGTGGCCGGTCTCAGCAAGACTGCACGGGCCCGAAGCTGCGAAGTTGTGGCGATTCCAAAAGACGCCGCGTTCCCAGGTGCTGCTGCTGCAGAAGGCCCAGGTGACGCCCCTTTTGTGGCTGAAGCAGCTGCCGCCTCAGAGCGGTGCCCTGCTGAACCGGGGCTAAACGCAAAGTACTAAAAGTCGCTGAAGGCTGAACCACAATGTGGAGCTCTCCAGCTTTGGCTTCGCTCCGACGGAGCTCCTTGACGCAAGGAGGGCGCAGGGCAGGGCGGCCGTGTCGTCTTTCGGCTTCTCCGGCACGAACGGCCACGTGGGGGGCCCAGAAGCTCAGAGTCGCCCCTCTTGCCTTGCCTCGCTGCGGTGCCTCGCCTTTCTCCTGCAGGCCATCTTGGAAGTCTTTTGCAGCCCAGCGAACAGCGAGGGCCCTCGGCGTCCAACGGCCTCCTACTCGCGCCGACTACTGCAGCCCTACCGGCAATGGCTCAAGGCTCCGAGCTCCGAGCAGCCAAGGCCCCAAGGCCCCCCCGCAATCCTTGACGACTTGCGATCGCCAGGACATCTGCTACGAAGAAGTTTGGATCAACGTCGACCCGAAAGGTTCGAAGCGAGAGAGTCCAGAGCAGCTGAGCAGTGCTGAGCAGAGTGTTGACTGCGGAGGCGAGCCCGGCCTGCATCCTTTGCAGCCTTTCTTCTTGCTGGGCGGCGGCGGCGGCGTCTGCATCGCGCTGGCCGCCAGCAGCGCCTGTGCCGGTAGCCTCGAGTCAGGAGGCGGCTTCCGGCTCGCAGACGGCGCCGCGCCGGAAAAGCGCAGTTCCGCAGGTCGGGAGGAGATCGCGGAGGCCTTGGCCCAGACGCGAGCCAAGACTGCCGTTTTCGTCGGCAGCTCCGGTGAAGTGCCTCGAACAGAGCATGGCAGAGCATTGTAGAGCATTGCAAAGCAGAGTGTGAGGCCGCCTCTGTCTGTGGGGGTCTCCTGAGGCGCCCGATGAGCCTTTGGCCCATCTGCTCAGCTTCCTCCAGGCACTTCAGCTCGCCGAGGTAGACACAGCCGTCGTCGTGACCGTGTCCAAGGCGCCAGTTGTTGGTCGATGTGTGCATTCTTCGTGTTCATGTTCATGTCTAGAGCATCCCCGCGATCCGAGACTCCCTCGAGAAACATATCGAGAATACTGTAATCCTGCCGCTGCCAGCAGGATCTAGCCTTACATTTCCCATCCGTGAGCTCCTTTCAAGCACGGATCAAATAGGTTGATCCGTAGTCTCGAAGCCACGATTCTCCGGAAACGTTCTGATCATGCATATCGAAGATTATCGAAGTGACGAAGGTTACAGATTCTAATTTGCAAATCGTAGCACCAGTGCTTTGCTTTGCTTTCGAAAAGCCTGAGTGAAGCATGGTGGGTCGTCGCTATACGCGCACTGCAGGGAGGTGCAATGGACTCTGGTGCAGCTCTCTGGGGTTTAGCTCGCTCTGCCGGGCACCCGGAACGAGGGGCCACAGGAAAGGCGTTCGCATTGGGCCTGGCACGCCATGGAATTTGCCTTGACATTGCCGGAGGCACGGCTGGAGATGCGGCCTGAGATCCGGCTCTTGGAGTGCCTTGAGCAAGCTGGAAGTGCGGTCGAAGCCTCAGCACACGCCGCTTCGCTTCTCTTCGCTCCTCTTCGCTCTACTAAGGTCCTGCCCGAGATGCAGCAACTTCTCTCGGGGCCGGAGATGGAGATCTCCGTGAGAGATGCTGCCAAGGCAGGGCATCATCGCATTCGGTCGGGCGACCTCAGAGCAAAGGGCACAGACGAGCACAGAGGCAGGTGAGGTGGCAGTGTTAGGAGGCCTGCGGCCTGCAGCAAACAGAAGTTGTCGCGCTTGGCCGCGAGGCACCACGGCTCCAACGAAGCGCGGCTGCCTCCAACTTGCAAAGTCGGGACATCCTGCAGGGCCAGATCCCGGGTGCTTCACTGGTCACCGGGGGCCTGGGAGGTGCCATTCGCCAAGCGCGCGGAACGCAGGGCTCAGGGCCTGCCGTAGGCCTGCAGATGCCTGCAGCTTCGCGCCTGGAAGGCTTGGGCCTCCTCGCAGCGCAGCAGTTGGCGGAGCTGGGGGCAAAAACGTGCGGCGCTCAGCTTCGCCTGCTTCTTGCTCCCACGCTTTGTGGCTCTCTTCAGGCTGATTCTGGCCTCTCGGAGTGGTCGAGCGTCGAACTCGTCAGCTCTTGCACGGTTGGAGTTGGCCAAGGCAGCCCGAAGCCGAGCTTGGTGAGGTCTTATGTGACATGGACATGCTACCGCGAAGCAGTCGAGCCTTTGCTCTCAGGTTGTGGAGGTCCGGAAATGCGATGTTAGCCGTGCTGAAGATGTCGCAGCGCTGGCACAATCGTCCGGGGCTTACGCGGCAGCCAGCTTTCCGAGGTCCTCAGCTTCGGGACCGAGGTTGCAGCATCTCGACAAACTCCATGGCATCGTCCATGCAGCCTCCAGCTCGGGCAATTACAGGCGCCGTTCAAAGACCACGGAACACGAGTTCCTGAGGCAGGCGTGCTGGACCGCTGTGCGCTGAAGGACCTCACTTCGTCCAGGATCGGACAACCGAGAAGCTCTAGAGTTCTAGATTCGTCCGAGAGTGCAAAGAAGACCTCTTGAGGCTGGATGTGACCTTGGGCCCAAAAGCCAAGGGCGCCCGGCACCCGGCAGCTTGAGCAGAACTCGCGCTCAAAATGCTTTGCTGCTTTGCGTGCTGAGGCCTGGCACTTGCAGTCCTTGAGCGAGCGGCTCGTGATGTTCTCCTCGGCCGCCGCCTCGGACACTCGCTCGAGCCGGGATGGTCTTCTGCCTCTGCTGATCTGTGGAGGTCTCTTCCTTTCTGGGTCTTTCCAATGGTGCCGCCTATGCTGGGGGCCCTTTGCGCTCTCGCGAAGTGCACGTCGCCGATTGTGAGCTTCTGGAATGCAAGGCTGCCGCGAATGCTTACTTGGATGCCCTCGCCTCCTGGCGCAACACGCAGTCGCAGTGCTCGCCTCAAAAGAAGCAGACGGGCCTTTGTGGAGGATGCGGGGCTTATGCGTGCGCATTTCTGAGGGGCACTGCCGTGAGCGTGCGCTTCGGCCCGGTGGCCGATGTTGGCATGGCGGCGGCACCTCAGAGCGCACTGGGCCCGGGCCCGCCGGGCCACAGCATTCCCCGCTTCGCCGAGGAGAGCGGCCAAGGTTCCGCCGCGGACACTCCCCTTCGGGCACTGCCGCTGGCGCAGGCTGGCGGGGCGGGGGGGAGGAGGGGAAGCAGCCTTTCAGCTCGGCCAGGTCAGCAGCGGCCTGCGGCTGTTGCTGGCACCGCAGCCCCTGCGCTGTGCACCTCTCACGCTGGCGAGGGCGGACTGGTCCGCATACTTCCGGCAGTCCGCCGGCCTCGCCCCGATGCTCCAGGACTTCCAGGAAATTCAGGTGGAACTCCAACACTCCAACACTCGTCAGAGATGTTTTGCGGTTGACCGTTCGGCTTGCAGGTGGCCTCAGAGACGGAGCCGGATGCGGAGCGGCAGCGGCTGCGGGAGTTGTCGGCATTGGAGCGGGAGAAGGCAGTGCTGGCTTCCCTGCACGCGGCTGCCTCCTCGATGCATCTGGACATCCAAGAGGATACCCCGTTGATGGAGGAGCGAAGCCCCCATCACACTGCAAGTAGAAGCCGCCAGCAAGTCAGCAACCCAAGTCCTCGGCCCCATCGTCACACGTTCCAGGCGGGCATTGACTCCCTCTCTGCAGTGGAATTTCGTGGGAAGATCTCCACTGAGTTCCGGTCGGTGCGCCTGCCCAGCACGCTCATGTTCGACCATCCCACTCTCAAGGCAGTGGGTGCATTTCTTATAAGTCGGCAGTCAAATCACGACGTCGGAAATCACACTAGCTGCACTAACTTGCAAACGCACGTTTTGCGAAAGGAAGCCGAAGCAGCCAAAGAGGCTTGAAGAGCAGGTATTCACCTAAATGCTTGGTGTGGATGCTCAGCGTTTGTGCGGCACGAGGTAGGTGCTGGTGGGGCTGGTGCTCTTGGTGCTGTGCTAGTGGTGCTGGTGGTGCTGATGCTTGCTGGTGCTTGCTTGTGTTTGCAGTGCTGGCTGTGCTGGGGGTGCGGTGATTGGATGGATGTCAGTCATGAGGCGACCTACGGTGGAGCAACCCGATCCACACCAGCACAGGTATGAACTGCTTTGAGAACTCTGACGTGTCTCACTTCCGCTGCAAATGCCTAATGTTTAATCTTCGAAGCCGTTCGAAACACATGGATGCGGGTGAAACTGACGATGGGTCGCGGGACACCTGTTGCCCTTTCATTTGTGCGTAGAGGCAATTTCCCAGCACATTTCGGTACAGCTGGCAGAGGGCAGCACGCCCGTTGCCTCGTCTCCTATCTCGTTGCCGGTTGCTTCGCCTTCTACTTCGACAGCCGTGCACCTGGAAGTGTGGGGGGCTGCATGCACACTGCCTGCACCTGGACCTGCTTATGGTGGTGTAGCTTGCAGCCTTTGGTATGGAACGGACTGCGTGACAGAGATGCCTTACTCCCGTTGGGACGTGGAGGACTACTATGATCCCGATGCTCCATCTGGCTTGGAGATGTATGTGCGGCATGCAGCCTTCGTCGAAGGAGTGGAGCTTTTTGGTGCGCAGTTCTTTGGGATCAGCAAGGTGGAGGCAGAAGCGATGGACCCGCAGCAACGCCATTTGCTGGAAACGGCCTTCGGAGCCTTTGGTGACTCTGGTTACTCGAAAGGTGATCTTATGGGCTTGAGGGCTGGCGTCTTCGTCGGTCAGGACAAGAGCGACTGGAATCGAATGTTGTCATCAGCTCATGCAGGTCCTTTCGCTGCCACCGGTGGCTCTGCTTCTATCTCCTCCAATCGTATCTCCTACAGCCTGGGCTTGAAGGGGCCGAGCGCCACCGTGGACACTGCATGCTCCTCATCTCTGGTGGCTGCTGACACGGCTGCAACAACAATAAGAAGAGGTCGCTGCGAGGTGGCGGCGGTCTGCGGCGTCAACATGCTGCTCTTACCGCAAACTTTCATCGCCTGCTGCCAGGCGCGCATGCTGTCTGCCGACGGTCGGTGCCACACCTTTGATGCGTCTGCCAGCGGCTATGCACGCGGTGAGGGCTGCGGGGCACAAATTCTGGGACCGGCAGGATCGGCAGCCTCTGTGGATTCTCTGGCTGCCTTTGCAGGAAGTGCCTTAAACCAAGACGGCCGCAGTGCCAACCTCACGTCACCCAATGGCCCCTCGCAGAAGGCAGTCATCGAGGTGGCACTCCTGGAAGGAGGCCTTAGGCCGGACGATGTGGGACAGGCGCGCGCATTGCTTGGGCAACTTGAGCCCGAATTGCTTCCGGTGTTGCAGGCAATTAAACGCCCTGTTGAGAGGCCTTTAATTATAGGCGAGTTTCAGCTCTTCAGACAGGTGGAGACCCACGGCACGGGCACGGAGTTGGGTGACCCCATTGAGACCGGAGCCTTGCGAGCCGCCTTGGGCTGTCGCAGTTTCCCTTTGCTTCTGGGCGCCGTGAAGTCCAACCTCGGGCACCTGGAAGGGGGCGCCGGCATGGCAGGGCTCCTGAAGCTGGCGGGGCCCAGACAAAGAGCAGAGAGCGTGCAGAAAGCAGAGAGAGTGAGCGGAGAGCAGCGTCGCGTGCTATTCTCTCTCTCTCTCTCTCTCCCGCTCTCTCTCTCTCTCTCTCTCTCCCCCTCCCTCCCTCTCTCTCTCTCTCTCTCTCTCTCTCTCTCTCTCGCTCTCTCGCTCTCTCGCTCTCTCGCTCTCTCGCTCTCTCGCTCTCTCGCTCTCTCGCTCTCTCGCTCTCTCGCTCTCTCGCTCTCTCGCTCGCTCGTGCATGCTAAACACATATATAACTACCTACATATGTGTATGTATAAATATTACAGATGTGTCCAGACATACTTATGCTGCCCTCTGGGTTTTCAATTCCCCGTGTGGGTGGAAATGACCCACTGGTCCATTCCCGGGCCGTGATCCATGCCTGCTCTCTTAGCCACCCGTTTTCTTGTGGAGAATACAACGTCCTATAAAATCCCAATCTAGGGACCTTAAAGCAAGGTCATGGGTTCCCTTTCGGAATTCTTGAAATCTGAATGTGGGACCGTTTGAAGCGTTATGCTTCTTCCTGCGAGGGTCTTCGGCTCTCTGGGAATAGGGTCCAAAGTTTGCGCATTTCTTAGTCAGGCCCGTAGAGTGCAGCAACGGGTTTTGCAGATTATGTTGGAAACTGTGTACATGTCCGAAATCGCAACACAGAGGGTTTGGGATAGCTTCCTTCACAGTCCAGCAGAAACGTACACGACTAACAGGGCAACATGTTTTCGTGCTTCCAGTGCGTAATTGTACAAGTCAAGTGGGTAGTCCAATATTTTGTAGCCAGGTATTTAAACTAACCAGCCAGACAGCTAGGTATGTCACGCACAATGGCCTCCTTTTACATAACTTGGAAAATTTCCTCGGGGCAACTCACCGTCACCTGAAGCAGACAGTCGAGTTGGTCCGGCAAGATCATACCGGTGCCGCAGCGCTCTTCCTGCGCAGTGGCCCTTGAAGATTTGCGCGGTTTTTGTGCGAGTGCGGCAGATCATCTCGGTGGCCCGCTCCGTCTCTGAGTGTTTTGGGACTGGAGGCTGAGGTGTATGGCGGAATCGGTCTGTGAGTGATCCAGTAGACAGAGGCTCTTCAAGCAAGCAATCTTTGCGTAAAACCGTGCACCCAACCAACCGTCGGGCTTCTCCCGCGGGGGCATGCCTCAAGGGGGAAAGAAGAGAGAAAGGTCCATTTGCTTCCATGTTGCAACAGAGAAGATCTGAAGTCATGTACTGGTTGTGCCTTCGCGAAATCGAAAGAGAGAGAAAGAGGCGGGTCCAGGCGATTGGACACATCCGCAGCGGAAGGAAGGAAGGAAGAGATATCGAGGAATCTGTCGATCTGTCTACGAATATACACGCATATTTGCGTAAACAAGTACGTAGCGGTTCATGTACCTGCACCAGATTGTCAAAAAGCATTCGAAGTTGTATTTCTGTAGAATCTGTCTGGTGGTTCATATCAGCATCAGTCCCTGTCAGGCTTCACAGCTCCAGCATCCTGTTCCGGCCATCGCTGCCAATCTCCACCTTCGTGCGCTAAACCCACACATTGCTGAGGAACGCTGCAGAGCTCAATCATTGAGGCGCGTGGCGGTGCATTGCTGTGCCCGATGTGAGGACGCGCACGACTTTGCTGCTCGCTTTCCCAACTGCTCCGTTGCGGGAAAGGCGCTGGCGAATTCGGGCAGCGAGGGAAACATATAGTCCAGCGCAGTCATCATGCCAGGTGGAATCCTCCGCGGCCTCCGTCAGCTCTTTCGGCTTCGGGGGCACAAACGGGTGCGTGGTGCTGAGACTTGCGGAGAAGGCTGGAAGTAGAACGGCCGGGATGAAGGCGCTCATGTTGAGAAGCAAGAGACAGACACAGGATAAGCTGCAGCAGGCCCGGCGATGTCGACCGTTGGGCATCGACTTGGGCAGGGGCCCTAGCTGCCCCCGCCCCACGGACAGAAGCGATATTGGGAAGTCCGCAGGCCGTGAGCGCTTTGAGTGGCGGGAGCCCAGCCACCCGCTGATCCGCAAGAAGGCGAGGAGAGAGGATGGGGTGCACGTCCAGAGCTGCCCGAGCCCCAAAAAGGATGACCAGATGCACGCAGCTACATGCAGCTGCCTGCAGAGCAACGGAGGTCCCATTGATGGCCACGTACTGGAACTCCTGTCGCACCACATCGTGCACGGTGAGGCAGTCGACGCGGAACATGACACTGATCCGAACTTGCCGAGCTGACCTGAGGTGGTGGTGCCCGGTGCATGCTACTTGGAGATGATCCTTGCGGGCGTGAGGGCGCACCTGGGACAGCAGGCGGGATGCTGGGACGCTGGGAACAGCAAGGGGCTTCGGTGCGTTTTAAGCCTGTCTTCGGGCAGGAAGCCTGGTGCATCGAGAGCCTGGGCTTTGCTAAGCCTCTGGTCCTCCGTCTTTCGCAATCGGGCCAGCTGGAGGCGACGGCTTTTTCGCGGCCGTTGGGTTCCTTGATGTTTTGGTGGCCAGGAGCCAGTGGAGCTGCGGCTGCTGATTTGGGAGGACGGGCGCCTGGAGGTCCTGGGCGGTTGCAGAGCGGAGTGCTCTGAGCTCTCTGAGCTCTCCGAATCCGCTCGGCAGGTGGAGAGCGCTGTCGGGGAGGACCCCGAGGACCACATCCTGTCCACCCACGTTGAGGCTGGCTGCCTGAGGCGCCTTCAAAAAGGTGCAGAAATGTTGGCCAGGCCAGCCTCATCCGACAAGCAGGCGGATGGAAGCGTGCGGAGGAGGACAGGCACGACCTGGCACAGCTCAAGCGGAGCTGCCCGGAAGAGGCTTGCCCGATTGCCTACTTGTAGCTGACACAGTGACGAACTTGCAAACTGCGTTTCCGGGTGCACTGAATCGTAGGGACCCGAAAGAACATCTGGGACCGGCTTCAGCGTATTCCCGCAAAGTTCTTGAGACTTCTTGAGTTTTGTCAGGTGGACGTGGACCTCATGTATTCTTTTGGCGTGAAGAGTGGCCTCCCGCTCCAGCGGCGCTTCCGGTGCGTTCGACAGGCGAGGCAGCATCGTCTATAGAGAGAGAGAGAGAGAGAGAGCGCTGAATCTGTGATCTTGACAAATGAATTGGAGTGACAGTGGCCACTGTTGCGTATAGCCAGAAAGATGATGTTGAGTGGACGTCCAATTTGCCTTGCCAGTGTTAGAGAGCTCTTGACACCCACAACTTGATGTGCGGGTGCTGGCGTGTGGTCAGGGGTTCCTCCCCCTCCCCTGCGCCCTTGAGTTCTCGCCTTTAGCCCCTGCATGGTGGTGTGTCTTCTGAGGTGCAAGTCCAGAAGAGCGAACGGAAGGGCTTCGCACGGCTGGAGATGGAAAGGGACGGTGCGCCGCGAGATGCGTGAGAGTGAGCCTTTGATCGTGGCCCTTTCAGTTGCCCCGCCCCGCTCGAGGTACAGAGCTCGGCTTCCTGCTTGGGCCGTCGCTCATTGATAGCTCCTTCCAAGCTCTGATGGCTCTGGCGGACCCTGCTGTGGGCATCGGCTCCCTGAAGATCCCGCTGTCCATCAAGAGGCCGGCTGCGACTGCGAAGCGCTGTGAGCCGTGACCTGGCTGGGTGTGAGGCTCCAGCCCATGGGCCGCGGATACTCCATCGGAGTCTGGTCGCACTTCGAGCTTTTGGACTGGACGGAACACTCCACGGCCTTCAGGCCGCTGCCAGAGCACTGCCAGAGCACTGCCAGAGCACTGCCAGAGCACTGCCAGAGCACCAGAGCTGACGACTGACTGGGCATTGCTGCCCATGGAGTGGCTCAGGTGTTGGCTTCTGAACGATGCCGGGGAGACGCTCTTATTCTTCGACTCGGTACACTTGCAGGAAGTCCGCGATGAACACCTTCAGAAGGCACGATGCTCGGTCCAAAGCACGGAGATGGTTTGTAAGACAGATGTCATGTGGTGCATGTTTCCAGCCGCGTGCTGACCGCCGTCGCTGCAGGTTCTGCAAGCCTCTGGGCGCCTTGGTGCAGAGCAGCAGGCTTTGTACAGCACCCGGTGGCGGCCGTTGCCGAAAGAACTCACTGGGGCAGGGGCCTCTGCGTTGTCGCATCAAATGCACGTCGGCACAGTGCAGAGTCTAGAGCCTCCATACATGTGGGAGAGACACCTCCAACACGTGCCTACATGCAGGACGGGGACGGATCGAGAAAATGGCTTATCCTTGGGCGACAGGAAGATCTCAGGCCTTGGAAAAGTGTAAGTGCCCCATTGTACCCCTCTGACAGCGGCATTCGATGACTTCGCGGAACGCGGAAGGCAGTCGGCCATGGAGGAGTTCCGCTGCATCGCAGCGGAGGACCATGACTTCCAAGATGAGGCAGCCGGCTCCTGAGTGGCAGTCGCAGCCAGCACTGACTTCATTTCTGCCGTCTCTGCGAGTCTGCCATCTTCAGGCTTTGCAGGAGCTCTTCGCCAGTTTCGAAGCAGAGGCACTCGTCTTCGTGGGAGGGCTCGGCGATGATTCGCATCGAACATCCGTGAAATGCCACGGCACGGACGACGTGGATGTGCTCGCCTTGGCGCTTCACGTGCTCCGATGCTCGGCCGAAAATCAAGGGGGTTTAGAGTTTAGGGCCAGGCCACTGCATGCGTACAGGCACTCTCGACACGACAAGATCGCATCACATTGCGATGCGTGCGAGGTGCCGCTTTGTCAGCTGGTCTGCCCTTGGTGTTTCTGACGAGAAAGACGCAGGCTTTGGGTCCCGAGGTGCCTTGGAACAGTGCAGTGAGACAGCACAAGGAGAGAGCGATGTAAGAAGGACCAGCCGGAGCCGATTCATGCAGGGCTCTGGGGCTTTGCCCGTACCGCGCGGCTGGAGGACGGCATTTTTTGCATTCGTTCCGTAATGAGGGAGATGTTTAAGATATGCCATGAAACCGGATTGTCAAATGAGGGGCGTGTCTAGGCCTTACATTCTTACATATGTTATATGATGAACCGATCTCGCGCAATGCGGAAGGGTTGCGTTGGGCAGGGGGGTGTCTGAGAGATATGAGGGACCGGAATCGCCACATGAAGCACATGAGGAGGCGTGCTTAAGATACATGATGAAACGGAATCGCCGTAGCGTGTTTACGAGATATCACGAAAGCTAGCTCTGTTGAGCTTGCGGGAGTTGTCCTTTAGCAAGTCACCTTGTATTAAGGCACAAGGGAAAAACAGGGTTTGCACCTCATCAGGTGGGACGTCCAAGAGTTAAGGTGGGGGGTGGGGCGGGAGGGGGTGCCGCCCCCCCTTCACCTCGTTCATGAAGTATCTTCGAAGGATAAGGTGCGGCGCGCCACCCCCCTCCCTCCCCTCCCTCCTTGAAGGTTGCTGCGCGTGGGATAAGGTAGAGGGGGGGGGGGGGGCCCTCCCCCCTGCCCTCAAGTCTCTCCCCCTCAGCCCTCCCCCCCCCCCTCGCAAGGTCCCTCAGTTTGGTTCTGTTTGAAGTCTGTTGCTTGCGCTGCGGCTTGGCCCTAGCTTTCGTCGCCCTCTTCTCAAGTGGCGAGCTGGAATCGTCAAATGCGGGGGAGTGTTTAAAATACGTGATGAACTTCCACCGACAAATGATGCTTATATGCTATATCAACAGCAGCAACAACGTCAACCTCCCCACAATCCCTCTATCTAGAGTGCCCAGTACATGTCTGTGTGTCTGTGCCCAATGCAGAGTCATGTCTGCCCTCTCTCGTTTCTGAGCTTTGAGAACCACGCTGGTTCTCACATGAGAAGACCTCCCCAGGCATAGGTCAAGACGCCAGAGACAATCCTTCGCAAATAATGAGCTCCCTCTCCGTGTCTTGCGTTGCTTTGTCAGCCCCCCGCCCAGCTTGTTCAAGCTTGCCAGAACAGCAGAATGCATACGGATCCTGTCAGAACCCCGATACAGACACGCACTGCGGTTGCAAATGATGGGGGCTGCGCCCCTGCCCAACCGGCTCTCGTGTTTGACTTGTAAGCTGCTTGAGATCGTGACGTCTGCCGTTGCTCAAGTTTTTAGGGTATGGCTTGGGGATCTTCGTTCAGGGTTCTCCACTGGGGTTTGACTACAAACTGTGAGGCCTTGCCTGCCCTTTCTGCTGCGGGGCCTCTTCGCTCCCGACAATCCTCCTTTCTTTCCTCCTGGGCTTTTTGTCGGCCACTTTCCTCTGTGCCTGGCTTCTCATCTGCCTGTGGGGGGCAAAACAGGACCTTGCAAATTGTATATATGCAAGCAGGATCTCGTTTAGTGAGGTCTTGCGAAAGGTCTCTGAGGATGTGTAGACAAGGAGTGCATCATCTCCAAATACTCGAATGCCACATATTGCATCTAGAATGAGCTGCACTTCTTTGGCTTTGGTGGTCAACGTAAGACAGGTGTCAGCATTGACAGGCAAGCAGCCATATGGCCAAATTCGGTTAAATCGGCCACGCATCGCCCACGGCAGGAACCGGACAGACTGCGCCTGGCTTGCGTGGATCTGGACTCTTCCAAGCCTCTGGAAGCCATAGAAGCTGCGCTCACACAGCTGCCACTGACCCAGAGTCATGAGTCTTTCGCAGACCCAAGTCTGTGGAACAAATCCCGAGGTCCAAATCAGACTCCCGTGAGGAGGAGACCGGAAGTCAGGCCGTAATTGAGAGAGGTTTGCTTGGCCTTTTCAGGAGCTGTCGTGGCAGAACGGAGAGGCCTCGGAAATTCGAGACGAGTACTGTGCCGCGGCACCCTTCTCGAAACTCGCAGGTGCTTGGTCGGCGCTTGACTCGAAGCGAGCTAAAAGCCCAGACGCCCATGCGCCTCAACATGCCGGCGCGGGGAGCCTTGCAGGGCCCCAAGTGCAGTTGAGGAAGCGCTCGGTTCGGCGTTCGGGACGACACGAGGACTGGTCTGCGCAGTGTGCCGCAGACGCGGCAGCCTCTGGTCCTGGGCAGCGTGCAGCTCCGCATCCGAGCGGTAGGCCTGAGACCGAGACCTCAGCACAGCAGCCCAGCGGCCCAGTTTCTCTAGTCCTGTGCGGAAGGCCTCAACTTTCGGGACGTCCTCAATGCCGGGCACTCAGAGTACGAAGGCCCCAGTGGCGGGCAGAGGCTTAGACAGAAGCAAATCAATGACTCTGACAGATATCAGGCTTACTGGGTTCAGCAAGCGATCTCTGGGCACAGCACAACTGGACAAGCACCGATTCTCCGCAGCTCCACAAGATGTTGTTGCTGTTAGCGAGCATGAGGCTTTGCGCTCGATAAACCACGGGCCATGTCGATTGCGGCTGTGCGGGACAAGTGAGTGTGGCAAGACTCGACCAAGACTATTGATCTGGGCCTGTCCTGAGGTCATGGGACTGTATCCCGGCGATCCCGGTCCACCAGGAGCAGACATGGCGGGCACCGTGCTGGACCTCGCGGAGCACACGGGAGATCATCTTAGGCGTGTCCGCCTCTCCCTCTCGCTCTCGCTCTCGCTCTCTCTCGCTCTCGCTCTCGCTCTCGCTCTCGCTCGCGCTCTCTCTACTTCTCGGTCGGGGAGGCTGGCAGAGGACGTCTTCGGCGAGGCACCGGGATGCCTCAGCAGCTACTGCCTGGCGCCAGCGCTGCGTACCAAGAGCATCTGCGAAGAAGCCACAGCTTTGCCGCCTTTGCAGACACTTTCAAACCCTAAAGGCCACTCATAGCGCCGAAGCCTTCCAGCTGGTCCTTTGAGGAGGCCCTGTGGCGACTCCGGATAAGCTTCGTCGCCTGTGCCTGTTAGACGGCAATCCCGAGGGGGCGTGGAGAACTTGCGACTCTTTCCGGTGGACATGTCACGACGTAGTACAACATTGTAAGTTGGCCATCCCATATTCAGAGGCTGACTTTACATCGCTCACATCACAATAAAAGACCTCAAACCCATGGTGCACTGGGTGTCTCCAGACATCGCAAGTTGCGGGCTCAGCGCTCACTGCGTTTGAAAGACCTCCCTCCAAGAATTGGTTCTCAGAGTGTTCATTCGAAGCCTCAGATGGTCGGGAGTTCGAGCCGCATGCGGCTGTGAGGGGACGGGTGCGGGGTGCGGGGTGTGAGGCCGACGTATCGGGTTGGGTTTAGGGGGCGCCGGCGTGGTACGCAAAGGCAGAAGAAGCTCAGAAGTAGGACTCCTGTTGATTCTCTACTGTTCCGAAAGAGGCCTGCACCATGCCGGTCATCTTCGTCACTGTGGAGGAAGCTTTGGGAGACTTGGCACAGCTGAAGCGTGGCGAGAGGGTGCGGCACCCGAGAACTGTTCCCAGTGCCCACAGCAAGGCAGTTACTAGAGGAAGGAAACGAAGGAGACTCTCTGCTCTACGAAGGTCTTGATCCATGCCGCAGCCGGGGGTGTGGGTCTGGTGGCGATTCAGTACGCGCAGTACATTGGGGCAGAGGTCTATGCGACGGCTGGTGCCGAGGTGGAATCGAAAAGGCTTGCGGATTCCTAATTTATCGCAGGGCTGGGGCTGACTTGCAGGAGAAGCACGAGTACCTTCGCAGCATCGGTGTGAAGCACATCACAAGCAGCCGCAACGGAGCACGCTTCGAGGAAGAGATGCGCTCCTTCCTGGAGAAGGAGAGCCCGGAACGAAAGAGCCGAAAGCGAAGTCCTTTCTTAAAGCCCTTTCAAAGGAGGATAGAAAAACAAACGTGACGCAGTCAGTTTCTCAGAGGAGGGGCTGGAAGGAGTGGACGTGGTGCTCAACAGCCTCAGTCCCTTGCCTCAATCATTGACATGCTAGGAATCCTTGGATTGAGATGTGAGAACGAGACTGCTGGCCTTTTCCGGCTCGGGCAGCGCTTGGGCGATAAGTTAGACTGGGAATCTGAGGCCATGATGACTACATCCCACGGTCTTTGGCGTTTCTGCGCAGTGGCGGCCGCTTCCTCGAGATCGGCAAAAGAGGTATCTGGTCCCACCAGCGGAGCCCTTACACTGTAAAGTGGAAGATGGAAAGCAGGGGCTCGAGAAGATGCGATTGACTCAGGCAGATACATCAGAGCCGCCCAGACGTGATGTACGAAAAGATTGCCGCGGACACGATGATGGAAAGAGAGCCGTGGAGGCAGGGAGAGTGTGTAAGACGCGCCGTGACGCAGTAAGGTGCCGAATTCAACCACGGGGACACAAGTGAACCCAACGCAGGTAGCCTATACAGGCCCGAAGACTTGGCAACTCATCTTCGGGCTACTTGTAGGGTGCGTGCAGATTCGCTCAGATGTGTTGGTACACTCGCCACTCATGTACAGGCATGCAGGCAAGCAAACATAGAGCGTGGAAGTGTATGTATGCTGCAGGCATAATGCATGGGATGCAGGATGCATGCAGCACGTTTAGCTGTAACGTGCGTCTCTGCGTGTCTGCCCGTCTGCTGACATGCATGCCTGTAAGTGGTCTTGCGTGATACTTGCATGGTTTTGCTTACCTGGCTGTTGGTCCGCTTGTCCACACATTGTCTACAAAGTAAGCTTTTACCTTTGAAGCACCAAAGCTGGGGAGCAGTAGCCGGGGGCTCCCAGCTTAGCATGTGCCTGAAGAGGTACAATGCCTATCTGAAGCGCCTCAAAGACCGAGTAGATTCTGGGGCGCTGATGCCTATCCATATGCACATCTTCGAGGGCCTGGAGGAAGGCAGCCCGCAGAAAGTCTGCTTGGGCAGACGGTCGACGATCTTGCGTTGGTGTTAGGTGTGCGGGCACTTCAGTTTCTGCAGCGGGCACAGAACATCGGAAAAGTCGTCATCTCCCAGCTCGGAGCTCGGTCCGCCCTTTGTCTTTATGCGGCTCGTTGCTGGCGTTGCTGTTGCTGAGCTACTCAGGTCGAGTATGCTCAGCAAGCTTCCGGCAGCCGGAACACATGTCCTCTCCGGCGGTACGGGTGCCTTGGGAGTGGCCCGGGGCCTTGCAGCTCTTGCATCCTCAATGACTCAACCTTACCTGGTATGGCAGAGACTCAGACGTTGAGGTGACAGCCCAGTTCCTTGCAGAGGAAGGGGTCAAGTCCCTTTGTCTCCTGTCACGCGCTGGGCGTCCGCCAGAAGAGGCGAGAGCACCATGGCCATGCAGCAGCCCCGGTTCTAATCGGAATCGACTTGATTCACAGAATCGCAGGTGCAAGCTCGATGGAACTGGCTGCAGGCGCGAGAGCGAGAGATAGCGAGAGATAGCGAGAGCCTGGCTCTTCTCATGTTGCCCTGCCAAGCGGAGGCGAGCACGCTTCAGCTCCAAGTTCTTCGCTGCGACGTCTCGGAGGAGCAGCTCATGCCGGTTTCAGTCCAGGCCTTTCCCAGTCCCAGTCCCTCATCTCCCGAGGAGGCTTCCGTGCGCTCAGCCGACTTCTCCCAAGGCAGCGTCCTGAGACACGCGGACCGCCACATTTTGCCATAATCTCGTGTGCTGTGGTGGAGCCTTGGGTAGCTCGCCTTGCGCTGGCGGCGTGGGAAAGGTGCCTCCCCCCTCTGCCCCCCCCTGCACCTAGTTGCACCGTGTCCATGGATGGCAGGCCTCCAGGACGTGGAGCCACGGGGGGTTGCCCCCCTTCGCAGTTGTAAGAGCATCATGGTAACTTCAAGTGGCCATGGGCTATCAAGGAATTCAATCGTATAAGTATATACCATGGGCTCGTGGGATCCTTTTTCATCGCTGCTCTTGAGCACATTGAGGGCAGAGGTTAGGCCCAGCGAGGTCCCGTCGCTTCCCTCTTCCACTTGGCGGGAGCGTTGGCCGATGCCATGCTGCCGGCACTCGACCGCCAGCTCTTCCAGAAGCCTGGAACCTGGAACCCCTCGAAAAGACGAGAGCAGGGAGGCCCGGGACCTCTCTTTTTGGAGGTCCTATGGTGCCAAAGTCCACGGTCTGCGCCACCTTCTGCGTCTCCTGGGGGCCAGGGCCTCATGGGCCGGGCCTCAGGGCCGCCGCCTCAGGGCCGCCGCCGCTGCCGCTGAGAGGACGTGGCTCTGACCGTGCTCTTCTCTTCGACGTCCTCACTCTTCGGCGCTCCAGGCGAAGCGACTCTTTCTTGAGGCGTGCCGCGCAGCCTTTCACGGAGGTCAAGGCAACTATGCCGCTGCCAACAGCACACTCGATGCCTTCGCCGCCTTTGCAGACCGAGACGGCCAAGGCGAGGCAAGTCGTTTCAGCGCCTGGGAGCCTCTCTCGCTGTCAGTGCGCAGGGGCCGCAGGGGCGTGCGTCTCCGTGCAGTGGGGACCTTGGGCTCGGGCCTCGGTGGAAGATGGCCGAAGGCTGAGGGTCTAAGTAAGTCAGAGTAGACCTTGCCCAGTTTGGGTAATAATGCCACCGCTAACCCATTAGATGATCATTCCTAGGGTCCCCCCTACACATCACCGATAAATCACTACTACTTCCCCCATTAGATGATCATTCCTAGGATCCCCCCTACATTTCACCGATAAATCATTACTACTACCCTATTATCAATACAATTCTAGGAATAACCATAACCCCATCTATTATCTCTAAGGTGGCATTATTACTCAAAAGGGGCAAGGGGGGTCTCGTAGGATTTGGTTCAGGGTTTAGGGTTAAGGGTTGTAACAACACTGTAATTATAATATATAACTGCTTATGTATTATAATTACATTATAACTATGCTGGTTAGGTTGTTTAATCCATTAAGACAAACTCAGGTTTATTCATAAGAGTTCCAACAATTTTATTAAAGTCCTTAATAAATCTATCTGGGTCATGACCAAAATCGTTTATCTTACGACGAATATTAATATTTTTAATATCTATCCAATCCTCATATATCCGTTTGAACGTTGTATATCTTTTTTTTTGACAATTTCTTGAACAGTTCCTTTTTAACCCGGTCGTAAATGGGAAAGTCATGTTTAATTGAGAAAATAAGTCTATCTACATCATATTCGTGTAGTATATTACGTCTGATAATTCCCTCTATCCTCTCCTTCTTGAACTGGCGTTTTTGACAACTACGGCAAAAATAAGCAAAGCCGTAGATATTATCAATAATATTTTCTGGTAGTGGCAATTCATATAGAGTGGAATAACGTTCGTGTTTTTTACAATCCTTGCATTTACAATTCCGTCGCTCTTACTTGAGTTCCCTGAAGTAGTCGTTAACCTTGACAACATCCAAGAAGTTATTTGTTATTTCATCCTGCTCTTTCTGAGTGAACATTTCCCTGTTAATATATATAGGCGTTATTTCTTTAGGTCATTTTCCTCAGAAATATTATTTTCTTAAGATTTACTGGATCGTGGTTTATTTGACAGACTTCTCTAAGCATTCAGAACAAGTCGCAATGTATTTAACATAATAGTAAGAATGCTTACCAGCACAATAGCAACGCTTAAACCAATCAATGTCTTTGACTTGCTTACAACGATAACACATCCTAGTAACAACATTATTTGTTTCAGTATATGGTTCAAAATCAACTAATATCTTATCTACTCTTACTGGCATTGCTAATATTATATGTTAGAATATTGTTATAAATACAACTATTTATAACAAGATCTAACGAAACTAATTACGAATTAATGTCATTACCAAACTCTTATGGTTTGCTTATGAACCTGTAGACTTGCTAGGCACTCGGGGGCATTGGGTCACTTCCTTCTTCTGTGTTCATTGGGGACGTTTTTTTATGCCAAGATGGCCTGTCAATATAGACTATATTTTAATCCATAATATTTAAATTATTCTTCAAAATATTTACATCTTTATCTATCCTTTCAACATCCTCCTCCACTTTTTCTATTCTCTCTTCTGGTGTAGGCTTTCGCGATCCCCACCCGGTGGTCACAGTATCAACACCTTCATTATCTTGTGGGCTTGTTTTAAATATGTCGTTTTCATCGGGTGTTATTCCTCTCCCCATCTTCCAACTGCTTCTATCTTCAATTATTGTTTTACCTTCATTGTTTATTTTAGTTTCTTTGTGAAAAGTCTTTCTTCTACATTTACAAGGCAAACAGTTTAACCCATCCGTGTTGAGGTGGAAGCCACCTTCATTAGTGTCACTATGATTGTCGCTCATTATACTTTCTTAGATTTTTTAAATTCTCAAGAACTGCCTTAAGCAATTCTAAAGAAGCGGTGCAACACCTTTTGAGCTTGGTGTCTTGAATTACAACCTTTTCAATTTCTTCAATCTCCTCTATCGTTTCTAAATACTTCTCCATTATATTAAAAGATATTTTTCTCTTATTAGTTAATGAGTGAAGAAATACCTAAAGTAGAACCGATAGACATACCCGAATATAAATATAAAAACAGCAGGTTTGACATGATGCCGAAGCTACCCGCGCGGATGTTATGTGTGGCTTCTTCAACAGGTGGTAAAACAGTATTGATCCAGAACTTGATATTAAAGATTTACAGAGGATCCTTTGAGAGAATATACATCTTCTCGCCCAGTGTTCATGTTGATGACACTTGGTCGGCAGTGAAGAAATACATAAGGGATGTAATGAAGGTAGATGCAGAAAAAGAACAACTGTATTATGAGGAATACGATCCGGTGGCACTAAAGAAGATCATAGACACTCAACATAAAGTCATTGATTTTCAGAAGAAGAATAAACAAAAGGATCTGTTTAGCATTCTGTTAGTGGTGGACGACTTTGCAGACGATCCCAAATTTGTAAGATACTCAAGCTTGTTACATGGGTTATTCACTAGGGGTCGTCATAATGCCATCTCGTGCATTTTATCCACGCAGAAGTATAATGTACTGGCCCCGATCATTAGGTTAAATGCCAGTGCTTTATTCATCTTCAGGCTCAAGAATATGAACGAAGTCAACGCGTTTTTAGAAGAGAATTCTGCCTTTGGTGGATAAAAGCACTTTGTATGAAATGTATCAGAAAGCCGTGAATTTTGCTCCCTACTCGTTCTTCTATATAAACACCAATGCTAAAGATGTTAGTAATATGTTTTTTATTAACTTTGAACAACGCTTTGAAATAGGTGATTAATAATATTTTTTGTTGTTAATATTATTAATTAAATCAATGAGTAGCTACACAAGTTTATAGCAGGTAGTTTATAATATATTTTATCGCTTTTTGTTTCTTCTATTTTTTCAATTCTTTCTATACAATCCTTTAAAGTGTTAAAGAGTAAAATATCGGTTTTAGTTTTTTCATTAATATCTAATTCTTTTATTTGTTTCATATTCTCACTCGCTGTAGATTTAGATGATGTAGATCCCATATAATCATATTTAGATAATTAATTTTTATCGCTATCACTTCTGTTCTTCTTCAACTTATTTACTTCTTTTTTCAATTTATCTACTTCATTTATTGTTGCCTGTAAAGCACTCCATAAGATTGGTACACATGTTGTGTAATCAAATTTCAAATAGCCATCTTTTCCTTCTTTTACTACATTCTGCCATTCATCTGGCATCTTCTTAGTTTCCATAAAATCATTAGCAATAAAACCAATACACGATTTACCTTGTTGTCTGTCATCGTGAAAATGATATGTTTTCGGCTTAATATACTTTATTAACTCTACTGCCTTTTTACTGTTCACTTCTTGTATGTCTTTCTTTAATCTTTTACCCGATGAAGGAATTAACGACCCTGTATATGAAAGATCACCATCAACATCAACACCTGTTGTTGTTGCGTCTAATGTTGATAAGTTATTATTACTTAATCTTATCCATCCGTTGTCATCTGGATTATTTATTAATACTCGTTGCTGTCCTGTTATATCGTCGTGAGTTATTTCCAAATTACCTAGTAAATTCACTTTGCGTTCTGTCAGTTGAATTTCCGGTGTGCTTCCTATGGTTCCGATGATAAAATTAATTGCTCTGTCTGTGTCTCCATTTCTTATATCTAAATCATAATCGCTTCCATTTAATGTTTCTTTAATGCCTGATGAATGTTGAAATAATATATCACCACATACTCTTAAACTTGCTTCTGCTGTTATATCACCAATACTATTAAAAGTTAAATTATTTGTGACCGCTCTGTTAAATGTTATTCCGTTGGTGTCGGTTAATTGCAATGCTATTGTTGATGTTGTTGGATCGGTTGCTCTGTTTGACTGAAAAGAGAATTTTATTTCATCGTTTGTTATTAAATTTAATGAGTTATTCGCGTCTGCTCTTCTGTATATTTTGCTATTATTCCATATCAATATTTCATTATTAAAAGTCGTAGCGCCGTTAAATCTTACTGTTGAACTGAAATTAGAATTGCCACCGTTAACATTAAGAACATCTACAACAGCATTCGCTCCAATTCCTAATTTATTGCATCGTACAGCATTACTATTATTCATATTTAAAAATAACTGTTGCGAAGAGTCATTTGTGTTATATGCATCAATACTAAAACCTCTAAATCTTAATTTCCCACTATTATTAGCAATTGCTACAACATTACTAGCGTCTGTTGTTGGCTTGTAAATCGTTAGCCCTGAATTATTAGAAATATTAAAATTATCAGTTTCATAAAATATATTATCTTTAAAATAAGTTGGTTTAAACAATGTTGTTCCACCCGTTGTATTATTGCATTCTAGATATGTATTTGTGTCAGTATCGTCATTAGTTCCATTAATTAATCTTATAGCGTTCGCGGTTTCATTAATTGTTAAATCCAATGATATATTAGATTTAGTAGCATTAGTATATCTTTCGATACTTGTGTTAGCGTTTGTTAATTCAATATCCCCCTTTACTGTCAAATTGCTTGTTATGTCAATTTCACCTCCTATTGTTACATTAGTTGTAATATTTACATTATTCACCGACAAGTCGTTATTCATATTAATATTCCCCGTATGGTTTAGGTTCAAATCCACAACACTATCGTCGCTTGTGGCATTGGCATTAATTGTGTTTCCTTGTAAAGTTATGTAATTTGTAGCATTCTTAAATACACTAACAACTTTATCTCCTCCTCCTGTTTGATTACTGAATAATAATCCTGTATTTGGTGATATGTTTATAGTCTCATTGTTTAATGTTAAACCACTATGAATAATCGTAGGAGCGCTACAATCAATGATCGGAAAGGTAGAAAACCTATCAGTAAAATCGGATTTAGGAACTCTTAAATCTAATAAATGATCAATTTCTGCATCAGTGTATCCCGACCCACCACCAGCACCTGCTATTAATGTATCCACCTCACCTTTATTATAAAAGTTGGTAGCTAGTAGTGTGTTATTTTGATAGTTAGTAGATAAATTTGT